TGTGTCTTTTGTATTTTCTTTCCTTTATTTTTGTTGCCACCGGCTGCACTGAGTGTATTATTGCTACTCATTTCATTTGTTATGAGTTATTAGTAAATAGGCATCCAATTATCCTTTCAGTGTTCCACTAGGACTGTTTTTATAGCCTTTTCCGATGTCAGTTGCTTTGTGAAAACATGATTGTTACTTCAACTTTGCTATTGTTTGCTTCTCGAGTGTTGTTGAGTATTTATTAGATTTATTTCTGGTAATTAGATCATTTCATGGAAGCTAAAAAATTTATTAGTTTATGTCCCAAAGTCTTTGGGAAAAAAGTTTTAACAGAAAAGAATAAAGAGGTTAGTAATAGTTGTTCTTTCTTTGCCTAGGCACCCATAAAGGGCATTCTTTCCTTGCAAAGGGCAGCTTTGTTGAGAAATAGCACTAAGAGGTGGAATCTAAGTATTAGATCATTTAGTACGCAAGGAGCAACTACTGCTGGTGCTCCACAGGCACCCCCTCCTCCTCCACCACCAGAGAAAACCCATTTTGGTGGTCTAAAAGATGAAGACCGTATTTTCACCAACTTATATGGGTTGCACGACCCTTTTCTCAAAGGTGCTATGCAACGTGGTGACTGGTATAGAACCAAGGATTTAGTACTCAAGGGTGCTGATTGGATTGTCAATGAAATGAAGAAATCTGGACTCCGAGGACGTGGAGGTGCTGGATTTCCATCAGGCCTTAAATGGTCTTTTATGCCAAAAGTATCTGATGGCCGTCCTTCTTATCTCGTTGTCAATGCTGATGAAAGTGAACCTGGAACCTGTAAAGACAGGGAAATCATGCGGCACGATCCACACAAACTATTGGAGGGCTGCTTGATTGCTGGGGTTGGGATGAGAGCTAGAGCTGCTTATATCTACATTAGAGGTGAATATGTGAATGAACGTAAAAACCTTGAAAGAGCTAGAAAAGAAGCTTATGAAGCTGGACTGTTGGGCAAAAATGCATGTGGTTCTGGTTATGATTTTGATGTTCACATCCATTATGGTGCCGGTGCTTATATTTGTGGTGAAGAAACGGCACTTTTGGAGAGCCTTGAAGGAAAACAAGGGAAACCCAGATTGAAGCCTCCTTTCCCTGCTAATGCAGGATTGTATGGCTGTCCGACCACTGTCACAAATGTGGAGACTGTGGCTGTTTCTCCTACAATATTGAGACGTGGTCCGGAGTGGTTTGCCAGTTTTGGGAGGAAGAATAATTCGGGGACAAAATTGTTTTGTATCTCAGGTCATGTAAACAAGCCCTGCACAGTTGAGGAGGAGATGAGTATACCACTTAAGGAGTTGATAGAGAGGCACTGTGGAGGTGTCAGAGGTGGATGGGACAATTTACTTGCAGTAATACCGGGAGGTTCATCTGTTCCACTTTTACCCAAGCACATATGTGATGATGTCCTGATGGATTATGATGCACTCAAGGCTGTCCAGTCAGGACTGGGAACTGCTGCAGTAATTGTTATGGATAAATCAACTGATGTTGTAGATGCAATTGCACGGCTTTCTTACTTCTACAAGCATGAGAGTTGTGGACAGTGCACACCCTGCAGGGAAGGGACTGGATGGCTATGGATGATTATGGAAAGATTGAAAGTTGGGAATGCAAAGTTGGAAGAGATTGACATGCTTCAGGAGGTGACCAAGCAGATTGAAGGGCACACAATTTGCGCTTTGGGCGATGCAGCAGCTTGGCCTGTGCAGGGTCTAATACGGCATTTTAGGCCAGAGCTCGAGAGAAGGATCAGAAAACGTGCAGAAAAGGAGTTGCTGGAGGCTTCTGCTTAATTTCTTCTCAGGTTGCTTCCGGCACCTCTTTGACTTTCAATTTGTCCTGCACTTTTTTCTTCCAAAATATGAAGTACTCTTATCTTGTGTGATCTTCTTGGTCTGTCATGTGCATTATGCATGCTTGCACCACGCACTATACCCAGGTACACATGAATGATTTCATGAGAAGGAAAAAAATATGGTGCTGGATTTGTAAAGTGCTTGCAGATGAATGACTGAGAATCAACTTTTTTCTTCTAATGTCCTTAAGGAATTTATTTTAGTTTTTCCCTTCATATCATCTGGGAGACTGGGACCCTACCAGTAGTTGCCTTCCTTTTATGCCCCTAAAAAAATGTCAATAGAACTGTGCATATTTTCTTTATTAATTAGTATCTGGTTTTCCGGTCACTGGACCATGATTTTGTTAAAAGAATGTGAAAGAAATGAGTTAGAAGAAAAGGCAAAGGAATGAGGCATATGACGACCAAATCAAGTTTAGTTTTTTTCAAGGGGAAAATGGCATATGGAGACATTCAGTTCCCTCTTTTAAGACATGGACATGAGTAGGATAGCATATTCATCACCTGTTTTCTTATCCTTTTTAAATTCTTGCATCATATCAATCAGTCCCACAGCAACCATTGAGTTACCATCTCAATTTTTTTGACAGGTTGTCTCATGGTATGTAGGGAATTTCCCGTGCAAATGGCTATTCTGGAATAATAAAATTGAAGTACCCAAAACTTGGAGCAAAGGTGACTCAGGCATCTGGTGGTCTGGTAGTGTTTTATTTGTTTTCTCCTAAGCTGCATTAACAACATTTCTCTGTTTGGGAAAATAATGAATGTCTCTAATGTCTGGGCGGGGATACTTGTTTCTCACAGCATCCACAACATTTTCTTCTTTTTTTTTTTTGGCCCATTTGAGGAACATGGTTAATTACATCTGTATTCTTTTTGAAATCTGAACATATAATGATATCTGTATTTTGTATTGTCATAGAAGTTGTAGAATGCAGATACTGAAATGAGTTGATAATGAAACTGATGAATAGAATAAAAATATGCAGCAGCAGAAATACAGAATAGCTTGGGTGGGTATGTCAGGCCTAAAATTAGACCAGGACTGAGCTCAACCTGCTATAGGGAGTTTGGATCTTCATCCTAAAAAGCTTGAGCTTGTTAACGAGCATGACCCAATCCTTAAATCCCAGTTACAAAGATCCAATTACAGTTTTTGTGATTAGTCAATGAATGTCCGTTCAACTGACTACGTAGTTATAATCGCTAGAACAGGTGTCATGATATTTTTATGGTGGTGAAAATTTGGGTCAAAATGTACAATTGATCCCTTTACTTTTATGTTATAGGGGATCCAAATGCCAAACCCCAGCAATCACCTTCTAACCCAATTAACGTCAAATTTTTAATGCTGTTAATAATTGGCTTACGTATAACAAATCATAATTCATAAAAAGTACAGGATTCCAGTTGATTAAATTAATGTCAATGAACTAAATCCACAATTTTATAAAAGTAAGAGATGAATTGTACAATTTGACTGAAAAAAAAAATTTCAGGCCATTTGAGCACATGGGATCCTTGGACCACTCACTCTTGATCTACCTAAATTATTAAAGAAATGATTAACGCGGCAATTAGCTCGGAAACCAACCAAATATTTTACGAATCAAGTGTGAAAATGTGTCAAGCTTTCCATCAACATGATGCGGCATTTTTCAACAAAAAAAAAAAAAAGTGCCATTTTGTCAACCTGACGCCATAAAGTTATGTGGGGGTTCAAATTTTTACGATGAGTGTAATTTGTTAGGTGTGGGTGGGTTTGATTGTAAAAGTTGTCAAGCAGTAGTCTTATTCAAGTCCATTGAATGGTTATGCCGAAAGCAGTCGTCCTTTTTGTCCAATAATGAAAGTTCTTATCTATTATTTATTGTTTGTAAAACTTTTGATAATTGAAATGTTGAATTAGGACAAATTGTGATTAGACAGACTATACACTACTAGAAGATTTTATATACAAGAATGATTAGTACAATTTTAGACGATGCAGCTCTACATTAATTAAACAGGTCGCACATATGTTACCAACTCATTTTAATTTAATTGAAAGAGTTTAGTAGATAAAATTTAAATACTTCATTTATAATATTTAAATTTAGGGAGAGATTAATTTATATTTATATAAAATTTTTAATTTTATATTTTTAATCATTAATTGTAATAAATTCAAAAAAAGAGATTAAACTATTTTTTTATTTGTACCTTTCATTTTTTGTATCTATTAAAATAAATAATTAAAAAATATATAAAATTAAAAAGTTTTACATTAATTTAAGTTGATTTTATTCCTTTTAATTCAATTTTGTTTTTGGTAATTTATTTAATAAAAAATAAATTTATTGAAATTTGAGATATGCACAAGTTACTTTCCTTCACCGAAACCTTTTTTTCCAACAAAAAAATTCTCTCTCTCTCTCTCTCTCTTTGTTTGTTTTTGTTTTCTAGCAATTGAAAGCATTCTTTTAAATTTGCTTTCACATTCATGATATTTTTAAAATTTATCTTTAAGATTAATAAAGTGAAGCAAAGTCTTTAAAATAAAATAAAAAATAAATAATGTGACGGTATTTTAATCTTATTGATATAATGAAAAAATTTTACTATTAATGTATAAAAAAACTAAAGTTTTGAAAAAGATTAATGTCATTTTAAATTATTATAAAATATTTAATGTAATATTTAAATTTTTAAAATTTTTAAAAATAAAATATTTAAATTATTAATTTATTAACTAATTAAATACTAACTCTTAAGTTAACTAATTTCAAACCATGACACTGACTAATAATTTTCTTATATTTTCTCCAATTTTGAATCACTCATAATATCCAAATAAAGGAAAAAACAGTTAACAAATGAAAAGGGTTAACAGATTAATTTGCATTTATAGAAAAAAAAAAAAGGCAAAAATCTAAGTAATACTGGTACTAATTTAAAAAAAAAAGAAAAAAAAAAAAGTTAAAAACTGCCCACCATTTTCACCACCTTGACCCACCATCCTTAACGCGTTCCTATCTGCCTTCATATCGCGCACGGATACAGTAACGAGAGAAAACGGATAGACATGGCAACAGCAACGAAAGACTTTGTTTTATTTTTTTCTTAAGTAACTTAACCCAACAACAAAAAAAAAAAAAAAAACCTCCTCTTCCGCCTCCTAAGACTGCGACATTTCTTTGCTTTTCTCGTTTCTCCACCGCTTTTTCAAACACATTGTTCATAATTTGACCCTTCAGAACTCAAAACAGTGACACTTTCCCAACTTTTCTTTTATTATTAGTAATTTTACTTTTTCTTCCTCATTTCTCCTCTGATGCCTTAGCTACCTAAACTTTTTCTACTGTTACCCTTTCTGCTGTTCGTACATTTCCACTCTCGGTTTGTTTGTCCTTTTTTATTTGATTTTTCTCTGGATCATCTGATGTTCTGTTTTAATCATTTTTTTCCTTTTTTTTTTGTGTTTTGATTTTAATGATGTTTGCATGAAGTGGGTTGCTTGTCTTTTGTCTATGTGATTTATAGTTTCGTTGCAATGACGATTATCAGCTTTGTTTGGTTGCTACTGAACTAATATTTTAGATGTAAATTTCTGTTTTTTAGTTTTACTCTTTTACATGGACATTGATCCATCTTCCCACCATCAACCATGTTTAATTAAGACATTTTTTTTTGTAAGAAAAAGGGTTTTATTTGTCTCTTTTGACTCTTTCCTTAGTTTGAACTTTGAGTATGAAGTGGTAGGTTGTTAACTTTTTTTTTTTTTTTCCATTTTTTTCATTCTATTTAGTGGTGGAGGTTCTCTTCAGGTTCATGTACACTAACTGTTTTGGTTTGGTAAAGAAACATTTCTAATCTGTTTTATTCTTTATATATATATATATATATATATATATATATTTAAACTTTTGTATTTTGGCTTTTAGAAATTAAACAAATGGAATACATGAACTTGAAGGTGGAGGTATATTACTAAAAATTATATATGGACCCACGTTCTGTTTCCAATTTGATTCCTTCTCTTCTCTGCTTTGGTTGTTAACTAGTAAGTTTCCCTGGCAAAGTCACAAGCTTTTTTTTTTCATTTCATTTGCTTTTCTGTTACGGAATATTGTAATTTTGTTCAATTACTTTCAACATATATCTGATTTTGTTTTCCCCAGATACAGGTCTCTGATGCATGGTTTTCATACGCTTGAAGGCGTTTTGAGTGATCATATCAATTAAGAGTGAAACCGGTATTTCTTCGAAGTTCTAACAATGGTTCTTGGCCTAAGAACTAAGAACAGAAAGGGCAACTTATTTCAGGTTGACTACACTGTATATGTAAAGGAGATTAATCCTTGGACACCGTTGCAGTCTTTGCGATCGGCTCAATCTGTTTTGCTTCAATGGGAAAATGGTGATCAGAGTTCTGGGTCCTTAACTTCTAGCATTGGGAATGGAAAGATTGAGTTCAGTGAGTCTTTCAGACTTCCAGTAACCTTATGTCAGGAAGCATCCCGTAAGAGCACCAACCGTGATAGTTTCCAAAAGAATTGTTTAGAGTTTTACTTGTATGAGCCTCGGAAAGACAAGGTGGCAAAAGGTCAACTTTTAGGATCTGCTGTTGTAAACCTTGCAGATTATGGGATTATCAAGGAAACTATAACCATTAGCACTCCTATTAGCTTGACGAAGAATTCAAGGAACATAGAACATCCAGTTCTTTATCTTAATATCCAGCCATTTGATAAAGAGAGCTCCAGCTCATCAATGAAAGGCAGCTTGTCCAAAGAAGTGTCACTAGACAAGGATGGCAGTGAATCTGTTTCTGAATCGATAAATGAAGGAAATGATGAGGAAACCGAGATTGCTTCTTTTACTGATGATGATGATATCTCCTCACATTCATCCCAAACTATTTCTTCTTCTATTTTTGATCCTTCTAAAGAGTCACATAGTCAACATGACAAGGTACTTAAGTTCCTCATTCTCGTTTTGTTCTTTGTTTCCATTTTTATTGAATTATCTCTATACAAGGTTTTTTGGCAATGCAATCTTAACAGTTGTCTTTGAATTGGGGTCTAGAATTGGGTTGGTTTTAGGATTTGTGAAATTGACTTGGCAGACTCTTATCCTTAAGCATTGCCATAAGTAAGTTTTGAGGACTTAACAACATGCAACTAAGACATGCTCTTATATGCTGCTCTTGATGCTGTTATTTGAAATTGCATCTACCATGCATATGCATCTTTCTGAATACTTAAAGCTAAAAAATTGTCAGGTTTTTGTCCTTTAGTTTTTTCTTAAATTGTATAATTAATCTGCAGAAGGAGGTTTCAACTTAGGACCTCTTTTGAAGTAAGGCATGGCTGGTGATTAGGCCATGTCTTAGCCTGAAAATCGCTAGCAGCAATAAGATGAGTAAAAATTATATTTACAGTGATAAATTTGTAGGTATGATCCCTCTTTAACCATTATGAAGCATATCTATTAGTTTTGGGCACACACCAGATGGCAGTTTCTTATCTACCAGCGTGATTCTATTCTAGGAGGACTGTAAAAGTTCTGTTTAATTTGGTGGTTGTCATTCTAGCAGAGCTAGTATTTCTGAATGTTTTATAGCAAGTCACTATCGATTACAGAAGCAATCAGAATCAGCGAATGGTGGGAGAGGAAGGCTTGGGCTCACTCTTTCTTCTGGTGGAACAAGTGCAAACTTAGGGGTAAGTCCAGTTGTTGAAGCATTCAAGCAAGGAAATGGGAATACATCCCCTTCATCTTCAATAGAATTATCCTCCAACCCTGAGAATCCTGTAACTGATCCCATGGGTAAAGTTTCATCCTTGGAGACGTGTGTTACCATTCCAGTAGATTTGAACTTAGACCATGTAAAAGATAAAGACTCCCAAACCAAAAGAGAGGGTGATAGAAAATCATGGAGGCATGACCAAAGCCATGTAGACAGATCTTTAAGTAGCATTTCACATGTTGGTCATTGGAAGGGGAATGAGGAAAAGTCATCATGGGAAGATGAACTGGAAAGCCAGATTTTGGATCCTGAGGAATATTCTCTGCAGGACAGGTTAGGTTTTAGACCACCTCAAGATTCAACGAGAAGGCAAATCACTTTGAGGAGTAACACTTTAGCATCCAGCTTGGCAACAACTGAAGTGAAAGGTGGTTTTGTTGCCAATGATAGACAAAAGCATGTGACATCTGTTCAGTTGCATTTTGACAAAGCTAAGAGTAATGGACCGTCAAAGAAGATTCAGTTTGTGGAGAAGGCGAAGGAAAATGACATTCTGGAGAAGATTCCTAATGATAACACAAGTGATATACTTAGTGAAAGGGAAGAAACTGCAAACAACCTTTCTAACAGCAAAGTTGACTCAGATAAGAGTTATGGGCTGCTAAAGAAGACTCAGTTCATGGAGAAGGCAAAGGAAAATGATATTCCTGAAAAGATTCATAATGGTTCTACAAATGATACATGTAATGAAACTGAAGAAAATGCAAATACCTTTTCCAAAGGCAAAGTTGAATTGGAGTCCAAAATTGAAATGCTTGAAGAAGAATTGAGAGAAGCTGCTGTTGTTGAGGCTAGTCTTTATTCTGTTATTGCAGAGCATGGGAGTTCTACAAACAAGGTTCATGCTCCGGCTAGACGACTTTCTAGATTCTATATTCATGCTTGTAGAAGAAGTACCCAAGATAAGAGGGCAAGTGCAGCGAGGGCTGCTGTTTCAGGATTGGTTTTGGTCTCTAAAGCATGTGGAAATGATGTTCCAAGGTGTGCACTAACGCTTTCTGTAATTTTTTCATTTTATAAAATGAATCTGGCAGATTTTAGCTTGTCTTTGCTATTGTCAAAGATGTTAATTTGGTTTGCATGTTGTAGAAAATAAAATTTAGTCATCTGTGGCATTAAGCTGACATTCAGACTGCAGATAAATGTATTTATGTTCTCATACCTATTTGTCTTTGTTTCCTTATAATTTTCCTCTTTTTTTTTATTGAAATGCTTCTCTCTGTATGTGTGCCTTTTTTTATACTCAGCATACATTTGACCCTTCCTTTTCCATTATTCATAGGTTAACCTTCTGGTTGTCAAATTCAATTGTATTGAGAGCAATTGTTAGCCACGCTATTGGGGAAATGCAGCTATTTTCTGGACTGTGCTTAAATTGTAGTAGTGATGGAATGGTGTTGGAGGATTCCTCTCCTCTGGATAAAGAGGAAAGCAATTCAACGGAAAGTTCTGATGACTGGGTGGACCCTCAGACGTTTTTACTTGCATTGGAAAAGTTTGAAGCTTGGATCTTCTCCAGAATAATTGAGTCTGTCTGGTGGCAGGTCAATCCTTTCTTTTAAAGCTTACAGCATATTGTCTTCATAGGTCATACCTGACATTAGTTCCCCCATTATACTTGCCAGACTTTGACTCCACATATGCAGTCTGCTGCTGCAAAGAGCTCAAGCTCAAGGAAAACCACAACAAGAAAATATGGATTAGGTGATCAAGAGCAGGGTAATTTTTCAGTTGAGCTTTGGAAGAAGGCTTTTAAAGATGCCTGTGAGAGGCTTTGTCCCATTCGAGCATGTGGACATGAGTGTGGCTGCTTAGCTGTGCTGGCTAAATTGGTATTATGATAAATGATAGTTTTTTTTAATTTATGCATGCAAAACTTGGCCTTGGATCTTATGCTTCTTTATGTTCATAATGTCTCTTTGTAAAATGATGGGGCCATATCCTTAATTCTATGGTTTTAATTATCTAATTGTTAATGCTGTTGAAATACAAATTTGATTGAAACATTGTTTTCTGTTCCATGGTTAGGTCATGGAGCAATTGGTGGGTAGATTAGATATTGCAATGTTCAATGCTATTCTTCGTGAATCAGCTGAAGAAATGCCAACAGATCCTGTTTCTGACCCAATAAGTGATTCAAAGGTTCTCCCTATTCCTGCAGGCAAATCAAGCTTTGGGGCAGGTGTACAACTAAAAAATGCTGTGAGTAATTGATTCCTCTTTCTTTTCAGCTACTTTAATTCTTAATTGCCTCCCTGATGTGCAAGATCTGAACCTGTTTCCGTATATTTATGGGGAAATCCTTCCCCACCCTACCCGCCTTACTTTTTTTTACAGAAGTTAATATTTTTATATGTACATAAAAAATATACATTTATGGACCTTAGGTCTAAAACTGATTTGCTGGAGACAGTTGACAGTATCAATGCCTGCAATTTTGGCCTGTTAATATGCTTTTTACCTTCTACTTATTTCTCTCTGTAACATACCTGATTTTGTTTGACAGTCAGAAAATTTGGCCTATTAATATGTTATTGCTTGCACCTTGTGATTTCTTCTCCCCAAATGTTAACAGATAATAAAAGATTGGGCTTTGAATTTGCTTCAGAGCAGTTGCCTTAATAATGAATGAAGTACGCAACAGTTTATTATGTTTATAGCATTTGATTAAAAGGATCCTTTTCTGTTGACCTTGTGTTACCAGATTGGAAACTGGTCAAGATGGCTAACGGATCTATTTGGTATTGATGATAATGACGGTCCTGAAGATAGCAAAGAAGTTGGTGATGACAAGAATGCTGGATCTGAGGCTTCCTTCAAGGCTTTCTGTCTTCTAAATGCATTGAGTGATCTCATGATGCTTCCATCTGATATGCTTGTGGATCGGTCCACGAGGAAAGAGGTATAGTTCTGGAATTACTAGTATTATTCTTTTAATTTCAGTAAGCTATATATATATATATATTATATTCTTGTCTACCTCATTCCTCTGCTTCTTCTGTATTCTTGTCTGTGAATCTCATCTTCCCTTCAAATTTTATTGTTGAAGGTATGCCCCAAGTTCAGCGCACCGCTGATCGGCAGGGTTCTTAACAATTTTGTGCCTGACGAGTTCAATCCTAACCCAGTTTCAGAGGCAGTTTTTGAGGCATTGGAGGAGGTTTGTCATGTGATAAAACAAAAAAATAGTTAGCTTAAAATGAACTTTCCACTTCCTTCATCACCCTGCACTGTTGCAAGTTTATGGTGCCAGGCTTTGGATTTCCTGACTGATTTGTTTTCTCTTATTTAGGATCATTCTGAGGCAGGGGAAGAGTCTATCACAAACTTTCCATGTATGGCTACTCCGACAGTCTATTCACCACCTCCCGCAGCTTCGCTAGCAGGCATCATAGGAGAGGTGGGAAATCAAGCCTTGCAAAGGAGTAGGTCATCAGTGCTCAAAAAATCATACACTAGTGATGATGAGCTTGATGAATTGGATTCACCCATCAACTCGATCATTATTGAGAACCCCCGGGATTCTCCCACTTCAAAAGCACCGAACTGGCTGAGAATGGGAAAGGGAGGCCGGAAAGTTGTTAGATATCAGCTAATCCGAGAGATATGGAAAGATGGTGAATAGCAATGTTTCTTTTAACCCCCCATCCCTTGTGCTTCTCTGAACTCGGCTTTTTCTTTTTTTTTTGTATATATGCATGTGACTCTAGGTTGGTGTATTAAGTCGTTGAGTTTTGTTGGATTTGAGAAAAAATTGGTCTTTTCCTCTAATTCATCGTACATATATTAAAAACAATAAATTCCTATTGTTCATGGATGAATGAGAAAGATGGTATGACATGTTTATTTTGTTCAAATCCTATGTAATTACATTTTAAAAAAAAATTTATTTATCACAAATTATACTTGATAATTAAATAATAAATATTTATTTTAAAAGATATATTATTGGATTTGATAATAAATCTTTTTTAAAAAATAATGATAATGATTTGAATAAAAGGATAATTGCTCACGAATGGATAATTGATTTCCCTGTCATTAGCTACTCAGTGTCTGTCGGGTTTCAAGCCGGAAGTGGAAGACTGAGATTGGGTTTCCAGCTTCCAGGTCGGCGTGGGAAGCGTCATTTTAAAGAAGAAAACTGCAGGGCTTTGCTTTGTTTTCGGCTTTTACGGTCGTGCCAGTAATGTTTATGCATTTTCAAGGCCCAGCCATAGTTTGGCAGCCCAAAACAAAAGCCCCGCAGTTTTCTCCTTAAAATGTTGCTTCACGAAGACCTTTGGACTAGAAACCAAACAGTAACTGAGAATCTGAGAAAGGAAAAATGAGAGCGAAATCGATCATCCGGCCCTTTCTTCTTCGTCACTCTTTCAATTTCCGGTCGATTTCTTCTTTTTCTTCTTCTCGGATTCCTCTGAACCTAAATTACTTAATTTTAACCCCCAAAACAAATTCTTCAGTCCCTAAAAACCCCTTCCCAGTTTCCACCCCTCAAAACCTTACTCTCCACCGACCCTTCTCCGACTTTCCCTACGATTATTACCCATCATCCCTATCCGAACCCGAACCACCGCCAGGTAAATTTTATATTTTTCTTGTCACTGTTAGATTTTTATTACATGAAAAATTATAATGTTCTTTGAAGTTTGAACATCGGAAAAAAGTAATTTTTTTTATATAATTTGGTTCTTTGATTTCAGTTCCAGAGAATATCGTACCCGTTAAGTCAGAAGAAGAGTTCGATGCTGCAGTTAGCAAAGCTGAAGGCGAATCCGTGCCGGCTGTTTTCTATTTCACTGCTACCTGGTGTGCCCCTTGTAAGTTTTTTTTTTTTTTTTTATAACTCTTTACTCATTTTTTTCTAATATGAAAGGCATTGGCTTTGTTTCATTAATATTTGTTGTATTCCATCTCTCTGCAGGCCGGTTCATCGGTCCAGTCATGGACGAGTTGGCTCGGAGAAACCCTCATGTAACAACATATAAGATGGATATCGACGAGGTTAAAAATGATTTTTTTTTCTTGAACTTATTAGCTTCATAATTTACTGATTGTGTTATATATTTAACCAGTGGGACTTAGGGTTTAGGGTTTAGATTAGGTATTTCTTCCATAGGTTTTAAATTGCAAATGTTTCTATTGAAGGATTCATTATATATCATTAATAGTAGTTTCACTTTGAATTACTTCTTGCTGGTAACATGAATTTATCAATTTCGTTTTTCATGTATTGGATCACAATGATTTGGACAGGAAAATTTTTTTGGAACGCCCCATTTCATTTTTGAGATTGAAATGTTTGCTTGATAATACAAGGGCTTATTGATAGATTTTCATGCTAAGCTTTCTTGAGAACAGTTATAAATTTTACCCACTGGATTTTGTGATGTCATTTTCATATGTAAATTTTGCAAAGTGGTATCTGAGAAAGCTTTTGAACGCATGGACAATGCATTTATTGTTGTATTTTTTACTTTCCAGTTACCTTTTTTGTTGGGACTTACTGATTATAATTAGAAGCTTAAATTCTTATTCTTTATTTTTTGCATTTGTGAAGTACTATCTGACAATAAGTATTACTAGCTGGCACTAATGTTGTTGACATGATGCAGGAAGCCCTTGCAAGAAAATTGGAAACACTAAAAGTTAATGCTGTGGTAAATAATTTCATTATTTTATGACATTTATTTGAATTTTTATTGTTCGATAATTGAGGTGGAAACCAGGTCATTTGCCACCATATATATGCTGGCAAACAGTTTTTGCTACTATTCTCTTGTTCTTCCAAATGGTGAGAAACTGGTTAAGCATTTATTGAATAAGTATGATTTTTATTTCTAGTTTTAGTTTAAAATCTTAGTTTTGGTTTTCTAGCAATTTTAAGTATTTTTTTTTTTATAGTTATGATTAGTATCCTAGTAAGTAATTGTATAAGATGTCTATATTTATCATAATTATTGGTTGTCAGTGGTCAACTTTAAGTTTCAATTTCTTAACTTTTTGAAGTATTTTGTGTATCTCACTTGTCAAATTAGATTGCACATGCTTGTTCTCTGTGTGCCATTGTAATTTTACTGTTCAGATAAGATTTTTGAGCTTGGTATATTAAGTTTCCTAGAATCTTTTCCATTCTTTATATGAACACAATTCTTTCTTCCTTCACTAAATTTTCATCTTTGGCTACAGCCGACTGTCCATTTCTTTAAAGAAGGCAAAAAGGAGGATGAAGTTGTTGGTGCTGATGTTACGCACATAGTCCAAACAATGAAGAAACTCTATGAGAAGTAATCTTTCTTTGCTTTCCACTTTTCCTAAAACATATATATATATATATGTTGGATAATTATGATTTTATATAATACTTACTAATTTATCCAATTTTTGTATACTGGTTGAACTTTAAGACATTCTTGTTCTGCATTGCTTTTCTATTTGGTTAGAAGCTAAATATAAGTGTAAACTCTTTGACGGTGTCTGTTGTTTTGATTCTTAATTCATGCTTTTATGCATTCTATGCAACTAATAAAACCAGTGCAAACGATATTGCACATTTAAATGATAACGTTACAGTTACCTTTTTTTGAGCTTATCTGCCTCTCTTTTTTGGTTCATATAAGGTTCTTTATATGAACCAGATATTGTGTAGAGGTTCAAGTTGAAATAATTTTAAATTGGACCAGTTCGTATCTATGGTCAACTTTATAAACTAGTACCTTATCTAATTGAAACTTTGTTTTAATTGTATTCATGTGCATTACATGAATATATTTTTTAATTACTCAAGTTAAAAAAATTCTGACCTAATAGAATTGAGTTGCTTTTGTTTGGGAGGCTGTTGTTTGTGGCTTGAATGTCAAGAGGAGGTGTGAATGCTGTCTGTTTTGTCATATAGTTACTCGCTCCTTTGTTTTGTTTTACAGGAAGGATTGAAGAAAGGATGGTTCACTAGAAGAGATAAATGAAATCGATGCTTGATGACGATTATGGAACCTTTTTCAAGCAATCAAAGAAGGAAATAAATGGTTTTTAGGTTTCCTTAATGACTGTAAGATTTCCTTTTGGACAGTAGGCCTCTCTCACCCTTCTCATTATAGGTTTTGTCATCATAGAGTTTGCTGATCAAGAGTTTAGTGATTAAAATTATAATTTGAGAGGCAAAGTTGGGATACTTTTATGATATGTGAAGGTTGATTTTGCAATAGCTTTTAAATTCTCAAATTATTAATTTCGAAAAGTTTTTCGGAGAGTGAATTTCAATTTATTTGTTTCAGAAATGTAGGATTATTATGCCTATGCTTTAACAAAGTATATACATATATCTATTTGGAGATGCATGTAAAACCGATATTTCCATTTAGGTTTTTTTTTTTTGCCGATATTTAGGTATTGTATAGTTACTGTCATTTTTTAACTAATTTGAGTGTGATTATACAAAAAGAGTTTTTTTTTTTTTTTTTTTTTTAATTTTGAAACATAAAGATAGGCTAAGCTTCCTTTACTTCCATCACGAGCACCTCAAATTACAGACCAGTTTATCCGGGCACGGATTTCCACCGGAAATGAAGTGGGAGAGCAATTTTTAGTTAAACCAATATAGGGTCTTGCTGTAGAGACAGGTGAAACCTGAGACTGCGAAGGCCTTGACATGTTGAAGTTGGAGATCATGGAGTCCATAAAAGGTCGATGGTTTTTCGTCAAGCGAATGAATTTCTGGTTTAGAGGCTAAGGTGATAAATGCGGCGTTTTAGAAGTTGATGGCAGAAGCTTTGGGGTGCAATCATCCTTTAAACCATTCCTAGACAGACTCACTTTGTCAAAAAGAGAATGAGACTCTGGGAAAGAGATGGGAACAGGAATCTCTACCTTTCATGTAGTTTCCCCTAACTTCTACAAAGATGATGGGGATCGGTCTTCCAGTGTTTGCTACCTTTGGAAGTGTACTGACTCTCCTCTTATCCTAGACGCTTAGGTGCTTTGACATTAGAACTTCTAGAGCAAGGTACGATCGCTGGTATAACTGTAAAGGAAAGGAAAATAAAGGACAATCCCTTAACTTGGTGAGACACAGCTCATCTCCAACCTTAACCCATATAAAGATGTTTTCTTTTTGGCTCCAAACGCCATATAAAGATGAACATCTTTTGTTATTAAGGCCAAGGACCATTGATCGAAGTCACTTTGTCAAATTTACACGAGTAATTCACATAAAGATTCTTTCGAATCATGAATGAGTAATTTATTCCTACAAACTAGTCAAAGAGATACTGTTATATTCACAGAGGCATTACAGTACAGAATTCCTAGCGTCATCGCATCACCAGTTTTACAGTGCAATTATCCGCAGTCATCTTTTCTTCCACCTGCCAAAACCAGCACAACACTAATATTAGTATATTAGTACTTTGTTAGAAGCGACTATTAACGTCAAATTATCAGTTAATTACAGCATAATAAGGCAAAGCATATAATGTGTTAAACATATGCAAAACTAAAATAATTACAAAATACAGAGGTGCAATCTTATTGCTATCAATGAACATGCCACAGCTTCTAGCAGCAGAATACAGACCAACAGAGGACAAATGGAGGAAATTTTAGGTATATAAAGGCAGAAGGCATCATCACTAGATTGTTGGGTTTGCCAGAAGACCTGTTTCTAATTTTGATGATCAGGGTGCATAAACTTTGTCAAGCACACTCCAAGGAAAATAGCAAATACAATCCATTACTGATTGTCAATTGGTTCTATTCGAGAAGGGTGAAAAAGCAATAAGGATGTAGCCAGTTACATTTTATGTCACTTGCAATGAACACAATAACAGTTGAAGCAAGATATCTTACGGTTTAGAAGAGGCACTGCTTACTGGACTCCTCAATACATCATAGTGTCCATAACCATGATACAGGACTCTGATGGGGTTTTCCTTACCATACTCTTGACCATACTCAGATATAATTTTGAGGGTATCAGAATTATTCTCCCTCATGTAAACTGTTATAGGGGTCCTGTGAATGAAATTTATACATTAACAGATAAGAAGCTTTTGATATATCGATAACTAAAAAGTGTCAATGAATTAAATTTACTTATATTCCTATCCATCCAAGCATCTCAAGGAAACAAAAACAACGAATTACTGGGCTTTGGAATTCCATTTCATTTACCAATTTTTCATCTCATTTAGAAGTATTTGTTGCTCATAATAATTCAGAGGGGCAAAGCCCATCTAAGAAGATTGCTTTGATGGTTAACAACCGATTATGTAATCAAAGGTTAAACCTATTAGTAGTTCTTGACTTAAGAAAACCATTGATCAATTATAAATCAAAATCCAATTTCTGACTAAAACACATATGATTCTATTTAATTGATAGGGAATAAAAGAAACCCTATACCAAGTGAGTAGTAATCCTGTTTTTTTTTTGGCCAGAAAGTAAGTAGTAATCAAGAACTGAATAGATCTTCTACCACATATACAATTGACTGCAGAAAAGAAAACTCACTTTAGGACATGTGAGCACATGAGCAGTTCAGGTTCTCCTCCCCAAATATGTGGCTTCCGCATCTGCACAACATAGTTGTCAAAATCACCCTCAAGGAACCTGCAAAAAGCGTGAAGATTTACTTGCTTGGAGCGCTGGAGAATTGAAAGGGAGATGTAAATCAAGATTTTTGACCAGCTTATCTCAGGATATAGCCCTAAGAGTCCTACTTACTGGCAGAAACAATGGTTCATAACACAATGTTCAAGTAAAAGACAGGCAGTAATACCTCTTCAACAATTTTATAGATGATTAAATCTCTCTTTGACAAGAATACTGATCATCATATCCCAGAATCTTCCAAAAAAACTTACCATTCAGTGTCTGCTCGCCTCTTGATGAATTCATCTACAACCTGTCAAAGCATGTAATCTTTTATTGCAAGGAAAAAAAAGTTCAAAGTAAAACAAGATGACAGGAAATTTTTTTTTAATAGAAAGAACAGGAAAGGAAAGGAAAGGAAGCTGCAATTGGTTGAATGAGTGGCAAAACGAAGTTAAATCAAGAGAGACATCTGCAGCTAACACAAAATGAAAATGGATTGCAAAACAATCAAATTCTGGTAAAATGAAAATGCCAAAAATCAAATTCGTGTAAATTGTAGAAGTTATATCAAATTCAGTTATAGGTACAAGTAAAACCAGATAAGCACTTTGATGTAAAATACCAAAATGTACAGGATAGATATCTAGAAAACTAAAATTCACAGAAATAGAGACAGCCACATTTTGAAAACCAGGGAACAGGTGGGCAAGAGAATGGGAATATACTTTAGCTCTGAGCTCATCTGCAAGATCTTTCTGACAGCTCTCACTTGGAGACTGCCTCCCTGATCTCAGCCAAGAACCATGCATTACCGAGCGGAACAAGCATCTCCCATCACCAGGAATGCCTGCATTATTAAACATAAAGCATATTAACTTAAATACATTCATAGTGCCAAAATAAATAGATTTCTCAAGCATAAGTTCCAACATAAAACGAATTTGCCGCTTATGGAATCAAAGAGAAGCATATATTTCAGTTGATCATCAAAAGTTTTGGAGCCCAAACATTCTACAAAACATTACCAAGAAATTCAGCAAAAATGAAGAAAAATATCAAATTCTAGCATCCCAGAATTCCCTATGAACTAATATGAATGCATTAGTCAAATTCTCTGTTCTAACATCCAAAAGATAAACCAAAAAATACAAAAACAAAACCATTTGGCTCTAATGTTTCTATTCCGACAATATCAACAATGCAAATCACAAAGGAAAAAAATAAAAAGAAACCTTCGCCGTATTCCATAATAATTGCAACTTGAAAAGGTTAGGACAAAGCAAGAACAATTAAAAAGACCATTACTAATCCAAAAAGCTAGGAAAACCAAAATACAAAACTATGTCAAACAAGTCACGGCATAAAAAAAAAAAGGAAAGAATCTAACTTAAAAACAAATTCACCAAGCAAAGTATCCAAAAAATGTAATTAAAATTTTCGTTTTTTACAACCCAAAAATAAATAAACAAAGTTGCAGTTTTGGCAAGCAAAAAGTTTAGAAAAATACTGATTCGAATTCGAGATGAAAAGTTACCAATCCAAGTTTCCTGTTTGGGCATTCTTTTCATTTTTTTGAATCAAATTAAAAAGAAAACTCTAAAAATCAATCCATTGTTGAACGAACACTTTGGTTTTTTTTTTTTTTTGGGTGATTTTTATGCAAAAAAAAAAGCAAAGCAAAAAAAATTTTATCGATAAATAAAATTTGAGACGGAGCTTGAAAGTGATAAGAGCGGAATTAAGAGAATATTTTTCAAGCTTGTGGTTCAATTGCCAATATTAGAGAATCCAATACCAATTCAATGCTTTTCCTTTTTATTTTTTAACTAATTTCCTTTTCTTTTAATTAACGCACGGATTTTTTTATTTAGTTTTTATTTTTAATTACTGACGGTTAGATTTAATAATTTAAAATATGATGAAAGAAGATTTAAAATTTTAATAAAAATTATAAATTTAATAATAAAAAAAAAGTTATTATTGATATATTCACGAATTATAATATCATAATTTTTATATTTTATTTATATTTTATACAATATGGATATACCAATTATTATGTATACAAACTCGAACATATCAGCTACGATCATCGTAATACAAGCAGAAGAGGATAATTTAGGCCAGGTAGCGAAAGTAGTAACGGTGGGGACCACATTACAAATGCTTATAACCGTTGACTATTATTCCCGCTAAAATTTATAACAGCCGTTCATTCTGCGACTTGAGCGTCAAACTAACCTTAAAGAAAAAAATTTATTGTTCTTTTCTTTTCATTTTTCAGATTTTCTATTCTGAGATTTACCAACTTTTAATTTTTTATATAAAAGTTAGTGATTTGATTTATTTAGGGTTTCGATTTGATCCTTGTAAAAGGTGAAATTCTTCGTTTCACCACTAAATAATTTATCCAGGAGAGGAAGCTTTTTGTTGATTGTCAATCTTTGCAATATCTGGCTTGATAATGGTATGATATTCTTGACTCAATTTGGTTTTATCAAATTACACAAAACTTGAGAAACTTCGAAAACATTCTATGTAATATGTGACTGAGATATTGTTTTTCAAGCTCAAACTGATTTTGTCTCTGATGTCTGATCAGGATGCTACAGCAAGGACTAGAATGAATTCTAGACGACGTCCATTGCTCACCTGTGGAGTGTCGGCCTTTTCTATCGCTCACAAAGCTTACTTAAAGGCTCAAGACTTGAATGAACCGTTAGGATCAATAGTGAAAAGAATTGTAACATTAGGCTCACAGGTATCCTCTCTTGTATATGCCCTGCAACATTTCTTGTTAGCTATCTTTTTCTATGTTGATGCTTGTATTTTAGCCCTCGAAAATGCAATTGAGACCGCTTTCCCACCATCAAAACATGTTTTCAACAAGGTTGATGAGCTTGTACAAATCATAGAAACTCTGCCTGGAAAATTTGAAGATTTTTTGGACAAATTTCCTGTGATAATCCAGCAAGTTCATTTGCTGGATTGGGCATTAGGACAGGCCATCTCTTGGCTGAAGTTGTTAACATCTATATTAACTCACTGGGGTTTAGGAAACACAAAGGAAAAAGAGATCGGGGTTGATACAAGTTACAATGAAAGCAATGGTATATCGACGGTAGCAACTGATCATGAAGCCAAGCTCCCTACAGAATCCCCAAGTCATGTTGGCCTTAATAACAATAAAGAAAAGTTTCCTCTTGCATCTGAAAAACAAATAACTGAAGCAGAAAAGGTTGGTGAGATAGCTAATCCAAGTGCTGCGAAAGGAACTTACAAAGAAGAATTAGAGAGAGGAAAAGGAGAAAATCTAGAAAAGAAGGGTGCAAAGATGGATGAGAATCCAGATGATACTGATGTTGTGGAGGACGAAACAAGTACAAGCAATGGTGTTGCACTGAAGAATGATTCCATCTTAGAGTTATTTGATTCTGGATGGCTTATGAATACTCCAGTAAAAAACACCATCGAAAACTCACTCCCGCGTTCTGTTTCATATACACGAGTACCTTAAATCGGGGGAACAATCAAGATTTCCATTTTGTTGTCATCCTGAATATTATACTGCCAATGCTAGCTTGTGCATATTGTACATTTAGCATAATTCTCAGAGCAGCCTGGTTGCTGCTGCCTTTCTATATTATGTAAAGTTGTATAATAGCTTGAAACAGCAACCTTATATGTGTTCATTGTAAATTTAGGTTTCTAAACTCAGCAGAAATCTACAAAATTTAGCTTTGAGTCTTGTACCTACTGTCCCCGTTATGAAATTGGAAGAGTTTGGCAAATAAAGATAGTAATTTGACTGCATTGCTCAAGACTTTGTGATGAATGGACCAATGTGGTGGAAAGAAGGATAAACTGAATAGGATTAACCAAAAATAATTGAAAGATGACAACCTTTGAAAAATGGTTGGCTCTTTATAAGTTTAAAGATAAGTTTTAGCTAAAGTTTCATTGTATGCCTCAAAATTTGATGTATGGAGCCAAAAGAAAGCAGGGCCTAATCATAAAATGAAGATAATCATGATATAACTATTGAGATGATCCCACCATCAATGACTAATGAGCAAATGAACCATATATAATTGACATGACTTTATAAATTGTTAATTGGCAATAGGTAGTAGGATCTTGTCAATCTCATCTAGTTGAAGGTTATTGGCTCTATGGAATTAACTTAAATAAGTTATGGTTGATTTATGAAGAAATGCTGGAATGATAGCACTGATATATATGCTTTGTTGCTTACTGCATCGATGTTTTGTCTGTTCTATGCAGCTGTGTTACAAGGTCAACAGCTGCAATAACAGCAGATAAAGGAACAGAAAAGAGAAAATTTTACATTTTGAATAGTCTTTCACTAACCCCATTTATAGCAAAGATTCCTATTGACTGAGTTTTAAAAAATCAACAAGCTCATTCATTGTCCTTTGTTTCTTCCTGCTCATTTTACCATTTCTCTCCATCATCATGTAGATGTAGGCACTCCAACATATTCTAATGATAACAGAGATCAAACCTTACCCCTTAATTCATGTTGTACCATCAATGAAATAGACTAATTTTACGAGGTAATCAAGACATTACTTAACAATCATGATTTTTGTTTATTGCTTTTCTGTATTAGAAAAAATTAAAAAAAAATTGTGATTTTAAGTTTTCTATTTTAACCAGTTTGTATAAAACTCTTCAATTGCTTTTTGTAACTTAAATTTTAATAATTTCGTAATGAAAAAAGAGTAAATCCCTACGATAAATTTGTTGAATTTGATTTTGGGTGTATTGTGTGCATGGATTCTGTTTGATTATAATTATTCTCCGTTGTGAGTATAGATTGTTGTGGGTGTGTGCAAGTGTATAATGGGTGTATTTATTAAATGGGGTAAATTTATGTTTGATCATTGAGAAAATAGAGAAATCTGTGAGAAATTGATTGATTTTTGAAGTTTAATATATTCTTTTTTTGGTATTTTTTATTCTAAATGATTTGGATTTGGATTTGCAGATGCAAGAGTTGTTTTCAAAGTTCATGAAAAGTGTGGTTTGATTTGAGTAAGACTCTATAATAATTCGAGTGAAGTATAAATACATTTTAAACGAAATTTCCCATTACTTTTTGTTAAACACAAAAATTTTCATTGAAAGGTAATAGTTTTTTTTTCTAGATTTATAATATGCATTTTACTTTGGAATGGAATTGTGTGCGGCAATTTGGATGTCTTCATGGATAGAATAGTTCATTACGGAGAAAACAATATTTTTTGCTTTTTACTTTAAGTTTTTGAGTGGTTTTATTGATGCAATAATTAAAATAAAACTTGAAAATTTGTTACCCAAATATCCTGGTTGTGAAAAAAATTAAAAAATAAAATCGTATAAAAAATTAAGAGAAAAAACTGAATGTATATTGAAAAACCATTCATTAAGAATTATACAAATACCTTAGGTTTATATACAACTAATTAAGGGTTAAATTAGAAAACTAAATTTTTCTAAAAACCGATCTTATAATTTAGGAATTGTCTATCATAATTTTTTTGTCCTTAATTCTAGGGATACAAATACTTAATTTTAGAGATACAACTACAAATTACAAAATTACAACCAGCTGTAAATAAATATTTTTTCACACTCCCCCTTAAGCTAGTGAATAGGTGTTTTTCATTCCTAGCTTGAAAATAATTTCTTAAAATATTGCACTATTGAGATCTTTAATCAACACATCTACAAGTTAACCCTTGGTTGATCATACGATGTACAAATCAACCCACTGTCTAATTTTTCTTTTATAAAATACCAATCTACTTCAATGTGTTTTGTTTTGTCATGTTGCACAGGATTGTGTGCGATGCTTATTATAGACTTGTTATCACAGTAGAGTCTTATTAGTCCATTCCACTTGATCTTCAAGTCTTCTAGGATAATCTTTAACCATAATAGTTCACAAATTCCTTGAGACATTACTCTGAACTTTGTTTCAGCACTTGATTTAGCCACCACATTTTATTTTTTACTTTTCCAAGTCACAAAATTACCACCTAAAAAAATGCAATAACCTAAGGTAGATCTTCTATCAATTACTGAACTTGCATAATCAGTATCTGTATATGCTTCTAGAATAAGTCTTGAATTTTTTTTGAATAAGATACTCTCATAGGATTGACCTTCAAATAGTGCAATATACGGTACATAGCTTTTAGGTACACTTTTTTAGGACTATACATAAATTAACTTACCACACTCACAGTATATGCTATATCAGGTATAGTATGTGAAAGATAAATGAGTCTTTCAACTAACCTTTGGTACATCTTTTATCTACAGTAGCATTTTCATTAACTTCTTCAATTTTATGATTAAGATCTATAAGAGTATTTACAGATTTACATGCGAGCTTCCCAGTTTTCTTCAGAAGATCCATCATATATTTCTGTTGAGAGATGAAAATATCATACCGTGAGTGACCTACTTTAATTCTTAGGAAGTACTTCAATCTTTCTAGCTCTTTTATCTCAAATTCTCTAGTCAAACATTATTTTAGAGATTCTCTCTCTTTTTTATCATCTCCAGTTACAATTATATCATCAACATACACTAATAGAACTGTGACTCTCCCTAAATCATAGTGCTTGATAAATAATGTGTAATCTCTTTGACTCTGTTTATATCCCATTGTTAGCATCACTTTGGCAAATCTCTCAAACTAAGTCTTAGGAGATTGTTTAAGGCTATATAAAGTCTTTTTCAATTTGAATACTTTGTTTGCTTCTAGATGACTTTCAAATCTCGGTGGAGCCTTCATATATATTTTTTCTTCAAAATCACCATGTAGAAAAGCATTCTTTACATCAAATTGTTGAAGCTATCAATTGTAATTTATAGCCAATGATAACAAAATCTTAATTGTTTTCATCTTGGCAATTAGAGCAAAAGTTTCCTGATAATTCACTCCATAGGTTTGAGTGTAGCCCTTAGCCACTAACCTGACTTTATACCTTTCAATAGTATCATTCGTCTTGTATTTTATAGTAAAAACTCATTTGTACCTCAGTAGATTTTTTTTCTTTAGGCAACTCTATCAGTTTTCATGTCTTATTTTTTTCTAAGATATCAATTTTTATTTTTATAGCTTGCCTCCATTTCTCACTGGATAATGTCTCAGATATTGTAGTTGGAACAGAAATAGTATTTAGGCTCACAAAAAAAATTTTATGGGATGGTAAAAATTTTTCAAATGATACAAAATTAGAGATTGGGTATAATGAATGCTTAGTACATTTTTTAGTTTTTTTTCTAATGGCAATAAGCAGATCATAATCACTAGTTATAGTTTTAGGAGATTCATGCTCATTTTGATAAATAAAGTCAAAGACTATAATTATCTTATTTTTAGAGTTAGGATCAAGTACTTGGACTGGCACTGGTTCAGGATCTGAAACTTTCTTTCTTGAGCACATCTGTAATTTTTTTTATAGAATCAAGAACAATATTATCCTTTGTCACATCTTCTATATTTGAAATGGGTTCAAATTCAAATTCAATGTTTGACTTGGGTTCAGTAGAAATAGGTTTTGACTCAAAAAAATTAATGGGTGAAAATGTTGAAAAAAATGATAAATCAAGCCAAAAAAAGTCTTTATCCTTATCTTCCATGAATAAAGTCTTCCCTTGAAAATAATGTTGAGTAAAAAATGATTTACTTTCTTCAAAAGTGACATTTACAGATACATAAAATTTTTTGATTGGAGGATGATAACATTTATACCCTTTCTGAGTTATGAATATCCTAAAAAAATGTACTTAGTTGCTCTAGGATCTAATTTTTCCCTATTGTGACTGTGAACATGAATAAATGATATATAACCAAATATCCTAGGTGTGAGGTTGTTTGTAGTATTAAAGTTGGAATAGAATTGTGAGAGTAGTTTTATAGGAGTTTTCAATCTTAAAACCCTTGAAGATAACCTATTTATAATATGTGTGACAGTGAAAACAGTTTTTCTCCAATAAGATTTTGGTACGTTTGCTTGAAAAAGTAAAGCTCGGGTTGTCACTAGTAAATGACTATTTTTCCTCTCTGTCACTCCATTCTACTATGGAGTATTAACACAATATGACACATGAATAATCATCTCTTTTTGGAAATAGGTAGATAAACTCTAGTTGAAATAGTCTCTTGTATTATTAGACCTAAATCTCTTTATTTTCACTTCAAATTGATTCTAGATCATGTTTTAGAAGCTTAAAAACATACTATTTACATCTGATTTAGATTTAAGTAAAAATATTCAAAAGACCCTGGTACAATCATCTATGAAAAAAATAAACTATCTTACACTTGAAATATTAAAAATTGTAAAATAACCCTATATGTCACTATGAATCAAGTAAAAAGGAGTAGAACTTCTTTTATTGCTAATTGAAAAAGACACACGTCTATAATTTGTAAGTTCACAAACATCATAATGAAAATTTTCAGTATTTAATCCTTTAAACAAATAAGGAAACATGTTTTTCAAAATTCCAAAAAAAAGATGTCCAAGATAAAAATGATAAAGCCAAATTTTATCTTTATTGAGAGATTTTTCAGAAAGAAATGACAAAGGTAAATTATTCTTGATATACTCGTGTTATTTAATATATCAAGATAGTATAGTCTATCCTTCTCCTTAGCAAGTCCAATCCTCTTTCCCGAACTCTTGTCCCAAAATTCACAATAAGAGGGATAAAAAATCACTTTGTAGTTCATATCTTTGGTAAATTTTTGTATAGATATCAAATTAGTAAACAATCCAGGAACATGAAGAACATTTTTAAGAACAAACGAAAGATTAATTTGAACATCTCCTAATCCTATCACTGTAGTAAGTGAACAATAATTTTTTTGTTACTAGGATACAAGGTATATATACTAAACTTCTATGAGGAATGTATCATATTGTATGTGGCTTCTGAGATAATGACTCAAAAACTCATAATAAGCTTAACCGAGACATTTAATTCATGAGAACCAAATGCTTTACCTGAACTAAAGACTTTACCCAAAGAACATACCTCAGTAGACTTTTCAAGAGTTTTCAATAAGCTTATCAGCTTTTCAATCTCTTCTCTATCCAATTTTTTTTGTTTTTGAGACATCTGTAGTATTTCAATTATTTTTTTTAATTGATATTTCCTTAAATTAGGTGATAGTGATATATTTATTTGAACTGAAATAAGTCTTAAAATATAACCAAAAATGACTCTTAACAATGAAGGCTAAAGAAGGAAAAAATAAAATAGCTATAAAGGCCTTAATAGGGTTCGACAATAAAGGCCTTAAATAGAAGTCAGTAATGAAGGTAGAAAATTTTACTTTTCAAGAAGAACCTAAAGCTCCGATACCATATGAAAAAACTAAGAAATAAAATTGTGTGAAAAATTAAGAAAAAAAATTTGAATGTATATTAAAAAATTGCTTATTAAGAATTATACAAGCACCTTAGATTTATATACAACTAACTAGGGTTTAAACTAAGAAACTAAATTTTCCTAAAAATTGATCCTATAATTGAAGGATTATCTATCTTAATTTTTTTATCCTTAATTCTAGGAATATAAATATTTAATTCTAGAGATACAATTACAGATAGATTACAACCAGCTATAAATAAGTATTTTCTCACACTGGTGAATATGGATTGGGTAGAATCAAACAACAAAGATGATGATCAAATACTTTGAAGCAATTTTAAATTAGGACATTCAATACTTTGACACTAAGGTTAGAACTTCTAATGTTGTGTTTAACTTAATTTTTTTGTTGTTTGGTTTAACCAAATGGAGACCTATTATTAAAATCATATTGTTTACTCCATTTTTATCATACTACTATTTGCATATTGGTATTTAATACTTTTAATTTACTTTTTTTAAGACTTTTTTTTTTTCAAGTTTCAAAATTGTTTGAAATACATCTTCCATTGTCCGGTGAGTTTTGATTACAGTGGGTAAAAATCTTCTTGAAAAATATGCTCTATTTTTATTTCAACATAAATTTACTTTCAGCTTCATCTTTTGAGTTTGCTTTTTTATATGACTCTATTTCTATATATTTCATACATATTAGCTTCCATGGTTTCAAGAATTTATTGGAGTTAGAGTTTAGGGCTTTGTGTGAAAGAATTCAAACCATATTTTTTCTTACGTTCAAGTTTATATTTTAAAGATATTTCTATTTTTGTTTTAAATTTTTTTACGAAATTAGCTTTTAAATTCTTTTATATATGTTTGTGTTTCATGAATTCCAAGAATTGATTTTTTTTTTTATTGTTGTTTTAACTTTGCAACTATTTAATTGTCTTTATTTGAGTGTTTTTATGGTTTCTTTGGTGGCAGGAGACGAATACTAGACATTTGTATGGAATATTGGATGTGACCCTCAATTTATTAATGTTGAGCTTCTATGGCTCTTCCTTTTTTAAGGTATTTCAAAAATTAATTATATTAATAATAATTATTCTAATTTTTTTAAAAATCAAGATAAAAGTGAGATACATATAAATATAGAAGCCTTTAATTATTTTCTTTAAAGTAAATTTGGATCATGTAAAGAAAAACTATGTTTTCATACCTAAGATTAGGTTAAAGATATTTGACCAAAAATTTTTGCCCTTTTCATTAAGATACCAATATATGGTACTGTTTATAGCATGTTCTTATGTTTACTTCAAGTTGAGAATACAAGCCGTAAAATTTAAAAAATAAAGAGCCATTTTGGTTGATTTTTGTCTATTAATTTTTATGAGTAAGAGATATTTGTCAAAATGTCTCTTGAAGGTTTTTTATATTGTAGGATTCAATTCTCATAAGTTTTGTATCATACATATATTTTATAACTGACATAAATAGGCAATATTAAATCTTCTTTTGAGCTTAGCACACATTTGCTTGAAATTTTGTAGTTTATGAATAAAAATGTAAGTCTCCATTATTCTAGATATATTGCGGTTTTATACTGAATACATCTTTTCCTTTTTAAACAATTGATTTTTGTATAGGTTTTAAATATATCATTTTTCTATCTCTATTTTTATAAAAACATTTTTGGAAAAGTCTTTTTGTTATTGGTCTGATCAAGATTTGAGATATTGTTGGCAATTTGAATGGCATCGGTTGAGAAGGAATCATGTTATTAATGGCAAGTTTAATAAAAATATACTTTCATCGTATATTTGATACTGAATCTTGATAATAACGTGTAGGTATTTTCTTAATTTTACGTTGAAACTTGAACTTTTACAAATATAAAGCACAACTTTAATTTCAACCGGAAAGTCTAGAGCTACCCAATTTCAAATTTTAATAATTTAAAACCAAATTGATATAAATTTAAATAGCTCAAATATCAAATTTAAATGATTTCAGATCAAAATCAGTCAAAGTTTATTTGTTTGACATTAATAGGAGATAGTATAAACAAAATAAATCAGTTGATCTCCTAACAATCCATCATAAACATTTCAAAAAGCAAATGATCAAGCAGCTTCAACTTGGCAAGACAGAAAGATAAAGAGCCAGCAAAAATTCATTGAATCAACAAATACCAAAAACCATAACGTTGTCAAGAATGATGTTATTTTATGATCACACTACTTACCAATGACATGAGTGCAACAAATTACAACTTTATGAGTAATCAGACAAAAGTGTCAGATACTTTAGCATTTTCCTTATACGGTCTATATGTCAAAAGTTCAAAAAGTCAGAATGCATCAGAAAATGCACAACTTAAGATAACAATACCCATCTTACTTCCGATTGTCCTTGCCACAGTGGGCATTCCCTTAGTTTCTTGTTGAAACTTGGACTTTTACAAGTGCAAAGCACAACTTTGATTTCACCCGGAAAGACCAGAGCTGCACAATGTCGTCAATCTTTAGTCGATTATTCTTGACAACTGAGTTCCACGTGCGGGTCATGACATAGCTTGAACTTTTCCCTCTATATTTCCACCTTTTAAAAGTCACAGTAGTTTCCTTCATTGATGGTTCTAACAAGCACACTTCCAAGGCGTTGTTTACATCCTCCAAATCCTCAGCCTCTGTTTTATTGAGAAACTCATGAGTTTTGAGTTGTGAAAACGGCATGGAGAAGCGACTGGCTTGAGGGTTCACGTCAGAGTAAAAGACTTGCTTTTGTATCACCAAAACCCAATCGGAGCCACCCATGTTTTCAACTATATGTTGTTTAAAGCTCTCAGGCAGGTCTGGCGAAGGGATTGCGCAAACAAGTTTCTCTTTCTTGCGTCTCTTCAATGTCAGTCCTTTCGATTCTTCATCAACATCTGCTTCTTTGAGTTTGAGTTTCCTTTTCAGTCCAACATTCTTCCCCTGTTTGAAACCAATATTCTCTTCTTCGCACAGGGTTTGAAGATGTGGTACATTGTACAGGAAACACTTCAAGTACGAATTATGCCCTTTCTTTTCTTCTCCGTTGCGCAGTTTCTGTTGGCCAACTCTGGCAACCTCTAGCAAGTAATGGAAAGGAGTGCAGTTGGGATCAAACTTTGTGTGCTTGAAATCGTCAAGGGTGAGTAGTTCCATGCAGTAGAAACAGTAGAAAGACTTTAGAGATGGGTGGAAATGAGAGAATTGTAACAGGGAATAATTGAGAAACCGAATGGAAGTAGAATTTGCTAAATTTAATGAGATCATAGGCCAGAGAGATACATATATACTCCTTAACCTGGTATTCTTCCAACCCAAGCAACAGAGAGGGAGAAAGATTTGATCAATAAATATAACCGTTGCGTTATCTCAATGAAAATGACCTTTGTTGACCGCGAACCCGAAAAAAGCGGTTAAGGCGCGCCCAAACTGCAAAACATAGGTTTACCTCATTAATCCAATGGTTCAAGCCCAACCCCTGTTTTAAAAAAAACACCAATTTTCAAATATAATAATATTGAACCGTTAAAAATTTCTATCAAATTGGAAAAAACCAAACAAACTGCCATATCTAATCGATGGCCATCTTCCAATCGTGCAATTCGAGAAGAAGATCATATAAATGGTGGGGCAAAATCCAGCGGTGGTCATAATAGGAGAGACCGGTTCGGGAAAGAGCACTCAGCTCTCTCATATGCTCCACACCGATTCCGGAATCGTCGCCGTCACTCAGCCCCGCCGCGTCACTGCCGTCTCCGTTTCCAGGTACCGTTAATCGTGTTATGGGAAAATTGTGGGTTTCTGAAATTTTCCTGGTAATCATGTTTGGATCTCATGAGGTCTTACTAAGTAATTGGATTTTGGCTGGTATGCATGTTCGGCATCCAGGGTGGTGACATCTTAATATTCATGATTGGACACGTGAGCTCTCTTTCTCTTTCTCTCTCTCTTGGGGTGCCATTAGATGCGGATTTATCTTGTATCTTCTACTTGGTTATAGCATTGATTCATTGATAATTTTACTGATTCTTTCAAAGTTGAGTGGCCATTTATAGGATGATATAGACAAGTTGGTATCAAAGCTGGAGAATAGAGTTCGAAGTCTAAAGGAAGGCTCCTGCATGAATGCCATAAACCTTCTCTCCATGGTTCCTTGCCAACTGAAATGCAGGTATGCTTTCCTTCTCAGCTTTTCTTTTCCTCCATCAGGAAAGTGATTTTTCAGTTTTTATCAACAATATTGGCACAATCAAGTCTCCTTTGCACCATTGGAAATGAAATTAATTTAAGCTCTATTGGCTTGGGATGATATTAATGGTTTTGAATTTGCATAATTTTGACCTAACAGGTGTGTGTATTCAGTCCTCCACCTCCAAACCGTCGGTGTTTTATTGTTGCCACAAACATAGCTGAAACTTATTTGACAGTTGATGGTGTTGTGAAAGAAAACTTGATACTTGTAAAATGTTGCTTGTTTGTGTTTGTCTCTGTCTTTGCTTTTCTTTCTCCTTCTGAATAGAAGATAGTGTAGACAATGAATTGCATTCGTACTACTAATATGTACAAAATCTCCTTAATTTTGGTATTTATTAGCCAACCTTTTTCCTACCTAATTTGCCAAGATTATGTGAATATTTCTGCTCTTAGCAAAGCAATTATTATAATGTCATGATTATGTATGTTTTGAAATAAAAATGAAGAATTAACAAAATGGCCAAATATTAGAAGAAATGCAAATCCTGGGTGTCTATGTGCAAATAAATCTAGTAAAATTAAAACATAGCAGAGACAAGGTTATTCTGAATTTATAGGTGTTATAGTTTGGTTTACTATTTTGTTCCTTTTTGTTTCTTAATTTTATAGGTGTAAATTTTCTACCTAGGGAAGGCACTAAGATTTGGTCCTAAGGGTCCTGATAAATATTAAGACTTATATATGGTCCAATAATGACTATATTGTTATGATATTGTTGTACCGTTTTCCTAAGTCTACCACCTGCTTTTACACTTGGTCTTAGTTAATAAGATCAATTGCATTGATACATTGATTGACTTCTCTCTAAACTAATATAGGTATTTATTGATTCTGATTGTGTAAGGCAACGACAATACAACCCAGCAACTGGAATGTATTCCCTTGATTTTGTTAAAACTAGCAGGTAAGTAGATGATTTAATGTTTCTTTCGGCTTTTGGAGCCTATTCATGTGTTCCTAGTAGCACAACTTACAGTTGTGATTTGTTTGCAAGTTAAATTTTCTTTATATGCATGATTATGCTTTCATTTTGCAACAACAAGTTATATGTTCTTGTCTTTCTTTTGTCACTTGAGTGACCCATTGTTAGTATTCTTCCAAATCATTTCTATTTTCTTTCCCTCGTTTCTTTTTGACATCATTTTTTTTTTTGTATGCCTGAAGGGTACAAGGTAATCAACGTGCAGGATAAGCTGGAAGAACATGTCCAGGGAATTGCTAACGTTTATGCCCTTCCAGTGTTTACAATGATGAGTTCCTCGATGTAACAGTTCCTGAAATACAGCAATCTTCTCTTTCTGGCAGTGTTATTTTTCTAAAGTCATTGGATCTCCCTGATATCGATATTCTGAAGTTTGATTTTCTGGATCCCCCTTCTAGTAAGAATGCATTCTTATTGTGTTCAATTGTTGTTTGGGCAGAAAGAAAGAACAAGCATTTGAGTTGTCACTGTTTAAAATTTTCATTCGGTAAATATCTGAATTTTGCAGTTTCTGCCAATGTTTCCTTTTAGAATTGGGATATTGATTAATCTGATTGGTTTAAGTGTAGCTGAGTCATTAGAAGATGCTTTAAAGCAACTATATCTGATTGATGCTATTGATGAGATGGATCAATCACAAGTATTGGGCGAACAGTTGCAGGTAAGGATTCACATTACTTACCAAGTATTACCATGCTCACAAAGGTTTGTTGCCATTAGTTGATAAATGCATGCATAATGTGGAAGATGTAGCTTGTAATTTTTTATACCTCACTCAATCATGGTTATGATATCTATGGATGTGCAACACCTGAAACTGGGACGTTGGAAGACAAGAATTTGGGTGCAGTCAACTTCCTGATGATGAATTACCAACCCTTACCATGAAACCAAACTCAGAATGGCCACCTTCATTGATTCCTATTTAACTTACGTTTACAACCGGCAACATGGGTTACTGTGTATTGTAATGTAGAAGAATTTATTTACCTAGAATTACTATTTGTCTTGGTTTTAATTTACCACTCTTTGTAGTGTTTATCATAGCTACTTGTGTACATAAATAATTTTATGTGGATATTTTTCTGTCAGAAACTGCACCACTTTGCAGATGAGCTCACTTCACAACTTTGTATTTGCATGCAGAGCACCCATCGGAACCATCACTTTCTAGAACCTTAATTGAGGCAAATGACAACAGTTGCTTATCCCAGGCTCTGACTGTTGCTGCCATGTTATCAGCAGAAACAAATTTGCTTATTGAAGGTTATGTCATGAAAGTCTTTATGAGATTGTCATTATAGGGATGCTGACTATAGCTTTTCCGGTTATCTTTAATTTAAAAGCAACTAGTTGCATGTATATGTTTTTTAAACACTGCAAATTGTAATTTGCAGTTCCTACTGCATGCAGATGTAATACCTTATTTGGTGAAACCAAAAACCTTTTAGATGTTTTCAACTAAATGTCATACTCTGGGTTCTTTATGTGTTTGGTCTAATATCCTCATGTTCTTCAAGTTTTCTCTAAGGCTCATTTGATTAACTAAAAAGGAAAAAGAAATTGTTTCACTTTATTTTGATATGATTTTGGGAGATGGGATGGTTGAGGACTCATGATATCCAAATTCTATCAATGGACTACTGAATGCTTAATAATAGATTGTAATAACAAATAACATAATTTTTCTCTACCTGCAGCGAGAGTAACGAGAAGAAAAGGAAACACCCTCCTTTGGACCTTCGTGATGGTTCTGGTTTTGGTGATCACATCCAGTTGTTACTGATCTATGAATGCTGGGATGAAAATGATTACAATATTGGCTGGTGCAAAGGTTATGACTTGCAGGTGCCTTTCTTATCTTCCAATTGAGAAAGCATGCATTTAGAAACTGTAAGACATTAGACATGCCGTTTGGATTGTTTATGCTATACTCTGAAATGTCACCAAATAGTATGATGTTATTGCCATAAATTTGGCTAGCCTTTTGACTTTTTCCATGCATCTAATAGTGGCATTAATTGCTTTTTTCAGAACAATAATAGAAATCTACCTCAAGTACTTGATGCATGTGCATACCCTGTCATTCATTTTCAGATGGATCTTTCTGTGATGAGCAGAAGTGCCCTGGATGTTATGGATACATTATGGATGGAATATCTTTGATCCTGTTCTCTTGCTAAAGATGAATAACATACGTGGAACTTACTATTGTTAGGTGCAAGGAATGATGTTTGTCAAAGAAGTTTGAAAACAGTTATCTCAGATAATGCAGAAGATAGCAAGGGGTCTGCATTGATTTGGCTTAGTGGTGATTTCTGGAGATTTTGCTTTTGTTAATTTGACCTAGCTTTACTTTGCATATTTATAACTCACATAATCAAACCATAAGTAGATGTGTTTGATGTCTTTGCCCTTCTGCTCCCATAATTCTGCTTCCTAGAAAAATGATTCTTGCTTGAAATAGTAGTTTGGGGGCATAGTGGCCTTAGCTTCTCAATCCATGTAGTAGATAAATATTAGAGTAAACTTCCCGCACATCGCTTGCATTTTCTGTGGCAGTGGTAACTGGAATGTTCCCGTAGGTTTGGGAACAGGGAAATGCATAGAAACATCTCTTTCTTCAGAAATCCTGCGGTTAATAACCTAGTCTTCTATCCTGTCTTTGCCATTTTCCTTCTACCTAGAAGTTTCTTTATTGCAGTAACTGTTTATGTACCTGAAAAATAGGGTCATCAGATGGGCGAGCACATCAAAGTCGGATATGACATCAGAATTATAGGAATTTGAGAAAGGCATTGTGTATCGGCTATGACATCAGAATTATAGGAATTTGAGGAAAGACCATAAACCAATGTCATATTCTTTGAACTCATTAATTAACCAATGGGGCAATGGCCCAATCCATGTTTTAAATGAAAAACCAATTTTCAGATGTAATAAAAAAAGACAAAGACTCCAAAGAAAATTTATTGAAATTTTCAATCAATTGGAAAAAAAAAAAAAAAACCTGCTGTATCTAATCAATGCCCAATCTTTGATTGTATCTATTTCATTTGGTTTATGCTATTGTTATCGGATCATTCATTTCAGGGATATATTGCTTGGTTAAAAGACATGCCTCCAACTTAAAAGTTTTGAATTCTGATCATATCAGTAAACCTTGGTGGTGAAAAAGTGTCGAAATTCTTAGCAGATTGTCCCTTGTTGACTATCGCCAGAAAAATATTTCCTGTGGAAATATTCTACATCAAGAAGTGCCCTACAAGCTCTCTTGGTATGATGGGAGTCCATCTTTTACTACATAGTCTGCTGTTGCAAGCTTTTATTATGCATACATGATGACCATTTCTTCTTGTTTTCTGCATCTACATCTGCTCTAGTTACATGAACATCTGCTAATGTTGATAGAAATACTATGATTTTTTTTCCTTATATGATGACTATTATCCATCCACTAAGCTATGTTGATTAATAGTAATATTGATGTATACAAGTCGGTTTATGGTCTTTTATAAACTGTTTGTCTAATCAGACCTGTTGGCTCGGATAACTGATCAGGATTCTACAGCATGCGCTGGAATGAATTCTAGACGACATCCATTGAACACCTGTGGAGTTTCGGCCTTGGCTATCGCTCACAAAGCTTACATAAAGGCTTAAGATTTGAATGAACCATTAGGATCAGTGGTGAAAAGAATTGTAACATCAGGCTCACTGGTTTCCCTTCTTGTCTATGCCCTGCAACATTTCTGGTTAGCTCTCATTTTCTATGTTGATGATTGTATTATAGCCCCAAAATGCAGTTGAGACCTTTTTTCCCACCATCAAAACATGTTTTTAACAAGGTTGATGAGCTTGTACAAATCATAGAAACTTTGCCTGCAAAATTTCCTTTGGTAATCGAGCAAGTTCCTCCTATAGCGTTTCTGCCAATTTCCTGGAAATGCAAGTTTAACTATTGCTGGTAGAGCCACCAGTCCCACGTTGAACATTTGAATCCACGACTGTGCGCAAATTAGTTTAACAAGGGCATGAAAATATTAAGATAACGAAAGTTACTTTAAACACATGAGGTACAACTGGTACTGGCCTGGAGAATAAGGAAACATAGTGTACAAGGAAGCATTAGAGAATTAAATTTATAAATATGATTCTGAAATGCGAGACAAACACAGGAAGCAACAGAAAAAAGTAGAGGGAGCAGAGCAAAGTGAATTTTAATCATCCTGCTTTCAACTTTTGCATATGACACGAATTGCTACTTTTTATTCATCATACATAAAAAGTACTGAACACCACTGCATTGCTTTGAGGAATTAGACCGAACGGATATGGCATTTTAGCAGATATCAGATATCAAATCAAACTTTTTAGTCGACTGAAAAGAGAAAACAAACAAAATAAGCCTGTCCGCGAAATGGCAGAATTCCTAGAAATCACCAAAGCAATATAAAGGCATAAAACGCCCACCGTGGGGCTCGAACCCACGACCACAAGGTTAAGAGCCTTGCGCTCTACCGACTGAGCTAGACGGGCTCTGGGTTTTATTTACCAAATATAAATTAAGATGGTTAATTTGATACCATAATAAAAAATAATTAATGAAAAAGAAATGTATATAAGTAAAGTTAATATTTATTAATAAAAAACGTTTATATGTAAAATTAATAAAAAAAAGAAAATATATATATTTGCATGAAAAATAATTAATTATTTGATACCATGATCGAAAATAATTAGTGAAAAAGAAATGTATATATGTAAAATTAATAAAAATAAAAAATATCTATATATATTTATATGGAAATTAAAAAAATGATTTTATTTTCCTTTTCATTAGTTTATATATATATATATAAATATTTTCATTTTTATATTAATTTGTATATAAATATAAGTATTTTATTTTTATTAATTTTATACAAAGACATTCCTTTTTATTAATAAATAATTTTTATTTTTATTTTTATATTTATTAAAACTATATGTACATCGAAAATTTTATCAGCCATAATAAAAAATAATTAGTGAAAAAAAATGTTCCCATGCAAAATTAATTAAAAATTGATAATTACTTTTATGACCTCTAATTTACATATTATTTGACTAAATATACATATATTTTGTTTAAATGCATATAATCACTTGTAATCTTGAGTTACAGCTCATTGAATATTAAAATCATAAAAGTAATTTTATTTTGTATTAATTTATATATTAGTATTATTTTTAATAATTTTTTTTAATCATGGTACCAATTAAAAAATTTTTGTCAAACCATCCCTTTTGAAAATTTCTCATATTTACGCATTTTTATCATGTATACATTTTTGCCATTTCATTGTTTACATGTACTAGAATATACTAACATATCGTTAACTTAATTGTAAAAAGACTTATATAGTGAAAAATAAAAAAAACTTATTTAAATTCAATAAAAATATAAAAACTTAATTAAATTATTTTAAATATTTCAAGAGCTTTTTTATCAAAGAGAGATTACTGCATTTTGTTTTTTTACTTTTAGTCACTAAAACAAAAAGGTTATTTCCATATTTGGATGTCAGGTGTGTCGCCACTAACCAGCACCGCCTGACGATATGTAGGATGCTATAGTTGAGACATGAGCCAGTATCTGTGAATTGTACTATCTTAAGTCTGTGCTTCAGAATAATTTCCGTTGGTTGTTGGCGTGTAACACATAACTATTCACGTGGAGCAACTGCCTGGTTTTTTTGAAGATGAACCTAACCCTTAATTATGACTTACATGGTACATGTATTCCTACCCAGAAGTGGAGAAGACGCAAAAATCCATAGATTACAGAGGGCCTGTACATTTCTGCTTCTCTATGATAACCAAAAAGTTAAATACTGTCCATTGGAACTGGGCATGAGAAATAGAAAAGAAGATACAACGGAAATTTACAATAGCTTGCCACGCTTTAACACTGGTACATGGAGTAGCTCTTGCTCTTCCATAGAAAGCTCAAGGCTTTCCCCATTTTTCTTCTTGATACCGATTTACACAATGGCCTGGATTCTTGAGCTGAGGATGCAGCAGGCATGGGATCTCGATTGCTTTCTTCTCTCTGGTGTATGTCTGCAGGCGGATGATCCCGTTGCCGCTGCTCCCGAAAAAGCATCAGAAGTTTTTGCGACTTCTCCCTCCCTCTTGTTGTTCCATTTACTTGAATTGACACCAATGCAGGAATCACGCCTTCTTGTAGGACCATTTGACTACATTTCTCATTTCCATTACAAAGGAGTAGAAGGCATGAAACAGCCTGCTCTTGCTCAATCGATTCGCCAGCATCCAAAACTGATGCCAGACAACTTATAAGACCAGCAGCTGATACCATCTCTTCTTTTCCTGCTTGACTTGAAGCTAAATTTAGCAAAATTGCAATGGATTTCTCCGTCCAGACATGGTCACCCGAGACCACAAGTGACTGGAGGCCATTAACTATGCCAGCAGAAAGAAGGCTAGGAATATTGAAGCGCACAGTAGAAAGATTATAAAGAGTGTGAAGGGCATCAAGCTTGCATTGTGAATCAGTTTCACTTCCAAGTAGCTGGACTAAAAATGGGACAGCCTTACTTGAGCCTATGATAGACTTGGCTTGCTCAAGGCAAGATAGATTAAGATAGAGAGCAGTTGCTGATTCATATGCATTGGAGTTGGAAAGCATATCCTCCAGCAATAAAATCACTCCAGCTGCTAACATCAATTCTTTGTTTCTGAAATTTTTTTTTTAAAAAAAGGGAGAAAGGAAACTAAATAAGATTCAGCTTAGCAATACATATATAATGTCAATCAATCATAATGAATAATAGTGTCAAAATGAAAGACATGACAATGTTCTTTCCCCCTCCCATTCATTTGATAGGATCCTTTCTCCTACAATGTTTGCATTTGGTGGGTCATTTAATAAATTAAAGTTCACCAGCAGCTCACCAAAGGCTAAGAGAAAAAGAAACCCTGTATTGCTCATCAATGTTAATGGGTGGATTTAACCTAGCAAAGGCATAAAACATGAGTAACAAACCTGTTATTGTTGACAGCAAGGTTAAAGAGAGCCATTGCCCCAATTTCCTGAGCCATTGCATTCCCTTCACGCACAGCTGACTCTAGAAATTGCAATAATCCTTCAACAAAGCCATTAGCCCCCATAAAAATCCTGGCCTCCTCGTCATCTTTCAGCAAAAGCCTTATTTGTTCCACAACTTTGCACCTTTTCCTCAAGTTCTCTCCTTCATTCAGGACAGATAAGAAATCCTGATATCTTTCTAGCACATTAAGCTCTGAAACTTCCTCCCGAGGAGATGGAGGTTCATTTTCAGCTTCATTTCCTTCTACTACCTCAATGGCACCACTCTCCTTTAAAGGAACCACCTTAGCCCGCTTTAAGTTGCATGAACCAATATTATCCATTGATCTAGAATTAGCAGTCTCAGACTCAGACAAGGCCAGTCTCCAGTAGTTAAGATCAAGAGACTCTGGGGGACAATCAGGAATAGGAACTCCATTCTGTTCACACCAACTAGCAATGAGACCCTTAACACAGTAATTAGGAGTCAAAGAGAGATGTGGGAGCTTCTGTTGAGTCTTTGGGCAGGTGTCATGACCATCACTAAACCATTTCTCAATGCAGATCCTTTCATAAGTCTGTCCAGATGCAATTATGACTGGATCATACATAAGCTGCAATGATATTGGACATCGTAATTCTTCAGGTGGAAGGGGTATCTGCCCAGATCTCCTAATATTTGGCTTGAAATTGAAAGAACTGAGCTTTGATAGCTGCGGCTCAAATGCGTGGCCAATACCACCAGCCCCTCCATCCTCAATAGAACCCAGAACAGTGGGGGAACAAGGTGTTGAACCCTGTGAGTCATTATCATCTGAAACCTCACTGCGAAATAACTTGGAGTATTTTCTCATGAGATGTAAAAGATAAGCTACGATAGATTCCTTCCTCTTGTCCTCCTCTGCACAGGCTCTTTCTATCAGCTTCTTGAGAGCCCTTCTTTCAGTTAGGGCTGCTCTAGAAGAAGTGATACCAAGTATAATAGCAGCCTGGTGAAAAGACTCAAGCTCATTGTTGTCATTACAGTCATCAAATTTTCTCCCATGCTGGAGTAATGTAACTATTTCATCACCAACTTGCTTCTCAGATGGATCAAGTGAGAAAACAGTCCCCTCAAGTTCACTTACAATCTCTAAAATCTGAAGCGAATCAAGTAATTAGAAATATTGTGAATATACAGGCAAAAGCACAGCTACTACACGGTTTCACATTGGAAGGATTGTACTGCAGGTAATTCCAATACAACCATGAGACAACATATTTCCTAAAAGAATTTAAAAAATATTCTTGATTTGAACCACAAGCCTTAGGGAATATAAAAAATGCACTGGGATGATGCGTATAAAACTCTTAACACCAAAACAACACATAATGAAACTGCTTACAAAACAAAACCCTTATTATTATTTTTGTTTCTTTGGCAATTAGACCCCCTATTTATTTAAACACTCAAAAATTACATAAACTTTCAATCTCAAACTAGGAAGGGGGGAATCATTACCTGACATGCAATGGACTGTGGAACTATATCTTCTACACGCCTAAGACTATCAATAAGAGCATATTTTGCCTTCTCAAATTTTAAAAGTACAGAATCTCCAGTAATAGCCTACATGAGAAGCACAATAATACCATTAGCAAACATCTGGAAGAGAGAGAAACATGGTGGAAAATAACAAAGTTGAAAAACCATTTGGTGAATGTATCAAACAAAAGTCAAAACCACTACCCCAAGCATATACACGAGTACATGTACAATTATGCATACATATATCTTCTGTGTGCATGTTTCTGTGCACAAAGGAAACTCTTACCAAGTAAAGTTTACTACATGTTGAACAATGTTGAAGAATATTTTTGGCCTTCTCTAGAGCTATATGCAATGAGCACAGAGCCTGAATGCCAGATTTGCTCCTAGGCCGTGCTGCTTCCAAGGAAGGGAATATCAACAAGACTTTGCAATAAATTGCTGAAAGTGCCTTGCACATTTCTCCATGTAACTGCATAAGAAAAAAAATTCACAAAATAAGAAAACTGTGAAATAAGCACGTCTTTCTTTCTTTGTCCTACAATAAAAAATGTAGCAAGATTCAACCATTATAGTTGCCCAAATGCAAAAGGCCTTTGATTTTAAGAAAAACAGTTAAAAAATTACGAACTTAAGAGATGGATTGATGCCAAAAAAATTTATGCAAAAAGTACATTCACAAAATAAAAAAACTAACTAGCAGGCATATCCCCATTTTTGAGAAGTTAACTAGAATTTAAAGAACAGCAAACGTAGAAAATGTCAGTTCCAATACTGCAAGTCTAACATATCCACATGCTATCAAATTTATACCTTTGCATCACTAGCTGCAAATAGGTTCTCCTCAACCTCAGAAATTTCCATAATTTAGCACTCACTGCAGGAAACCACTAAAATGCAAATCTATATCAATTGAAATGCAAGAGGAAAACAGAAAAGAGTTAGATAGGTTACAAACTAACCACTAAAAATTATTTCAAAACACCACACAAAGTTCAAACTACATTGGTAACTTCAAAGTTTTATCCCCTGAACTAACATAACAATCTGGAAAATTCATTTTCTTTCTCTTTGACACAAAAATTCGTTACCAACCATGCATCAAGAATACCAATAAAAAAATTTCTCCACACATCTTTTGTTGCATTGCAACCAAATCAAGCTTTATGTATTTCAATTTTCCTCAAAAGATGCACCTCAACAAAGCAAATGACTTATCAATCTCAGTTCAATAGTTCATTTTTGTTATATAAACAATAGACATATTATTCAGAAAAAAATACAATTTTCAAATATTTCCTATCTAACATACGCGTAGGATTAAAAATAAAAGATTGCATACATGAAATGGATAAGGAAAAGACCTCCACATAAATCAAATACACTTGGCAAAATGAGCATTCTTGAATAAACTATTGATCTGGTCATCGTTGCAAATTCGAAACAAAGGCAAATAAAAATATGTATGGAAGGAAAAAAATGCAGAATTTTGATTTTAATCTAGACATTTCATCAAACACCGTAAGACGGAACTCGAAAAGAAGATTTCCAGTAAGGAACAAACAATTATGATTGGTTTTAAGGCAGAACAAACAATTTGATTTGGACACCTCATCAAACAAGTGATAATTGAAGATTCTCAATAGAAGTAAAGAAACGGTTAAGTCAAAAGAGTACTGTTAAAGGAAAAAAAAAAAAAAAAGAATCTAAGATTGATTGGAAAATGACCTTGTGAAATCCCAGAGATCTTAACCGAGACAAGACACGACGAAAATCACCATCAGTTTTAACCGATATTCCAAAAACAGGCAAAACCAGAAACCCACAAAAATTAGTATGAAATAAAAGACTTAGCAAAAAAAACCTTATAACAAAAACGCGATTTTTCCTACGGAGATTGCGAAAAAAAAAAAAAAAAGAAACAGAAACGCACCAAACACGGAATTACAAAAACAAATTTAAAAAAAAAAAAAAACCTCCTATTTTCAAACACAGGAGAAAAATAACTATTTTATTTTGAAAAAAATAAAATGGGGATTGAATCTGAATTAGGGTTCAAAAAAAATACCGGGACAAAACGGAGGTAGCCAAGGAGGCTTCATATAACAGAGCATTTAGAGAAAAAATGAAGAGCCAAACAGGGAATTAGGATTCCAATTATCCCGTCTCATCGTTCAGTTAGATTTTTGGATTCCAAATTTTGTTGCCCGAAGTAGCGAATTTATCGGACTAAATAGAAGTAAGAGAGAGAGATTGAAAACAAAGAGAGAAACACTGGATGTTTGGTTATTGAAACTGAGGGTAAATAGGAAGGAACATTGGGAAAAAAATTTTAAAGGTTTATTTTAAGCGGGATTAAAAAATAACTGTGAGAGTGCAGAGAGACCTTTTTTTTTTTTTTTCTTTTGGAAAACGTTTAATAATTGTTTAATTAAAATTTTAAAAATGAATTTTTGAAATTGGATTTCTTCGTTTATGTCTCCCAGGTTCGCCGGCCGACAAATGCCGACCTCCTCGTTTGTCGGTTAGCAGATTTGCCATAAATGTTATCAAATGACTCAATTGTCCTTTTAAGTTCATAATAACTAATCAACTTTTAAGTTCATAAATGAATTTAATGCTTAAATTGTCGTATGGCTTGCCCCTCTACAACTAATCCTTTATTAAATATATAGTATAATTTAAGCATTAAAGGAATGATTTATGCATTACTTTGGAGGAAAAAGAAACTAACTTTGATTTCATTGGCCGTAGAAATGTTTCCATGCAGGGGCAGTGAGTAATGAACCGGGGCATTCATATAAATATGTTTTATGTTTTTAGTCGTCTTATCTTTTTTTTTTTTTGAAACTATGTCGTATTATCATTTTAATTAAACTAAGGGGTAAAATTTTGGAAAAAAAAATTCTTTTTAAATATGTATTTTTAAATAATTAATTAATAAAATATAAAAATACTAAATTAAAATGCTAAATTTCATATTTTATATTTTTACTAATACTAGTTTATTAAAAATGATTAATACTTGCAAATATTGAAATTAATATAATAAATTTCATATTTTATTTTTTGTTTTAATTAATTTTGGGTTGTTTTAGACTGGACCAAACCCAATGATTTTTAGGTATAATGTTAATTTTGATTATTGTTATTTATTTTAATTTGTGATTATTTGACTGATTTAAATTTTATGAAATTGTTGCAAAAATTTATGAATAACATAACAAAGAAATTTTAATTAAATAAGTTGAATACTACAATGTATTTATTTAATAAAAATTTCTTTAAAAGAAATTAAAAAAAAAAACTTACAAGTGGTAATTTTCTAAATTATTCTAAATGAAAAATGATTATGGAATTTTACCAGTAAACCTATCCATCGATTGGACTGGGCCTTAAACAAAAAATTTCAAATTAAGATCTTACCCAAATTGTTATTTTATTGATAAAAATATTTTTATTTAAATTTAATTTAAAAAACTTTTAAAAATAAAAAATATTAAAATAATTTTTTAACAGTCCAATATTATTTTGATCAGTCAACAGGTTTAACCGAATGGGCGAGTCAACCTTAGGCAAGGCTGAAAAAGTTTCAACTGAACGTGGCTCGGTTCGGTTAGATCCACAAATACCTCCATTTACAATTGTTTATGAAGTAATCTCCAAATTATTTTTACAAAATGATTGATTTAATCAATAATAAATCTTTATTAAATATATACTTTTTTAAATAATTAAAAATATATATTATCAATTAATTAATATTTTGTATTAAAATATTCATAAATATATCAAACATAATAAAAAAAAATCTTCTCAAAAATAAACTTTGATGTAGCTAGGTCTAATTCTAGTTATGTTCTTATTATAATAACATGGTTAATACTGTAAATATATGCTTTTGTAATCTAAAATTTAATTTCATTAATTAATGTAGTTATAATTAAAAATAACAATTAATAAATTTAAAATTTTAATTTTAATTATTACAAGTCTTTAAAACTCAAAATTTCACTAATTAATTTATATATTTACTTTTAAAAATAAATTTTAACAATTTTAAATTTTAAATCTTAAATCTTACCTTAGGATTTTTTTTATCATCACATTTTTTATTCCTTTATTAAAAAAAAAAAAAAGGGGGTATGCCCACCCAGCCACGTGGGTACGCCTTAACAAACAATATTAACTGAACCAGCGCCCCAAAAATTGTTTACTCGCCACTCGGGTGCCACATTCATGGAATTCCCCGTTGTTTTTTCCATTTTTTTTTTTCACCGCTGCCCCAATCAATGGTGAAAGAACCGTCGTCTCATTATTCTCATCAATACAGAACCACGTCCAATCAGACGTGCAATCCACGCCACGTGCTGTCCGAATTTGCCGATGTGATGCACCCTCCTTAAGTCATAGCAGCGTATCCTTCAACGTCCTAATCTAGTCGGGGCTTTTTCAGGGTTCGATCAGACTGTCATTCACCGTTTCATGCTAAAATAGTATACTTCCTACGGAACTTACTTGAATTGGAATGCAGACTGCACGTGTCAATAGCTTGGTGGACATTCCGTTTGCTTTAAACAAGTCCATTAGACGACGAGATTGTTGGCAGAAGACAGTTTCATTGCTATAAATAGAACATGGAATCGCATTCATTGATTCTTGCACATGCAGCCAAACTTTTTCTTTTTCTTTGTTTGGTTGAAAATGGGAACTTTGGACCATTTTCATATCTTGTTCAGTTTTAGTTTATAAAAATGTAAAGTCTAAAGATATTTTTGTCTCAAAAGTATCATTTCATTAAATTTAAATAAAGACGAGAGATACGTATTATTTTTTTAATTTATTAAAAACTTTATACTACAATCTTTAATTGATCATTTGCTTATCAATTTTTGGTAGATTGAAGAATATTTTATATGTGTTTAAATTCATTTGATCGGGTAAATAATATATTGTTTACTTCCATTAACAATTATTTTCACATAATTTTACATTATTTCAAGATCAAAAGTCAGATTTTCTTCTTGCACTCTATTTTCTGATTTTGGTTCAAATGAGTTTAAGAAAATTTGAAGCGTAATCAAGTTCTTTTTCAATTTAGTTATTGTATTTTAGAAATAATGTCTTTTAAAAGTCCATTTGCATCGTAATTAAGAGACTATTATCCATAGGATAGTTTCATGGAAATGCATTGCCTAAAGAGTTATTTCTTTCTTTCTTCTCCGTTATTATATTGTTGTATTGTTGCCATAAACTCATATACATTTTTTTATTTTGGAAAAAAAATTTTAAGTTTTCTTTTTAATGTGATAAAAGAGATTTTTATCGTATCATAATATCATTTTATGATTAAACCTTTAAAAGTACAATCATAGAAAGCAGTTATAACGTAATAGAAATCTCTCCCACCTCATTGTCAAAGAACCTTTGAACTTAGACCAAAAATCTAATAAGTCGAAAGAATCTAAGCTAATAAACACAATTTGGCACATGTCATGTGGAGCAAATATGCTTGTGATAATTCGGCCGCCATCTTGTCCTTGAAGCCAAGCACCTCATTATAAATCAATTGAGATGGATTTCGCGTGTTTTGCTTTTCATCTTTACCTCCCATACAAGATATACTAATAATATATATTTAACACGAGGAGAATCGGAGCATGCACTCCTCTACTTTTGTTTGCTTTCACTTCACTCCAAAAACTTCAACAAACCAATACTTGTTATCGAGCTTTTTTTTGATCTGATCGTCAAGGTGCATGATCCTTTGAGCTTAGAGCTAGCAATTTAGGGTAATTGTGTTTCATGTCATGAACATGTAAACACATTTACGCTAATTTTATGTTTTAAACTTGTTTAAGACACTTAACATGAACGAGCACATCTAACCAGTTTAATTACTAATATTTATAACACATTTAATAAATATATAAAGACTACTTTAACCTTTTAACAATGATTTTGAAAATTAAATATAAAGTGATAATCATGTTAATTGTATAATATTAATTTATTAATAGACACTATTTTTTTTTTTTTGGTTTAAATAGCTTGTTCTTTGTAATTAATTTGAAAATTAGCACAAAAAAATTTAAACAAGTTAATCATGTTTAAATGGGTTTATTGTGTTAAATCTTGTCCAAAAAAATTTAATTCCAACTATTTAATAAACCTATTAATCGGTCTTGTTGTATCGTATAAATGTATGTTCATTCATGTTAATACCTTATATAGACATGAGGTAATCAAGACATACAAACAAGATTACATGAATCGCCTTGACTACTTCTAGACTCAAGCATAAGGTAATTGAAGTTTAACAGTGAAGAATGTTTTTAACCTGAAACGTTAGGATTTTGAATTCATAACGAAAGTATAAATTTGAAAATTATATATTTGATTAAAAAAGATTAAAACTTAAAAAATATATATAAATATTAAAATTTAAAAATTAAATTTATTAAATATTTTATCTTAAAAATAATTATATGAATGATAAACTAACTAAGCTATATTCGATTAAAATTTAAATTTCAAAATTATCCAATGAATTAATCTAAAAATGGGATGAAATGGCTGTTGAGGACAAATCAGTAATTTCATAAAATATTGAGGCAGGGCAGTTGATTGGATCCAAGAATCCAGCGGATGAGAAAAAAGTGGGGTCGAGGCCCATATATCTTGACCAAAAGCCGGAAATTAATGGTCTGAGTCGAAAGAAGCACGGGCAAACGAAGGTGTCACTGTCATGTCTTTTGGGTCAAAAGTCAGATTTAAGTATCTTATGGGGAAAAATAGGCAGCTTTACATGCGGCTCCATGATATAAAAATAATTCCATTATTTCCATCCCCCATAACATCAGGAGAGATGCGATCTCTCAGCATCTCAGCGTTTGACCTATAAATTAATCCCATTATTAAAAAAAGATTTGCAATGTAATTAACTATATATTATTATAATTTTATAAAAAATATATTATTACACTATATTTTTATAATATGATCAAGAATATTTTGATCTTTAATTGTGTCAAATTTTTGGTAAAAAAATTGAGTTTAATTTTTTTGAATAATTATAAAAGAATAAATTTTCATATAAAATTTATTTTTAAAATATTTTTCATAATGATTGAATCTTAATTTATAAGAAAAGAAAGCTCGTTTCCTTACCAATATAATGGACTAATCCTTGTGAATAATGAATTGGTATTGTTATTTATTTATATATTGAAGTATAGTTTTTAGATTTTACAAAACAATTATATAAGTTTCAACATGTCATATGTTCATTTAATTAATTTTTATAAACATACATAATAAAACATATATTAATCCTCTAAGCTCATTTATGAAGTTAAAGATTACATTGTTAGTGTATAAATAATAATCTATGTAATAATTTATATAATTTCTTAGTGAGCTCGGAAATTAAACAGTCCATTGGTCGAACAAATTAAGTTTTTGAATTGAAGTACTTGAACTTTGAAGTGACATTGAAAGGGCTGCCCCCTGTAATTCAAGGATTCCAAAAGCCTTTTTTTTTTTGTTTTCCCTCTATGGTTAGATTGGAATTATTAATAGGAAACAACATATTCTAATTATTGTGTTTGTCATGATAATGTTTCGTCCTTTATTATTTTTTTAGTTATAAAAAATTTTTAGATTTCATATATTATTTTTTTTAACCGGCAGATGAATTCAAAGCATGGAGGAGTGAATAACTAGCAAAACAGCTTATGTTTAGCTTTGGATTAATATTTTTGATGCAGTATAATTAAATTTATTGTACTTTTAATTAAATATAAATATTAATTTCAGTAAGATTTATTTAATATAATTTTTTTATTAATTAATTTTTTTAATTATAATTATAATAATTATTACTATTATTTTTAATTTCATCGAAACTAATTTTATCGTTTATCCAAATAAAATTTATATCAATAAATGTTGTTTATCACGTGTAAAATTTGAGTCATTTCCTATTATGCTGTCATGAACTAGAATTAGGCATAAAATGAAATAGATACTAGAATATAATCAAATGTATAATCATATCGAATTTTAATTAATTTATACATAATGTGAATTTTATTTTTGCAATTTATATAGCAAATGAAATTAAAATGCTTTCTTTCAAATCCATGTTTTCAAACGCAGAGTATTGAAACACTGAAATGAGACTATGAGGGGGTTAGATTTATAGGGGTATTGAAAAAAAAAATTTATTGTATATAATTTAAGATCTGATCTCCATATTTCTAAAAGGAAAATTAACATGAAAATTAATTTTATATCAACACAACGGTAAGTCTTTCTTAATTTAGAGTAGAATTCAAAATCCATTTTCTAAAATTAGGTACTTCTAGGTATTCAAAATGGCCAATACTGGTATATACATATACATTGATCTATTAATTCAAACTATTTGGAATGTCGGCACCTGGAGCTGTAGCTTATGTACGTTTTCTTGTGAAATGGTTGTCCTAATCATCGCTGGCTGGATCCGAAAAGCTTTCTTTTCGCCCCCTTTCCCTTCCTTTGCTACAAATCATGTGAATCCTTAATACTTATGAAAATGATTCATCCTCCCAGTTTAAGCATATAACTATCATCATCGTCATCTACAGTTCCGTCTATCGAACAAAAGCCATTAAATATTTAACAATTGCAGCCACGTTTTGTTTTTTTCTTACTTTTTTTTTTTTCACAAAAATTAAATTAGCTCGATAACATTAAATCTATTCATGAACCGCATCTAATTAAATTCGATAAATCATTTAAAAGTTTTGTTCAATGTTTGATTTATTAAGTTTAAGAGATTTGATTTTTTAAAAAATATATATTAAAATTTTATTAATTTTAAATATATTTTAAAATTAAAATTAAATAAAATTTAATTTATTAATAAAATAAAATCAGGACCAGATGGAACTCCATAAGTGTTCTGGCAACACTCGATATTTTCTTTACTTTTATGTACTTAATTACTAGTATTCACTTCTCCCCGAGAAGTTAAAATTAACCATCCGTTCCACCATGCAAAAGAGTACAAATCAAACGAATTCACAGCCAAGCATTTCTTAAAATATTTCCGAAGCTGCAAAACCAAATCATTGGCTATGGGACATTAGCTAAGCTGGTCCTGCAATCTACATTGACCAAGTCGTACTCAATTATTTAATTTATTTTGGAGCAACTTGCCGTCATGTTTTTCTCATGATTACATTTGGTTGTCTGAGGCTACCCTTTCTTTACCTATTTGGAACGTTTTCAGCCCCAAATCTTTGCTTAAAAAGCTTTTGGGTAACAGGTATAAAGTTGGTTAGAAAGCTTTAGCAGCTGGAAACAAGCTGTGACGATGGATTGGGTAGGGTAGTCGATCGTTGTTTACCGCGTAGGACAATAATGTGGGGATTCTGGAGGTCACCCGCTGCTTGTGATTCTCAAACTGTTGGTTGTGTCCACGTTCTTTGCATGAAAACTACTTCAGCATTTAAAACCCCCATTGCTTTGACTTTGACGGCTACGGCTTGAAAGGGTTGCTTCTTCAATTCTGCTGCCATTATTGTAAGGGCTTGTTCGTAGTTGGATCATAAAAATACTCCCATTTGATTTGATCTTTATTTATTGGTTTCTTTTCAACGTTCAAACTGTTCCTAAGGATGCATGAGGGATGGATGTTAGTTGTGTCCATTGATTGAAGTAATGGAAATCACAAATCATAATTGAAACGGAACTTCTGCCCCCAGAATTGTAATCACAAAAAAAAAAAATTTTTTTTCAAAATAAAAATCAATAAGTACCTGAGTCTTAAAATGAAAGGAAACCCGAATCACAATAAAAAATGTTAATAATTATATGATCATTTAATAAAATATTGGACTCTTAATTTAATAAATAAAGTTCAATCTTTGATAATTTTAAATAAAAAATAAAAAATATACTCATAATATTACACGAAGGTTTATAGGTGGTTCACCTTAGGCCCTTTCTAAACCCAAGAAAATAAAATATAAAATTTGGACTCCTTTTGAAAACCATTCCAATCCACTACTCTAATTTTGAGTGATATAATAATCTTAAGTGAATGATTTAAGGTATAAATAGTAAGAACAAAGAAAATCATTAACTAAAACAACTAATTAATGGTACAACTAGAACTATTCAAGAACTGTTTTCTTGTTAATAGAAGTGTCATGTATGGCTCAGATGAGGCTGAGCCACGCACGATTGACTTTTTGAAAACTTGTCCAAAGTTTGCCTCGGCTCAATCGGGCCCAATTAGACTTAATACCATTAAAAATATGTATTAGAAAATTAAAAATTTTTATATATAATTTAATATTTTTAAATATATTTAAAATTAAAATTAAATAAAATTTTTTTTATAAATTAAATTATATCCTGAACTTGAAATCCAGGGCAAGCTTACGTAAAAGTTACTTGTTACATCTAAAAGTCTCATCTGACTCAAGCGAGATCACGGGTATGATGTTTTAGGTTTTAATTTTATCGGATCCTAGATATATGTAAATATTAAATATTTATTTTTATTTAATTTAAAATTTGAATTTATTAAAATATTAATATAAAGATATCCTTATAATATTTTAATAATAAATATAATTTAAAAGGGTGAGTTAGATAAATCAAATCCAAATTTGGATTGGTCTCTAATTAAATTTGATAAATTAAAGTATGATATAATAATATAATATAAATAAAATATAAAAATAATGTAATTTAAAATTTTAATAATTATTATATATGAATTTAATAAAATAAAAAAATATTTAATATTTTTATATACACACGAATAATAATATATAATGATTATATAAAATATAATATTAATATATAAATTTTAATATTTTACCTAACATATTCACGTATGATCGTTTTAAAAGACTTGCAATCTTCCAATTCTCCTACATGGGCATTTGATTTCTCGATAGAAGGCCCAACCATCAAAACCAACTAGCTCTAGGACCATAATCTCGAGGGGATGGCCTGGATTGGATTTACAAAGTCAAAATTCTATCTCAATTTTGGATCAAATATTGGGCTGAGCTGAGAGCCGGGGATGATCCAACCAAGCAGGTTTCCCCATGCACAAGAAAACTCCCAGTTGTGTTATTTATTTATCAAAAAACCACTCCATTTCCTGTATTTTATTGCTGCATCTCACTAGACTTTGACTCTTTTCTCTTCACCGATCATCTGCAATCTGATTGAAAAGGTTATCTTCTCAGCCTCAAATTTATATATATATTTTTTGTATAGATATTTTGAAGGAAAATTTTCGATATAGGGTTTATCTTTTAAATTTTTTTTGGGAAAAAATCCTAATTCAATTTCACTCTTCTGCAGATTTTTTAAAAAAAAAAAGCCAAACATGAAGCTTGACACTAGCGGTCTAGAATCGGTGGCGCCAGTCTGGGGTGCTCCTGGAGAGCTTGTTGATGGGTTTGCGGCTGCGCCGTCGTTTGAGCTCCCAAATCCTGCAGATGTAAGTTGAATTTTTTTGTTAATTCGTGCTACAGTAGTATTTTTTTTCCTGAGAGAAAAGGGGAAACTGTAGGGTTTATTTTATGTTTGGTTGGTGTATTGCAGTTTGATGGGTTTCAGAAAGAAGCTATTCAAATGGTGAAACCTGCTAAGGGTACCACCACGCTTGCTTTCATCTTTAAAGAAGGCGTCATGGTTGCTGCTGATTCTAGAGCTAGCATGGGAGGCTATATCTGTATGTTTCTTTTTTTTTTTTCTTGTCAATTTTGCTAGAGTTATGGAACTGAATTTTGTGCTGAATTTTTTTTTTTAGAAATTTATTTGTAGGGAATCATTTATTTATGGACATCGTAGGTTAAACCTTCAAATTAAAGAATTTCTAGAATTTTTGCAATCTTTTTTTTTTTTTAATGTTTTTGGATGGTAACATCAAAATCGTGATTACCATTACTTTTCTTAAATTTTGGCAGCATCACAGTCTGTGAAGAAAATCATCGAAATCAATCCATACATGCTTGGCACAATGGCTGGTGGAGCTGCTGACTGCCAGTTTTGGCACAGAAATTTAGGCATCAAGGTAATGGAATAAAGAATTGTCCTCTTGTCAGTGGCTACCATCTCGATCTTTTATTTTGGTTTTAGATTCGTACCTTCTATTTTTGCATATCGGTTGTTATTTAAGGAATTGTAGAGAAAAAGTAGTCTATTTGTTGGGTTTATGCAGAATGGGTCATATTGGCATTCTTTCCTTGCATTTTCATTTATACTCATTGTTATAACATATAGATGAACAAATTTATAGTTAGACTTAACAAATTGAGTTATCACTAATCTTTTTTAACTAAGTGTGATTGGTCACTTAAGGAATTTATCTTTTTAAGGAGCTTTTAAGCTTTATCAAAGGTCCCTAAAAAAATAAGTTTGGGTTTACTAATCAGAATAGGGTTCGAAACTTCGATTATATATGGAGAAGGTTATAGCATCCCCATATGTCAATCCGAAGGATGGTACCATTTTATTTTAAATTTATCATAAGGTCTTGATTCTAATAGTCTTAAATTTTTATGTTGAATATTGAAAATAATTTTTAAAATTCTCTATCAATCTGATAGAATTCTTAAAAATATTTTTTCATCTCAAGAGTATTCAAGAATCTTATTTGTTTTTTTGAAGAGGCTCCGTCATTGGAAAAAGATTTAATTATTTTTATTTTTATTTTTTATTGAAAATATATCTAATTATTTCACTATTTGAGCCAAATTAAAAATAGTTTTTTTTATTTCAAAATTTTTCACAATTTAGGCTTATATAGAATCTTTTTTTAATTTTTTAAATTTTTTTGAAAAAAAATAATATGACAATTATTTTTTATTAAAATTTCATTTAAATTCTTTCATCATTTAGGATAAATTTAAAGAAATTTCTTCCCTAGAGATTTCTTAAAAAATTTACTATTTGAAATTTCTAAGAATCTCATCATTGGATAATTGTCACATATCTTCAACCAAAATTTTTATTTATCATTTTTTATTTTTTCTCTTTTTTTTTTTGATTGAGAATAAATATTAATTATAGTTATTGAAATTTTCTCTAAATTATTCCACCATTTGGTACAAATTTAGCAAAAATTTCTCATCTAGGAATTTTATAGAAATTTATCATTTGAAATTTCTAAAAATTTCATTATTGGATAATTATTATTTATTTTCACATAATATTTTATTTTTTTATATTTTTCATTGTTTCAAAATTTATTCATGCAATAAAAATAAATAAATTAAATTTTAGAAAAAAAAAAACCAAAAACAAGAACGGCTCGGCTGAAGGATGGCTCGGCTCGTCTGAAGTGTTCAGCTGAAACATAGATTAGAAGCAAGTTAGCATAACGGGTTGGACCTCCAGGAGGTAAAACGTGCGGATCCTGAGCTGAGTTAAACGCCAAAACAACATCGTTTTAATAGGGTATAAAAGGCAAAAACTCTCATTTTTCTTCAAATTTCTCCTTCCCCTTCTTTGTCATTTTCGTTTTTCCTCCTTCTTTCTTTAAACCCGAAGAACTTCGGTTGAATCTCCGTAGGATTCTGGAAAATCTCGTCAGAATTTAGGTTGGTTCAGTGAAAGTTTGCCAAAAATTTTAACATTAATCGGAATCTTCAACCAGATTTTGGAAAACCTGTCGAAAAAATTTAATTGACGCCAAAAAATTCATTGAAAAATTCAATTAACATCGAAAACTAAAAATTTTTTTAAAAAATTTTCAAAAAAAATATTTTTTTAACCTAAAAATATCTCAAAATTTTCTGGCTGCCTTCTAGCTTCCTTTTGCATGATTTTGTTCATCGGAAGTTTGCTAGAAATTTCAACCTTCGTCAAAACCTTCAAGCAGATTCTGGAAAACCTCTCAGAAAAATTTAACCGACGCCAAAAAATTCATTGAAAAATTCTGCTCGCGTTGAAAAATCCATCAGAAACTGAAAATTTTTTAAGAAAACTTTTCAGAAAAGATATTTTTTTTAACCCAAAAATCTCCCAAAATTTTTTAACTGCCTTATGGCTTCCCTTTGCGTGATTTCCTTTATGTTTTTCTTATTTGGGCTTCTGTATTCCTCTCTGTTTTTTTGTGTGTTTTGTTTCGTTGGATTCAATCCTGTATTTATAAGGTGTAAGTAGAAGAGTTTTTGATTAACCATGAATCCATTGTTGACAGGGTTTCAATATTATCATAAACATAAGCTTTATCCTGTACAGATTGAATCCAACCAAAACTCTATCAGCCCTAACTCACGGCTAAAATCCTCATTATTTTTATTTTTTTTCATTACTATCTCATTATCTTAACACTAGAAAATTTGAAAATAAATCAGATAAGAAAAATCAACAAAAAATCGGGGATAAAAAAAAAAAAAAAAACAAATAATAATCAACCAAAAAGATAAACCTAAAAATAAATAAATAAATAAATAGATAAATAATAAATAAATATGTAAAATAATGAGTGGACTTGGAAATTTGGACCCTATTGAACTAAGCGCAATGGATTTGGGCCTAGACCAATTAGGGTGTCTACACTTATATATTGCAGTTTTTCTAAAAGCATAGGGTTATGCAATGTAGGAAGCGAGAGCATGTTACCATCTCAAAGATTTCAGATGATTTTTTCATTGGCTCTAAAAGTGAACTAAAGATATCCTGCTTTTTCTAAAACACATGTTTGAGAACAAAAGAAGTATATAAGAAGATTTGAGATTTAGCATAGCATAGCCTAGTAATAGCTAAGTGGCTTGGATATCCCCTTCAATGTGACTTACACACAGAGATTAACCCTTTCAAGTTATAACTAAGCAAAGTTGTTTTCATGATATTGGTATCTACGACTATGATTGTATATGTACGCGTTTGTGCACTCATAGCCGAAGTGAACTTAGATTTCTAATTTTTGCTCTTTTTTTCTCTTTTTTTATTGCTCAGCCGATAATGGATTTCATTAATAAAAAGATTTCAATACAGAATGAACATCCCTGCGTAAAACAGGGTCCAAGGCCAGCCAAGACAGAAAAACCAAAATTACAAGACAAAATCACCAAAAAGCGTAATAAGTTCATTACAGCCAATCTTGAAATAGGGAAGAACAATCTACCCCCATTTTAGTAAGGGAATCACCTCCTGTTGATATGGACAAAATCCACCATTACAATGATATCACAAAACTTATCAATATCTTCAAATATCTTCCATTGAGCCCACAGCCGAGACTGCTTATTACACACCCAACTAACAGCCACCTTTGAATCTGATTCAATGATTAATTTCTGATTCATTTTGACCCAAAGGTCTTATTTTCTTGTTATTGAGACAAACTTTTAAGGAGGAAGTCTGTGAAAATGAGTTCAGGCATACATCCTGATTGCTTGGGTGGCTAAATTTAATGCATTCTGCTTGCCTAATTGGCTTGCTATCAAAATAGAATAGAGTCAAATGAAAGTGGAGCACTAGGGTGTTATTCTGGTCTGTATTTTTCTTTTGGTGTCAAAACAATGCAACCTTCCTGGCTTTCATATGGTTTAGAAAACTCTTAGGCCTCTTATTGTGTTTTTCCAATTTCCCTTACATATCTGAAGTGCTAATGGTTAATCTTTTGCCATGATCTAGTGCCGGTTGCATGAATTAGCAAACAAACGTAGAATTTCTGTTACAGGAGCATCAAAACTGTTGGCAAACATTCTCTATTCTTATCGAGGAATGGGACTTTCAATTGGAACCATGATTGCTGGATGGGATGAAACGGTATTTGATAATAAATTTTATTATCTTTCCCTCCTTCCTTTCCCTTTTTTCCCCCTTGCATTCTAATGCAGTAGTAATGCTTGCATGTTTTAACTTACTGCCTAACATGGATTCTAGGGTCCTGGACTATACTATGTGGACAGTGAAGGGGGAAGGTTAAAGGGAATGCGTTTCTCTGTTGGATCTGGTTCACCATATGCTTATGGTGTGCTGGATAATGGGTATGCATTTTTCTTCCTGTTCTTTCGTGGTCATTGCTCCATTGATAAATGCAAAAATTATGACATAAAAGTTATCCCGTTCTCCTCCTTGTAAAGTTAGATTTAATATTAAGTTCATGGAATGGATATTAAGAATCAGACATGCCAATGGAGGGAGAACCAGTAGAAACCTTTTAAATGGTTTATATTAGTGTTCTGGATCTATTTACTGTCAATTGCAACTGTTGAAAACATTGGTTGTCTGCAGTTATGGTACTAAGCATATTTTTCTTCCTAATTGAAGCTTTATAACTCTGTATTAATGATAACATCACTGTTCCGTCATTAATTCTATAATTGTGTGGTAGTATGTCAACTTGCTTGGCTCTTAGCAATTAAATCATAGAATTTCTCTTATTCAATGCCCATTTTATTAGATTATGATTGACATTTTTATTTGTCTCATATTGTGCTCAGCTCTATGTATCCACAGTCATTAATTTCTGTTTTTGGGTGGTATTGGTGCTAGCTATCGGTATGATATGTCAATTGAAGAAGCTGCAGAGTTGGCCAGAAGAGCTATTTATCACGCCACATTCCGAGATGGAGCCAGTGGTGGTGTTGCCAGCGGTACTCTCTCTTTCTCAAGTCTAAAAGAAAGGTTTTCTCAATGATTTTGTTTTATGTATTTGTAACCCACTTTTAATGAGCTTAATTGTTAATCAGTTTACTACGTGGGACCAAATGGCTGGAAGAAGCTATCTGGTGACGATGTTGGAGAACTTTATTACAAATACTATCCAGTGATACCAAGCACGGTAGAACAGGAAATGGTTGAGGTAGAATGGGAGGTCGAGGTAGAACAGGAAATGGTTGAAGGAGCTGGGGCATAAGATGGTTCTATTCAACCTAGACCAAGTTGAAGATGTTTGCATTCATAGATTGGTCAATGGGATAGATTCTGATACTATGAAGCTCAGTTTCCTCTATTTTCACTTTGGAATTAGCCTTAAAGACTAATTCACTGATTGACCTGGGTGCTAGTTAATGTTTTAAGAATCCTTCCAATCATGTCAAGTTCAGTCATCTTGATCAGTTTGTCATTTGATGTTGAAAATTTTTAATGAATCTCCACTTTTAGCTACACCAACATTTGAATTATTCTGTCTTCATCTAGGGTCTGGCTTTTTGTAAACCACTACCAATTACTATAAAGGACCTGATTAGTCATCTGGCTAGAAAAGAAAGATTTTATGAGCATTGGGATAATTATATCTGGTGATGGCAGTGATCCTATGTTGTAGCCCATTTACCTAGTTCAATTAGAGAGTGAATTTTTTGTTGTATGTGACAGTGACGGGCTTCCTTCCCAGGTTGTCGGTTCAACGTTGCTGAGCAGTTAAACCATAAAACATCAAATGGGCAATGAGACTTCCTGTGCCTCCCAAGGGGGAAAAAAAAAAAACAAAAAGGGAAATTGATATTTGCGGTACATGGGCCCATGTGTTCATGAGAAAAGTTGAATAACCAAAGCTGACGAGGAAAAAAGAAAATAAAAGTCCAATCAATACCTGCATCCCTTTGGCACTAAGCAAAGAATTCCCGTTTTCCCTACCACTTTCTCGCAATTTTCTCTTCAGGAGCAAAAGACTTATTGTAAGTTTCATATTGTTATTATTTCCTATTCAGAGTAGCATAGGAATGTGATGGTATTGTATTATTGTAGGGAAATTGTGATTGGAGTATGAGTTAATGTTTCTCCTTTTATCCTCGTCTAGAAGTTGTACCACTCACCTAAGTATATGGGAGAGCTGATAAAATATTGGGAAATCATTTTCTACTGCTATGGAACAAAAAAAGAAGGAAACCTTAATAACCAAACAATAATGCCAGCTTGGATGAACCTACCCTCCTCTCTCCCTCCCTCTCTTCCTTTTGTTAGCTTCTAAGCATGTTTTCATGATTGAAAGTGAGATATAATCATCACCAATTCACCAAAATTCCCACTAAACAATGCAAGAAAATTGGTTGTAAACTTTGAATCCTTGAACAAAAATACAATGAAGGCAGGAGTTCGATGTCTCTGTCCTAGCTGGATAACAAGAATAGACCAATCTGTCAATGAGAAAGTGATATAAATATGTTCAAATTGAGTGTGATTAAGTGTCATTGTTACGCGAAAGAGATAGCCTTTAACAGACAAATTTTGCCTACTAACTCACATTTCCTTAGCCTGACTATTTCATCCATTGAAAATTGAAAATTAAAGCAACCTGAACAGAAGATTAATAATGATAATGTTAATGTAATTCCAGGTCTGACGATTGTAAGCTTCGATGAAAGTTGAAATGAAGTATATGTTTGATTTGTTAAAAAAAATAAAGATCAAGAAGACATCAAAGAAAATACTTTAACATGAATTTTCAAGTTCAAATTAAGTATATAAAAAAAAAAAAAAAAGAGAAACAAAAGAAAGAAGAGAACAGCTGTATTGAGAATATGAGATTTTCCTGATTTAATTTTATATTTTTATATTTTATAAATGATGATGTGATTAACTAAAAATTCTACTTATATATTGTTGGTGGTGTAAATTAAGTTATAAAGTTACAACATTCAAAGTTCAAAGAATTTAGCTGAATGTCTATAATTTCTCATAAATACTTCACACTTTTTTTTTTTTTTTGAGATTCTATGGTAAATAAGCTTAACTTAAAACTAGCTTTGGCTCCCCGAAAAATATGAAAAGATCACAAGACCAACTTACAAAACTTTTGTCCCTTCCATCAAGCAGATATATTGTCGAACAATGATGAACTTGAATGACCTAATAACATAATATTTCTTGTTGGCTTTCTCTCCTTTTTTTTTTTTTTTTTTTTACTGAATCAAAGTACTTGGTCTCAACAAATTGGTAGTTGCAGACTTCTTTATTGATCTGAGAGGACAACCACATTCTTTAAGTCGGTGATAAGTTATGAGTTTGTGACTTAAAAGGGCAAATTCTGTACCATGCCGACTTCGTAGGTTCCCTTCCAAAAATTGTTTCTTGCCCCCTTCATTTGACCTGCCCCCTGCTTTACTGCAACCACTTTGGTCTTATCCTTAGGCCTGCCTTTGTGATTTGTGGTAAAAATTCTGGAATTCAGCTGTAACTTTCCACTGCAAAAGTAGAAAGAAACAGTTTAACCAAATTTTGGGACGTTAAAATTACTCTAGTACTGTTTTCATGAATGCAATCTGGTCCACTTCAGTCAACATATTTTTAAATTCTATTCAAATTTAATTGAATTTGATTTTTTATATTCAAATTTAGTTCGTAATGCAATCTTAATAAAATTATAAAATGTAAACATAAATGTTATATTTTTATCATTTATTTTTATATATATTAAATATATTAAAAAAATTTAATTAAACACAATTTAGATTAATAAACTTCTTAAATTTAATATTAAATTACTTAAATTTAATTCAATTTATTATTTTAATTATTTAGATTCGATACAAATTTTAATATTTTAATAAGTTAAATCCAAATAACAACTCGCTTATACTTTTAACTATTACTTATTAAGCTTAGTAAATAGCTTGGGATTGCTTGTGGTTCATTTCTTACATAATCATTTGTTATGCAATTTTGTCAACATAAATGCTTCCTTTTCCATTCCCATTTGAGGCAAATAGAAGGTAACGTGGTAAATTCTCCAGCAAGTCAAGAAAACTACAATCCCGATTATGATGCTCTTGAAAACTTTAGTTTTTTTTTTTTAATTATTTTTTTATGGTAACTGATTTATGGTATAATATCATTTTTCATTTGCCCAATTAGAAAAAAATGAAAAAGAAAACTGGATACCATGTGAGCCAAAAATGACAACAAAACAAATTTAAACATTTTCCTTAACTCCAAAAGCAAAAAGGGGAAAGTTTTTTACGAGTTTCGCAAATTACAAAAACAAACTTCTAAATAAAAGTAAGGCATAAAAAACAATCACATTCAAAAATGCCACAAATTTTTTTGTTCTTTTCCATTTTCACTTGCTTTAACTTGCCTTTCTTCTACGACAACTCCTCCTCAACCTCAACTCATCTCCACTTTCCTTTAGGCGGGAGGTTGGGTCCAACCCCAATCAAAATCTCGTCTTTCTCACGTCTCTTTCTCATAAATACCTCGTCTTCACCCAACAACCCCACCTCTTTTCTCTTCACTGTAACTGTAAGGATCACACCAAAGCAAATCCTTTCTCATTTCTCAACTCTTCCATCTTCTCTTTAAAACCCACATTTTTAATTCTCAGGAAAAAAAAAAAAAAGAGTTTCTTTTATTGATCATGAAGAAGCTGGTTCTCTTTCTTCTCTTCTTTCTCTTCCTGAACCTGAAACCCGTCCTTTCTCTTTCCCCTGACGGACTTTCTCTTCTCTCTTTGAAATCGGCCGTCGACCAACCCGCTGGCCAGTCAGCTTTTGCCGACTGGAACGAGAATGATACCACACCGTGCCGTTGGTCTGGCATTTCCTGCATGAACATAACAGGGTTCCCTGATCCACGTGTTGTTGGGATTGCAGTTGCCGGGAAGAATCTTCGGGGATATATTCCGTCAGAGCTAGGAACATTAATCTATCTCCGAAGGTTGAATCTTCACAACAACAACTTTTACGGTTCCATACCGGATCAACTGTTCAATGCCACGTCACTTCACAGCTTGTTTTTGTATGGTAACAATTTGTCTGGTTCCCTGCCCCCCTCGATCTGCAATCTTCCAAGGTTACAAAACCTCGATCTCTCCAGCAATTCGCTGTCAGGTTCTCTGCCTGAAAATCTTAAGAATTGCAAGCAGTTACAGAGGCTGATTCTAGCTCAAAACAAGTTTTCTGGTGAAATTCCTGATGGAATTTGGCCGGAATTGGACAACTTGGTTCAACTCGATCTTTCGTCCAATGAATTCAACGAGTCGATTCCTAGTAGTATCGGAGAGTTAAATTCATTGTCAGGTACTCTCAATTTATCTTACAATCACTTGTCTGGTAAGCTCCCGAAAAGCTTAGGTGACTTGCCAGTTACTGTCAGTTTTGATCTTAGAAACAATAATTTAAGTGGGGAAATACCTGAAACGGGGTCATTTGCTAATCAAGGACCAACGGCATTTCTAAACAATCCTCTATTATGTGGGTTTCCTCTTCAAAAATCTTGTAAAAGTTCCAATATAAGTCCTTCAGGAAGTCAAAATTCGGGACCTAATTCTGGTGAAAGCCAGAAAAAAGGGCTCAGCCCTGGATTAATTATATTAATCTCAGCAGCTGATGCCGCCGGTGTGGCTTTGCTAGGATTGATTATAGTTTATATTTATTGGAAAAAGAAAGATTCTTCAAATAGCTGCAGCTGCACTGGAAAAAGCAAGTTTGGTCATAACGACAAAGGGAAGCTCTGTTCTCTCTGTTCATGTGTGTGTGTCAACGGGTTTCAAAATGAAGACTCTGAATTCGAAGACCACGAAAAGGGGGAGAGATCAGGGAAAGGAGCAGGGGAGCTAGTGGCTATAGACAAAGGATTCAGCTTTGAGCTGGACGAGCTGCTTAGAGCGTCAGCTTATGTGTTGGGAAAGAGCGGGCTTGGGATAGTGTACAAAGTGGTGCTCGGAAATGGGGTGCCGGTAGCTGTACGGAGATTAGGTGAGGGTGGAGAGCAAAGGTATAAGGAGTTTGCGGCTGAAGTGCAAGCTATTGGCAAGGTTAAGCATCCCAATGTTGTGAAGTTGAGAGCTTACTATTGGGCTCCTGATGAAAAGCTTCTCATTAGTGATTTCATCTCCAATGGCAATTTGGCTAATGCTATGAGAGGTTAGTCTCTTTCTTCCTTTTTTCCCTCTTTTTTTAAGCAACTTTACTGTTTCCTACTTGGATTATTCTAGCAAGCATCACACCCACGATTCATTCAGTAGTCAGTTTAGCCGCATATGATTCCAGATATAATATTAAAAAAAAATTGAAGATAACAAGTAATGCGAAGGTAGTAGAAATGTTTTTCTTTTAATTTTTTTAGTATTATTTAATCCAAGTTGCTGTTTTTAATATCCTTTATGTGGGATCTGATGTTGAAGGTTCAACCTGTTCGTTCCTCTGCATTAGTTGCAACATTTTCTTCTTTTAAACGTGTCTTTATTTTGTTAATAAAATTTATAATTCCTTCTGTTTTGCCTTGAGTATTACTTTTAGAAGCATAAATGGCAATATTCTGACTTTGGTCATGCATATGATGATCTAGGAATTAAGTGGTCCAAAGTGGCCGACCCGTTGTGGCTGTAATTACGCACCCACAGGGACTCATTAGGCATGCGGTGCAGTCCCTTTCCTTATAATTGAACGCTGGAAATGATGAAACTTTTGTGAGTTATTCACTTTTCTGTAGTTTCTTTGTTGCTCATAGGAAAAAGCAACAAAAGAACAAAAGAAATGCCCAGAGAGGATGATAATTTTGATCCTAAAGTTATGGTTTAGTATAAATTTAGTGGTAAATTACAGTAGAATTTCTAGTCGTTTTTGCCACTGTTTTATTTGCCTTAAGTTGCTAATTGTTGTGGGGTACATGGGGTTTGTAGTAGCTTATTGAGTAGGTTGGTTCTATTGCTTTTAAATGAGTACTAGCAAATGGTAGGTCCCTCACCATTTGCTATGCATCATATGATAAAAGAGAAGGAAAAGAAAAAGAGCATTGACAGGTAATGTATAGTAAATAATTTTGGCTTTGAGCATTTCAAGATTTCAATCACAAGGTGATGGGTCACAACTCAGAAGATGACTCACTGGATCTTAGATAGGATTTGGGTTTTACTCAAAATAAATGCTGCAGCCTTCCCTTGCATGCTTGTGACCATTTAATATATTATCTTATGCAAGTTTTGACTTTGAGCATCTAATGGTTTCCGCCTTTGTGGATCAACAACGAATCTTGGAACAAAAAAATTTCAATGCTAACAACTTAAAAATTTACATTCAAACTTTACTTAAAGTGGCTTTGATCTAGGTATCTACCTCTATAGTTTTCTTTCTCCTTGACTTTAAACATAGACAGACTTTTGGCAAAACAAAAAGTTTGCTTTTGATCCTATTTTCATGTTCATTTTCTCCTTTCTTTCTTTATCTCAAACATAAAGGGCACCTGGCTTTCTTCCCGATGAAGGTCCACTGCTTTGTTCTGTAAAATCACCTTGATGGGACCTGTTGGTCTTCTTGTTACTACACTCTTGTTTTCCATTCCTTGCTCACATAATGCATCGACTATTTGACTACTAAAGTGGAAGATTGTGAAGAATGGATTTGGCACCCTATCTGTTTAGGCTGAAGGACTAAATCGCAACCACTACCGACTGCTAAAAATGCAGAGTTTGTTCTAACACTTTTGATGCAAACTTTGTACTGTAACCACAAATAGTTCAAATTGCAACTTGGTCCTACTAGTTTTATTGGTAAATCCATTAACTAGTTCTTTTGGATATGTCAATTCAGGGGAATAACCCCTAGAGCATGCAAGAGTGTGGATTAAAATGTAGAACCTATTACTTTTTCTTATAGTTTAAAAGATTCATTTAAATTATAGCGATTTGAGGGAATGTTTTCCATGTTCATCTTCACAAACACTTAACTCATAGATTATGCAGTTTATAGTTAATGAAATTGTTTTTACAGGCAAAAGTGGTCAGCCATCAACAAGCATGTCATGGTCAACAAGGCTGAAAATCGCAAAGGGAGCAGCCCGTGGCTTGGCCTATCTTCATGAATGCAGTCCAAGAAAATTTGTTCATGGAGACGTCAAACCATCAAACATTCTCCTCGACAACGAATTCCTACCTTACATTTCTGATTTTGGCCTCAACAGACTGATTAACATCACGGGTAGTAATTCCTCTTCATCAGGTGGCTTTATTGGGGGACTCCCTTACAAATCAATCCAAACGGAACGAACGAACAATTATCGAGCACCAGAGGCTCGAGTCCCTGGCAACCGACCAACCCAAAAATGGGATGTCTATTCGTTTGGAATTGTCTTACTTGAACTGCTAACTGGGAAGTCTCCTGAGCTATCACCAACCACGTCAACTTCCACGGAAGTCCTAGACCTTGTAAGGTGGGTGAGGAAAGGATTTGAAGAAGAAAACCCATTATCAGACATGGTGGATCCATTGTTGCTACAAGAAGTGCATGCCAAGAAGGAAGTCATGGCAGTTTTTCACGTAGCTCTTGCATGCACTGAAGCAGATCCAGAGATTCGACCAAGGATGAAAACCGTGTCTGAGAATCTTGAAAGAATTGGAACATAATTAAGAAGATACAGTTGTTTTGTCCCCAAAAACATGGACGATTGCGTAGGAAGGTGAAAGTTTTACTGATTTTTGCCACGATAACTTTTGCAAGGTTGTCAAGATTAACTATTCATTTCCGAATTAGGCCCACATTTTCTCTGAAAATTCAACAGTTTATTGACGCTTATTAGAGACCATACGGGTCTTGAGATAGCCACATTTTTGTATTTTTTTCTCAATATTTTGTAAGATCTGATGATGGATCATAATATGAGATTAATGACTTTCATAAAGTTATCAACAATATGTCTTAGCGCTCGACTTTTATTTTGAGTGATTAATTTTTAAATTTTGATAATTTTAAATATTAAAAAAAATTATTTATATTTTTTAATTATTTTTTACACCCATTTTTTATTTACTCTCCAATTTCAAACTCTCAAAATAAATTTTTAGTAAGTACACCTCATAACTATATTTCTTTTTTCCTTTAAAAACGCTTTACTTCTATTTCTGTAAGCTTCTTCTTTCTTTATTTATTCCATTTTTCTTCAAATTCTAAACCAAAATTCATCCCCTTGCGTTTGGTTTGTATTAATTTTTAGTGAATTGAAACTGGTCTGTTGGATTTTTTTTTTTTTGTGAAATTGTGAATGACGGATATACAAAAAATGAATGAAAATTTTGTATATAATAGATATAGAAAAAGTTAAAAATGTTAGCTTTTATTCAAAAATAAATGAAAACTAGACATGGTCGAGCAACTGAAGGAAGCCATGTTTATAGCAGATAAACTGCAGATTTTGTATATCACCAAATATTTGTATCATGAATTAATTTTATATTATCATATATATATATATATATATCCGATAAGTTTTATATGTTTTTGAATATGCATATCCAATAAATTTTACATGTTACCTGATATGCATATTAGTAATGTAATAATACTATTGGATGTGTATGCTGGATACAAGTTTTAATTTATCACAAATAGATTTTTGTTAAATGTAAAATTTTCAACTGAAATCATGGTTGTATGGAAGGGTTGAAAGGTAATTTGTCAATGATTAAGTAAATAATTTTTTGTAAGAGTATTTTTATACTAAAAAATTGATGTATTGAACAAAGGGGTATTCTAAATACACCATAAGATTTTTTCTATACACTTTCTAATTTTTTTTTCAAAAATATTCACATGACAAGTAATAATTTTAATCTTTAATAAATAACAAAAATACCCTCATCCCTTCTTCTTTTCTTGAATTCAATGATGGGGAGAATTATATTATATTGTCAAAAATAAATTTTTGAGAATATAATGTATTTTTGAAAATAAATTTATGAGAATACAATATAATTTTTAAAAATTTATTTTCGATCATAAATTTATTTTCGAAATTTATATTGTATTTTAAAAAATTTATTTTTGAAAATACGTAAATATTTTTAATCTTATAATAAATAATACATTTAATTTTAATTTTAATAAAATAAATAAAATAAAATAATTATATTTAATCTTAAAATAAAAAATACAAGTACGAGAATATTGAAGACAAATTCTCAAGCAAGCATGGGTGGGAGAGGTCAAGTCATCAATGTGTCCATTTTTATTTAATCATATATGTGCAAATGAAATAAACATATTAGTTACAGATCTGATAATTCATGTTTTTGTGTCATGTGTCACATCGTATCATATTTAACTCATGTAATAACAATAATTATAAAAACATAAATTATAAAATGTGTTTAAAAATCTTAAATATAAACACAACATGTTTATTATATGTATTACATGTGATATAACATAATTAACACGTATATAATTAATTTGTTTAAACATGACATGAATAAACATGAATAACAAATATATATAAATAGACATAATTAATATAAATATGTATAAAAATATGATTAAAATAATATAAACTATCCATCATTTACAATTTAATAAATTTAGCATATTAATTGCATATTAAAAATAATAAAAAAAATTATATACTCATTTAATATGTATTTAATATATATATTTATATTTTAATATATATTACATAACTATATTAGTTTGTCGTATCAACTTCAAAATGATGAATTACTAAAAATTAAAGAATAAAATAATTATATATAGGGTTAGTATTCATATTTATATTGTATTTATATTATTAATATAAAAAATAATTTTATAATAATTATTAAATGAATATCATAATTAAATATTTAAAATAATTTTTATATGGTATTGAAAAGTTAATTAAGTATCATAATTAAAAGATTAAAAATTAAAATAATATTCATATGTTTATATTAAATTAAAATAAATATAAAAAATGTGTTAAACATGTTAAATTTATACTTTATGATAAGATTAAATTAAATTTGCTTTTTGTATTATGTCATATGTTAAACGTGTATCTGTGTGACACATTTTATCTAAATATATTTTTCATGTTTTTTATGTATTTAAACATATTAACACATATAAAATATAAATTATATCGTGTCAAAATTCATGTCGATGCAAAAAAATATGAATTATGTTTTTTTAAAACACAAATAGGATTTTTTTTCTACATTGTTTTTGTGTTGTATTTAAAATTGTCAAGTTTAGTTAGTTTTCAAGTATACATTGGCATAAAAGTGTTATTGTCTTTAAACCAAAAAACCAAAAACACATTTTTACCCATGCAAAACCAAATAATTAGAAAAAGATGAACTCGATTTTTTAAAGTTTTAAGAGAAAGAATAAGTTTGTGTCATACATACATGATAATATTAATTTCAGTTTTATTCACACATATAATTAAATAAATAGATTCATAAGTGCATATATTTTCAATTAAGTATTATTAAACAACACACGACATATGGATATACAAGATTAATGTTTTTAGTAATCAAAGATAAAAAATTCACTTTCGAAAGTGAAATCGAGCTTTTAAAAAATTGCTATATAAAAAACTTGATTTCACCTAATTTCGAAAAGTGAAGAGAGAAAAAAAAAAAAAAACGGGAGGTGGGGTATATTTAATAGAAATAAAATATTAAAATTTAAATTTAGAGTATTTTTAATAAGTATAGTGTAAACAAAATTCCCTTTGACCAAATTATGAGGTGCAATAGAGGCTTGAAAAAAACCCTTCGTAAAGTTATTGGTCATATAAAGTATTTTATTATTATCATTAGAATTTAACCCCCATTACGTGAGGATTGATATTTTTGTTAATTTTTTATTTTTGATATATTTATTATTATTTTAATCTAAAAATAATAAAAGATTTTAATACACAACGAAATATTATAAAATACTAAAAATTTAAAAATTTTAAATAGAATATTTAATATATTATGATTATTATTTTATTATTGCATTTTCATGATATATTGGGAATATGTTGATTTTTTAAAATTACTTGATCAATTATATGATATTTTCAATTTATCTTATATTATAAGTTTTTTAAAACAAAGAAAAATAAAATCGGTACAAAAATTATAATTTAAAGAAACAATTTTGATTTTTTATGTATTTTATATTTTTATTTGTTATTATATATTTTTAAGATTTTATTTATTATAAATAATAAATGAAAACTTTTTATGTTTTGATCGTTTCTTTCATTGGCAATCAATTAAGCAGTTTAGTTTAATTGTATTTATTATTATTATTGATAATGATGGAAAAATATTTATTTCGAAAACTTAAGGGAAAAATTAAAAGAAAATGAAAAAAAAATCTCATTTATCTTTTTATCTTTTATTCTTCTTTTCTTTTATTTTTTTATTTTTTATTTTTTATGAAAAATATATTTCTAAAAAATTGAAAGAGAAAGTTAAAGATAAATTTCACATACACCTCTTTATGGTATTCGACTTTCTCAATTACATTCTCTGTGAAATTTTTTTCAGTTATAACTCTGTGATTGACTTTCGTTGCCGAAGCAACGATGTCAAATTTGATCTAGATTTATATAAAATTGCAAAATACGTTCAAGCTAAACCCTTTCCTTTCATTTTAATTTCAACTTTCCCTCTCTACGTTTTTTCCTCTTCCAAAATCCTCTAAAAACCCAGACGCCGACCACCAACAATTCCAAAAGTTAGCTAGTTGCCACCACCTATACCGTGCCAACGCCGTCAATCTAGCCTTCCTTTTCCTTTCCTCTTTTTTTTTCTTTCTTGTCATCGTCCAGACAAACGAAACCCTTTTAAAAGATCCTTCTTCTTATCGTTTACAAGCAAAGCCCCTAGAGCCAGAAGCCATGGCTTCTTTAACTTCTCTTTTTGAAACTTCAACTTCTGTCTTCTCTTCTTTCTCCAATAACAATTCTTTCAACAATAAAAGAATTCCGTAATTCAAGTTCGGCTAACTAATTAATAAATTTAGTCTTCAAAATTTTCCTCTACATTATAGAGATCCCGTTCCATCATGCTTATTTACATAACATATGATTTTTTGTATTTGAGATTGTAAGATTGGTTCCTGATTAGTTCAATTAAGAACTTGGTATCGGACCATAAATTGGCGTTCGACCTTGCAAGAACAAAGCCCGGTGGGCTATGCTTTGAAGAATAAATTTTAAGCTCGAAAAGTGCTCAAACTAAGTCAAGATATTAAAATACTAATAAAAATGATTTTTATTTAATTTTAATTTTAATTTTAAAATTATTAAAAATATTAAAACAATAATGTTTTATTATTTTTTAAAAAAATTTTAAATATTTAAAAAAAAAGTTTCGATCGAATAAGATGGTCAAAAATTTTGAGAGACCAAATGGCCTGACCTTATCCGGCCATGAATAGGTTTGGTTGGCGTGATCTGTGTTATTTGTAAAATATATTTGTCTCTAAATATTTGAACGTAAATTTTTAAAAAAGAATTATAAATAAAAAAGTGAAATATATTCGGAATAGTTACTCAAAATAGAAATGAAAACGTTTCAGGTTTCAACTATTAGTATGTCTCACTGAAAATGATCGTAACTGAAAAACAAAAATTAAAAATAGTTTTTAAAAATTTAAGAGTATAACATTTCGAATTTAATTTTAAGTAGGGAAGGTTTCTAACTTCTATTGTGATTAATTTTTCAAAGATTTTACATTTTTAAGTAAAAAAAAAAAAAGAATTTTAAACTGTTGCAGCCTTGAATGGTTTTTACGCCTTTTTTTAAAAAATTCTTGTAACCCCCTGCGCCAATTGGAACTCCAAAAATCAAACCGGTCTTTTTTTCCCTTCTCTGGGCCTAGAGATCTCCTTTTCCTCTCTCTAGAAATTCGATTCTGATCCAAGCACAGCCGATTTTTATTTTCCTATAGGGTTTGAAAATCAATCAATCAATCCAAGAAGGATCCCAAAACATGGTAAAAAACCCTAACTTTCTAATTTTCCAAATTTGAGAATCGCTTTCTTCTTCTTCTTTTTATTTTTTGAATCAGTAGATATTAAACGTTTTTAATGTGCTATTGGATCTCAGTCGGCACTCTTCAATTTCCATTCTTTCTTAACGGTAGTGCTATTGGGAATCTGCACCTGCACTTACTTGAAGATGCAATTTCCAGCAATCCTTGAACAGAGAACTGGGTTTACTCTCTCTCTTTGCTTTATCATTTTATTAGTAAATAGTTCTCATTACTACATTTGTATTTGATTTAAGCTTACATTTTTTGTTTCTTTTTTTTTTAAATGCAAATTAAACTTTATTTTCAATTGAATGCTAGATTGTGTGCCTTGCCAGAATGGTTGTATGATTCAAGTCGTGTCGTTAGTTTCGCGGTGTTCGTATAGTTGTTATAGCTTTGTAATTTGGAATAACTACCTTTGAACTGAAAATTTTTTAGACGGGGATGTTGGGGCGGTTGCTATTATAACCAAGTTTTTATGAAACTAGATTTCTCCTATTATTTACGCCAATCATTGCACAAAAGAAACCAATCATTGCACAAAAGAAATTAAAATAGAAATGGAACGGAGGACAAATGACGCCTGCTAGGCTTTTCGGGTCTTTGCTTTCCCCGGTCTTTTAGCGTTCAAATTTACTTCTTTTTCTACTATTCTTTTACCATTAACCCTGTTTAAAATCTTTACTTCAACGGTGAGGTTGCTGCCATGTGATCTGGAGGTCACGGGTTTGAGTTGCGGAAACAGCCTTTTGTGAAAATGCAAGGCAAGGCTGCATATGTTACATCCAGTGGGTCCGACCCTTCTCCTGACCCTGTGCATTGCAGGAGCTTTACGCACTGGGCTGCCCTTTGACTTCTGTCTTTTTGTTATGCAGTTTTGCAAATTAAATTGAATGTTCTGGGTGGAAGCAAATATTGTCACAATGATATTATTATCAGTTTTGTTACTGCTAAAACTAAAAGTATAGTTCTCAATTTTAAGGGAAGTGTTTGTGTTTTTGTTATCTTCTGTTTCTCCTTGAATAACTTTAACTTCTTGTTTTCTCTCTCTGAAGAGGTTAGATTAATTCAAAATGCAAGACTCCATTTAATCATGGCCTTCTTTGTCTTTTCTCTTTGGTATCAAAATTAGTTATTTCATTGTTTCTATTTCTAGCGTTTATAGGTGTTACTTCAGCCTCATAGTTCATTCATAGAAAGTGTTGAGAATGGAGCTAATTTGGTATAATATACTAATTTGACAGGTTCCGAGGTTTCTTTTGGAAGGCAGCCAGAATAGGTGGGTCTCATTTTCTGCTTGGTTTACTTCTTTCTGGTGTCATTGGAATATTCATGCCTATATTTCATCCCTTGTGAATCTTCTTTGGACATATAATTCATCCATTTCACTTTTTGGGGTTAGTGATTTGTAGTGCACTAATTTGTAACGAGTGGTGGAGTGGAACCTTGAGTGATTTGCTTTGTAGGGGAGTCAAGACAAAGATTAAAAGAATATAAATTTAAAGCTTATCATCTATTAAGCCTTCAAATTAATTGATAATTAATATAGTAGTTAATGGCATGAAAAAATGCAGGATGATAATTTTTTTTATAGCAAAACGAAGCTAGAAATGAGAATAAAAATGAAACAAAAAAAAATTATATCTATCTTATTTAAATAAAGGAACTGTAGGCACTGGTGCATTATATTAGGTGGTAAATTGATGGGGAAAGATTGAAATGGGGCTGATGTACAATGGTAATGGTGTAGATTTAGATTTTAAATCTCATAAAGTTGCGTGTTGGATTTGAATGGTGATGATATTTTGATTTAAGGGAAAGGGACAGAAATACTGATGAAGTTGAACAACAGGCATGGGGTTTTATGTCAGGTTATTTTCATGTAAGAGTAAGGATGAGGTTATTTTCATGTAAGAGTGAGGATGTTGATTCTCCATTATTTTTTAATCATTGGCGTATTTGGTGCTGCATTAGGTAGAAGCAACTGAATCCTTTTCCATGTGTTAGTTGTATATATCGACTGATATGTCATTGGCTCCTAGGTTACAGCTTTATTTGTTGTGAATGAACAAGATTGTTAATTAATATTAGATTTTGTTTGTTGGAAATCCATAATGAGATATCTTGTATATTTAAAGCTCCACTGCTCTCTTGTTCTATTAGTGTAATAGCCTAATGGGTTTGCAGCCTGCATTTCATTTCATGAACATATATTATGTTAATGTAGATATTTATGTGAGCCAAAATTTTCATTTGTACCTCATAATTCTTTCCATAAAACAAATATATACTTTTCTTTTCCTGACTAGAAGTAGTAAAGTTGCTTGTCATGGATTCCTTTTTCATTTTAAAATTTGTGTCTTGTAGAAGCATTAGGAATCTATTTTGGATTCAATTAGTAAATCCAATGAACAAAATGATGTGGAACTTTAGTGGAATCATTTTGGAATGTAGACAAAGGGAAAAATTTTATCAAAATTAGCTTGTTGTTACCCTTTTATTAGCAGTTCACTGCAACCCGTGGGACTAACATGTATGTTTCTTGAATCAGGTGAACGTTTAAGTCCTTGGGTAGCAGTAGGATGCTTCACAATGGGTGTGTCAATCATATTTTTCTGAGGCTCGTACAGAAGTCAGATCCATGTTTTCCACGTGGGCAAGTGTCTCTTTTTCACATGTTTAAAGGATTCTTTTGATGAAAAGAGTTTTGAAAACACTGTTGCAAGCACAATATGCAAACTTATTTGAAATGTATACGATCATTCTTTGGCTGCTTATTTGTCGATTATTTTTTAGTTTGTCTTCTCATCTACCACTACCAGTGTTGGACCTAAAGCTTATGCAGTTATGGTGGATGACTGTTGCAAAACTTGATTCCTTTCATTTATATTATCAAATCTCCTAGTCTTGCTTCTTCTCCCCAACTTTTATATTTGAAACTCATTTTGTGGGTGTGTCAATCATATTTTTCTGAGGCTCGTACAGAAGTCAGATCCATGTTTTCCACGTGGGCAAGTGTCTCTTTTTCACATGTTTAAAGGATTCTTTTGATGAAAAGAGTTTTGAAAACACTGTTGCAAGCACAATATGCAAACTTATTTGAAATGTATACGATCATTCTTTGGCTGCTTATTTGTCGATTATTTTTTAGTTTGTCTTCTCATCTACCACTACCAGTGTTGGACCTAAAGCTTATGCAGTTATGGTGGATGACTGTTGCAAAACTTGATTCCTTTCATTTATATTATCAAATCTCCTAGTCTTGCTTCTTCTCCCCAACTTTTATATTTGAAACTCATTTTGTTGCTCAGTGTGGTTTCCTTTTTATTTTTTTTTATTTTTTATCCATTTAAATCTGATTTTGCATATAGGTAAGTGAGTCAGACTCAAGAAAGATCATGAAGGATTGGGGTGTGAGGGAGAGAGACATGATTATGGTTGGTACCATACCTAGGCATCTTACATGCTTGATGCAAACCATGGATTATAGATGCAGATAAGAAGAGAAAGACAAACCGAACTGAAATTAGGGCAGTAGGTTACTTAAAGCTGATAGGAATACATACAAGCAATGGCATAAACAGTGAGCTGGATTGGGGTGCGAGGGAGAGAGGCATGATCATGGTTGGTACCATACATAGGCCTCTTATGTGCTCGATGCAAACCATGGAATATAGATGCAGATAAGAAGAGAAAGACAAACTGAACTGAAATTAGGGTAGTAGGTTACTTAAAGCGGATAGGAATGCATACAAGCAATGGCATAAACAGTGAGCTTATCTTTGAATCTCCTCAAAATTACTACCTTTCCACCACTCCAATGACATAATGATGGGATAATCTTCTTGATAGGTTTCTTTCCAGTACTGCTTTCTTTGATGACTGTCACTGTTTCTTCATTGTTTTCTTCGACTTCACCCCAGTGAAGTGGATAGCTCCGCAAAAACACTCTTTTATTCTTGTAATCTTGGTAGCGAAAGCTCCTAGTTCTCATCCCATCTTCCTCTCCCTCTACTCCTTTGCATTCCATACCTAAGATATGCTTAATTTGTGCCCCAGCCTGAGAATTGTCAGGCAAGTTGGCTTATATATATAGTTGGGAGAACGAGAGGCCTGAGTGTGTGAGATAGCCGTATGGGAATTGGGTGGCTGACAGGATGACCAGGACATAAAAGTAAGAAGAGATAACCTGAAAATGATGGAAAACCTTACAGCATTTGGTTTTTCCAATGCTAAGTAGGAATATATCTTCTATTATAATTTTGTAATATGCTTTTGATTTTCTGCATGCTGCCTTGGTGGGGTTTCATTTCTTTATCTTTGTGAATTAGATATTCATCATTGGTGGATTTATTTCATGAGATGTTGGAGAAATTGTAGGCCTTGAAGATTTTTCATTCAGTTTGTAAGGAAAGAGCATGATGTAGAACTTGGCACTTAGTTCAGTTGATTCAACAGTCACTTTTAAAACATGATATTTAATAAGTCTATGATTTATATTTCAGCACTTTAACTCTTTCTTTTATATTTGAATTGCGACTTGCTTTATTTTTTTTTAAAAAAAGGACCGTACTGTAGCAACAGATTTGTTACCTGTGAAATTGTTCTCTTATTGGGTCCTATAATTTATTGAGTTTTTCCCCTTTTAATACTTGGAATTGGGATCAGTAGCTAGAATGAAATGATCAGTCCTGAATATATTCTGTAGCGTTTCATTTTCAAGTTCCAACAATTTAGATAGTATTTTTTGATCATGGAAAGATTTTTCATGGCTTGTTAGATATATATTTAAAGTTCAAACCAAATAAATATCCTCCTGGTTGGAGACTGATTTAACCCATGACTGAAGGATGTGGGGACGATGAGTTTGTGTCAAGATCACAAAGTCTACTACCTGTTTTGTTTTGTTTTGTTTTGTTATACTATCACGTTCAATGTTCATCTACGTATTGTTTGGATTTTGTCCATAGGCCAACCTATGAATAACAAAACTTTTCCCCAGCAATGAAAGATAGAAGACAAAAAAGGTTCATAATTTGCCTTTAATGGACTGAAAATATCCAAAGCATCCTTACGGTAAGCTTATATCTAATTCCCCGTACGTTCAGCATTGAACTGGGAATGGGTTTTTACTAACAAGCTTCATTTCATCGTAACTTCAACATTGAACAAAATAAAATTTTTCAGTTTTTGCGATCGAATAGTTAGGTAAAACCAATACAACAAACACAAAAAGTCAATCTCTATATAACTTGAAAAATTAAAACCTAAGTTCTTTTCTAAAATGAAATACAAACTAGTATATGTAGACTATAACTTTAACAAAAGTTAATTGCCGGCATTTAATTAAATGGCAATGTGCAATCATCTGAGGGAAGGACATTTTCTGGGAAGTATGGTTTTGAAAGAAGGATAACCAACAACAATCACTTTGCAATGCAACACTTCACCAGAAAATCCCAAAGATGTGACAAATGATTATTTTGTTGCTTCACTCTAACTTTGCTAACTACCGACCACTAACTTTTGTTGCTATATTCAAAAGTTTTGGCATATCAAAATGTGGGATTTCTGAATGTTTTGGTAGGAGAAATTCTCTACAAACAAAATATAAGACACATATTATATATATATATATATATATTATAATCAAAGTTGAATTTGATCCTTTATCTATTGGTTTTAATGTTCTTATTTCAAATTTAATGAATTTAATCTACAATTTTTATTTCAAATTGAAAAACGAATTATCACAATGATAAAATTTTATTTTTAACTTAGATGATGTAACATTTTAATGATGGATCAATATGTTAAAAATTAAGATGAATCATCTTTTTATAAGTTAGGAGGTCCATATTAGAACAAAAATTAATTTTGTTGTACTATTGTGTAACATGTGACAACATTACAAGTTGGTCTTTCATAATGTCATAAACAAAAATGCTAAGTGATCGGAATTTAATTATCTTAAAATTGATTTTTAATAAATATTTAAGATTAAGTTCTTATAATATAATTAGAGTAGATGGACTAAAAATGCCAAATTAAAATAATAAAAAGAATTCACAATTCAACCAAAAAAAAAAAGAAAAAATCTTAATAACGGCAATTAGTCCAATGTCTTAATAGCCACCGATAATTCCGAGGGGGAAAAGCGAACGATCATCGTTAGTTTCATCATTGATATTGATGTAAGAGAGAAGGTCAACAAAATGATGTTAAGCTATTAATTGTGGCCTTCGCTCGATCCAAAAAAAAAAAAAAATTTGTCGCCTTTCTCTCAAAATGAAGAAAAATTGTAAAAAATTTAGATTTGAGTTTTGATACTACCCTTTGTTCTTTTCATACCAGAAACCAGAAATTAAAAAAAAAAAAAACCTAAAAATAGAGATAGCTGATGAATACAGGTTAAATTCCTCTGATAAACACTATAAATCTCGTTAGTGCCGCGCTTGCCACACCTACGGCCACCGGGCAGTAGCGCTCAACTAGTCTTTGACACCGAACGGAAGGAACTCATCGCAAGAAACAAAACTTTGTGAAGAATACACGTGGGATATGGAATTTGGAAGTTGAGCTCAACCTTTATTTTTTTTTTTTGTCAAACATAAGGACTTAATATTTGCAGGACTAATGCAACCACTCAAAAGAGACAAGCAAGAAAACCATAATTAGTTTCATCACTGCCCCAAAGTCGCAATCATTTAATTTCTAGTGGACCTAAGCCTTCATCATTGTAGCAAAGATTAGGTCAGCTCACAAATAGTTTAGGCTAGTTGTAAACACTTGCTTTCCTCTCTCTTCCCTTCTTTTTTGATGGCATTCTCACACTTTGCGCTTTAACCAAATCAGTGAATCCAGCAGAACTTGTAGTGTTAGAATGTGTATTTACTGCAATTAGGCTAATGAGTTTGGCATTTTTCGTTCTTTGTAACTACTTTTGTTGGAATAAAGCAATGTTAAACAATACTTCAATTTTGTTTCTAAAAACTATTCAAAGCAAAGCAAAGCAAAGCAAAGATACTTAAAAGAACTGCAAATATTTTTTGTTGAGCGATAAAGTTTTTATAGGCTTTACTTAATATATTCTCCCATCTAATCGATTTAAACAAATTTATTTATGTTGGATTTAGTAAATTATACGAATTACTTTCATGCAATCTTCTAGTAACTTCAAATTTAGACCAAAAAAAAGAACACATTTTTTGTTATCAACCCAAATATTCATTGATAAAAGAAATGCAATTTTTTTTTTTAGAGAATAGTAAACTAAAATAGATGACTGCAAGTTATTCGAGATGATTTCAACAAGTAATCACTAGCAAGATTTAAACTTAAGATCTCTTGATCAGCCTGAACTAATCATTTGTTGGTAAAGAAATGCAAATTTAATCTTTCGTTTCAGGCTTTCTATATTGGTATTTGGAAAGTGGACAAAGCAAGGAAGTTTAACAACTCCAAAAGAGGAACAATGGAGCAACTCAAAAAGCAGACTTTTATTTCTTTTCCTGCTGCAGCCTTAAAGAAAATACTTCAAGTCTTGTAAGAAAGAAAGATGTCAATCAAACAAAGATAATACACGGTATACAGAATTAATGAAGAGATATTGAATATGGACCCACGCCTGCAAGCGCCATTACTTTGCTTTCAAGACCAATCAACTCCCCAGTCCTCTCCCAACATTTTGTTTGAGTGAATTTGAGCATAAAGCTAAAGCCCATGCTCCTGTTCCTTTCTCCCCAGTCAGTTTTCTTTTCTCCTTTTTTTCCCACCATTGAAGAAAACAGGCTAGTTAAAGTGCTGTCTCATGATTGAGTAGAACAAACTGTTATTGTCAAAAAGGCATGGGCAATTGTGTTACAGTTTACAGGAACAAGGATCCTGCAGCCATGAATCTTAGTGCCCAAATTCAGTCACCCACGAAGGAGAACTTTGTCAGAAGGGAACATTCAATTGCTGAACTCGGTTCCAGGTCTCAGCCGTCACCTATGGAACAAGAAAGTAGTTTTGGACACTTGAGTATGTTTCGAACCTGGCTTTCTTGATTTATTTATCATCTTTCTTTGTTCTTATTTTAGGCTTATCTTGGTGCTTATGATTGAGCTTTGGACAGTTTGATCTAAGATATCAGATTGGTTTTGACTTCTGATGTTCTCTTTTTTCTTTTAAGTTTGTTCTTATGTGAATCAAAATAGTCAGAGCTTTACTGAATTATGCTCTTGGGTTTATGTTAATTTTATTTCAATAAAAAAGTTTGAAATTCTATTCGGTTCTTGCTCATTTCTTTTAACAAATTCCTTTGCTAAGCCTTGATCAAATTTTGGATTGGGGATGGCACTATTTCTATTGTGATGTTTCATCTGATCGTTTCTATGATCAAGTTCGAATTTTGAGACCAGCAAAAATAGTTGATTTAGTGGCAGGCTCTCCCCTTATCATGACCTTATATGGTTCGATTGTCTGTTTTCTCTCAGGAAATTAGTAATTCTGTTACTGCGTTTGTGAGACAAGAAGTCTCATAACCTAGCTCATAATTTACAAATTTAATATGACCATTTATGTGGCAAACTATAGTTGCTGCAGAAAATTTCTTCTGTAGGTTGTTCTTTTCTTTGCCCACATAAATTCTGAACTGACTTCCAACTGCTTGAGTGATGGAGAAATAAAGGATTGATTTGAAGTTGAGAATTGGAACCAAATTAACTAGTCCTCACCTACTTGTCACTTATCCCTATGCTCTTCCCAAGTGTCTCCAGCTCAAAAATTTCTTGTTTACAAAGTTAGCCAAAAATATATATTTTCCCTTCTCTTTGTTCCTCCCAGAATACTGTCTGAATCAACAAGATTAACTGAAGTAACTAGACGCCATCTTTATTCACCAACTCTAATAATGTCAGCAACCATAGAATGTTCTGCAATATTTCAGTCATAAATGGCCCTTTTATTTCATATAATTTACATTTTTTTATTATAACTGGGATATCTAATATCCTCACCACAGGCAGATTTTTCCTGGAATGAACAGTTTGAGTTTTCTCATTTTAGATTGGTTTAGAAGCAATGAGGGTGAAACTAAAGTGTTATTATAGCAAAGATGGTATAAAAACGATACTAGTGTATTCTAGATGCCTGAGTGCTCTAAGATGGTTTGTTGTGACAGTTTTGCCATGTTGTCTCCAAACATTAACGCAGTGCCGTATGATTACTGACAGTTCATGTCATCTTTAGGAAACTAGAATGATTAGGAAAATTGGTTAGCAAATAGTTGGAAGCTTCGACGGAACGCATCATGCACCTCAGACGGCATGCAATGGCAAATTCTTTGCAGGATTCAAAATGGTGGATTGTTTGCCACATAACAGTTCAGAATTAGTGCTTTTGAAAAGTAATGTTCATGTAAATTTGAACGGGCTGTGACATTTTGCATATTCTTTACCCTTTCCCATTGACTGGAAATTCAATCATATTTTGAATTTCTAATTGAAGCGTGCTTATAATTTCTATCCAGGTAATACAGAGGAGAATTTTTTCGATTCCCAGCCTTGGTTAGAATCTGACTGTGAAGATTTCTTCAGTGTCAATGATGGTGAGAAGATGTATATGTACTGGGAATTTGTATTGCTAAGTTTCTTAACTTCTGTCAGTGTTTTTGACGAGCTTGCTTTTATCCAGATTCTACCTCTTCTTGCGGAAACAGCCCTAACCACCAGAAAAGCTTCGGGGAAAGTTCTCTACGTGATAAAAATCATTCCATGGACCATGCACAGGTTGCACTACCTGAACATTCTCCAACTGATACAAAGAAGCAGCTAATTGAGTTATTCCGTGAGAGCTTCGATGATGATGCTGTAAATAATTATCCAAGTTTAAAAGAGCAGTTGGAAGAAAAACCTACAACTTTCAACCTTCCTCCAAAGTGTACAAATCCATATGAATCTATCCCCAACTCTGTTCGCAGCAGCGAAGCAACTCCACACAGGGGATACCTCCCTAGGAAAGAAAAATCAACCCAGTCTGCGCAGTGCTGCCTTCCAAGTTCGGTGCGCAACAGGCGCTTTGGTGAGAGAAAGAAAAGTCTAAGCCCTGCCAATACTGATGGATGGTAAGCCATATATTTATTCTGTACAAATCTCTTGAGAAGTTGTACTTTTTAAGATTAGCATGGTCAAATTAACAAGCTACAATCTCAAAACCCTTTTTTGCAACTTGTCTTTTATCAGCGGCACAATTGTAGAGTGATGCATAAACTGGGCATTTTGTCCTAATGTATTGTTCAATTGCTTCTTTCTTATCTTCTTATAGTGTGATACTGCTTCTGTAAAATGAGAAATCAGTAAATTTCTATATTTTCATTTGCTTGAGAATGTTGCAGTTTTGAATAATTTGTCTTTCCTAATTATATGATCGGTGTTTTACTGTAGAATTTATTATGGGTTTTTTATATTGCAGAAAAGTCAATAATATTATAAATAATCTCTAAATTATAATAAAATATTATGTGATATTTAAATTTTTAAAAAAATTTAATATGATGCTTGAATTATAAATATATTAATAAATATGATTTTTAAAGATTATTTTTTCATAATTTATTTTTATTTAAAATTAATCACATTAAAAATGAATACTGCATTAATTAATACATTTATAATTTATTTATCATATTAAAATTTAAATATTACATTAAATATTTCATTATAATACATTAGCCATTCTTAATATTAACCCTCTGACCGGTAGATGAAAATTGCCTTCTTTCATTTCAACGCATGAAATCTACAATGGCCAATGAATTCGTTATGATCAAAAAGATAGTTTTAATTCTCATCTTGCAGTTTCTCCTTTTTAATTTTTGTTTCTTCTGCTTCCATATTTCTACTGTGAAATAATGAATAGAGCACTTAATAAAAAATAAAAACAAAAAAATATTTTCTCAAACCAAAAAGCTCGCCCCTTAAATGGTTATTAAAAAGATCCAACCACCATGGCAATAATCTCTGAAACCAATCAGGTACGGTGTCTGAAATGCCAACACTTGACATTGTTTTTGGACTAATCCTGTTCTGAGTCCGGAGCCATGCTGGAAAAGCAGGTCCCAATTGGCAGTCACTGATTGCTATATCCCACAGAACCAAGTGGGGAATCTACTCGTGTCTCAAGCTGAAAGCCAAAGATTTGTTCACGGATGACAAGGATAGATAGTATAAATTTGTTAAATTCTGCAGATGAATCTCGGTTATGACTCTTGCATAACGGAATTCCCGTATAGACCCTGTCTTAACAGCAATGTTAGTTGTCCAATACTTTCAGTGATGGTCCCTCTGATCGAAAGATAAGTACAGTACTTCTAACCGTGACAAATTTTCCATGGATTTTGCAAGCGGGCCTGATAAAATGCTGTGCGAGAGATCAACCTCTTCCAAATTTCTAACGGACTCTGTAATTTCACTTTCGACGGAATTAAATGATATATCTAAAATCCTTAATTTGCAAATATTTCCCTACAAACACTTTCGGAATTGGACCAGTTACCAACGACCAAGCTTAAGTTGCTCGAGGGTACTGATATTAAAGAGCCACTGCCTCATTGAAGAATTAAATCTTTATTGTATGAGAGGTCAAGAGCCTGAAGTGATGTGAAATAAAGAGATGGAGGAAGGTCATAAAGCTGACAGCCGGACAAATCCAACTGCAACAGTGATAGCTTGTAGCCAATTTGTCGTTGCCTTACTGTCGTCCACATATCTTAAACCGAGTTATTGCTTAGAAGACAGGCCAGAGCTCTGGCCAGTTTGGATCAGATACCCAAAGACAGTGTGGATATGAACGCACACCAAGATCCAGATAAACCAAGTCTGATCCCTTTGTAGTTTATATCTACCTATTTACACTTGGGTTGTGGACACCCTAACAAAAAGCCCAACTCACCCATCAGTCCGGGACCAAAAACTGCCTCAGTCTCGGTCGGTCCTTCCGCCTTCGCAATTCCACAGCCTTTGAATTTTCAGTTTTTTTTTTTTTTTTAATTTCTTTTCAAAAGGGCTTCATAAAAGAGTGAAGACCTCCGCTCTACATCGCTCCATTTCTATTGGCCCCTAATTTGAGAATGACCGGAGGCGGTCGACGAAGCGCTCGAAGCAGAACCAAATCCTCCACCGATGTCAACGAGGAAGATGAGGCTCTCTACAAAATTAAACCAAACTCCAAACTCCGCAGAGTTAAAGCTAAAGATCACGACAACGCGCTTCGGATACTCAACGCTAATCTTAAAATCATGCTAGGTTTCGTCCTCGTAGCGGCCTTAATTATCTTCTTCTTAGTTAAGCATCTCATTAATCCAGCTGAAGAAGCTCGGAGCCCTAGAGTCGTCACTCCATTTCCCGCTCCCAAAATCACGGACTTACCACAGGTTCCCCAAAAGCAAATTACTATCCATTTCTTTCTTTCTGCTTAATGTATAGTTTTAAAATGCGAATATAAATGTAAGCAGATAGGATTATTTGTTTTCTTTGCATGCGTATATATGTACGTATTTGGTAATGGAGGATTGGATTTGTGGCAGTTTCAAGGAGAGCATAAAGAGACCTTATACTGGGGAACTTATCGTCCTCATGTTTATTTTGGATTTCGTGCCAGGTTCTATCATATTTTGCATTCCGTAGAACTTGAAATGCTTTCGCATTCGCTTTATAATTTTGAATAGAGGAGATAAAAATCATGTGAATAATTGTATGATGATTGCTTTTTCCCTAAAAATTATTGTAATTGGAGGGAGGATGTTGATTAGCAATTGTAACTGGCAGGACTCCTCGGTCTTTAATCGCTGGGTTAATGTGGATTGTTATAAAGGATGGCAGGTACTTTATGCGACATGTTTGCCAAGATTCTGATGAGCTGAGTACATATGGTTGGACAAGTCATAATGGACGCGATTTTGGGCATCAACTTCTGGTTGACCAGGATATGACTTTGGCCACAAGTTTCTTGAAATATAAGGAAGATGGCAGTGGCTATGGAGGAGACTGGGCTGTTCGAATTAATGTGCAAAGTCAGGGGTATGTTACTTTATTTCTTATTTCAGTTTTTGTCTTGTTAATTGCATATGTTACACCTGGTGCTTTCTTTAATTGCTTTTAGAAGATAGGTTTGCCAAAGAGAAACATTTTTTCTTAGTAAGAAAGCTGCAGGCAAACCATATTGAGTTATGAAGGACCTCTTGGGACTGCCTTGTGTGACTGGCACTTTGTATGAGCTCACTTGATCATTCGAGCTCTTCATGGTAAAGTAAGAACATAGGGTTTGTGTTGGTTATATTTGAATTTATTGTATTGTTATCAGTTGTCAAATCCTCATGCAAAAAAGTGCAATTTTATTCTTGGAGAAATTTTGGCTATTAGAAGTAAGATAAGAGCATCCAGAGGACAATGTTGAAGTTGATTTATAATAGTCCAAGAAAAGGATTAAATAACAGAAAAAAGCATTTGTAAATGTAAAATGATAATGAAGTCTGTGGCTTAAAAATTTTAGTTGTTTGCTGATTTCAAGTTTAGGTCTAGAATTCTTTAGTTAAATTAATACATCGAGGTATATATTGCCCATATAGCTTGCCTTACTCTTGTACTTTTGGATAATGAGATTTAAGTTCATTATTTGATGAGGTTAATGGAAGGCCGGATCAACTATAGCTAGGAGGAACATTGCTCCCTTTCTACATTCCTGCATGCACTCATAATTGCATGTTTATTTTCAAGCTAGAATGACGAGGTGTGCTAAAAACATCTACAGAATGTATTTACTTGCGGGCAGAGCACAATGTTCAATTTTGAGTGTGTTCTTGGCTCACTATTCAAATTTCTTATCTAGGTGGAAAAATGAGATGCAGAAAAATGTGCACCTTTTTTTCTATTTGGCTGATGAAGATGGAAATGCTCTAAGTTTAGGTAGCGATATCTTGGACATTCATGAGAATTCTCTCCTGGCATCAGGGTTGCGAACAGACATTGGAGGTTGGCAGCTACATCTAAAATCAAAGGTAAATGGCAATCTAATGGAAGAGTTAGAAATTACCTGTCTTACTTCTCTTGGAATGAAAATTTGATGCTAAAGAGGGAAAATTAGATCATATGTTAGGAAGCTCTCTTGGCCTACCTGCCATTCATGCTACTATTTACCAAAGCAACTTAGAATCATGTTGCTTTTGCTGGTTAGCATTTAAGGAAGTGACTGACCTAAATTGCTGACCAGTATAATTTGTCTTCTGATGCTTCAAGATCATACTTCTCACCACTGCCTAATATTTACAGAATCATGTGTGAGTTTCTTAGTTATGTTACAAATTTGAGTACCCTGGATATAAACAAAAGAAGACCTGAATTTTATTAGTTAACTAGCCTGTCTTCTCTGGCTGAATCCTGTAATATTTCATGAAATTGTTAATTGACTAACCTAAATTTCCTGTTTAAAACCTCTCACCAATTGCTTGCAAGGGTTCAATATCTGGATTTTGCTCGATAAAAATACTGGACTTCAATGAATTTTTGTTTTTCCATTCTTTTTTCTCTTGGAAGTTAATACTGATCTGGAGCGAACTTTCTTATGTTTTTCTTTTGCAGGCTGATTTGGAGGTACATTATTCTGGTTTCAGGACACCTCATATCCACAATTTGTCTGATCTTGTCCAGGAAAACCTTGCATCCCAAGTATGTTAAGTTTTCATATGCATCCTATATGTCTTCAGTTGGTAGAGACTTAGACAAAGTTTTTTTTTTTTTAGTTTTTAAAGGTTCTTTTTCTTGACTTCTTTTGTTTCGTTTGCCTTTTACCAGTTGCTAAGATTTAGTCAGCTGCAGCTACCTGATATCTATCAAAGTTCTTCAAACATTTTAGTTTTTCAGGTAATCTTATGTAAACAGAATGGGTACAACATGTCTTGAAACATTTTGCATTCTTGAAGTTAACTTTGGTTTGTCTTTCTGGTATACCTCATCCTTTTTTTCAATTTTTATGCAGATTTCTGGGAGGATTCCTCTGGAAACAGATATTGTCTTTGTATCTGGAACTGGTATAAATTCAAGAGTAGAAGAACGCATAAACAATCTTGCAGGTATCTCACTGACCAATCGACTAAAAGAGAAACAAAGAGAATTTGATGCCAAATTTGAGAATTGCTTTCAGCTTGCTGACAAGGTATTGAGTTTTGTTAAGTAATTTCATTCTTCATGTTCTTTGGTTCTTCACATTTTATTACTTATTTTTTGATCTCTACATCATACTCTTTCCTAAATTGTCTTACTGCCACTTTGATATCCCTTCTAGTCACTTTAGGTCATGTAGGAGAAGAAATATAATTGTTTTTTTTTTTTTTTATGTATCGGGTTATCAATGTGGGGAGTTGTTTAGAATATTTGGCCTTGATCATAGCTGCTTTAAATTTAAGTTAATGAATCATCTATTACATTGTTTTTTTGCATATGTTGTTGAATAAAGAGACTCATGGTCTCATGTTAGTCATTTCTGATGCTACATTCCCTCATGCTATCTAGAAATGAAATTGTTCTGCCTTATGTATCAATCATGATAGTTTACTTGGAAAATGGACTTCTTTCTAGTTCATAGCTTTTGGCCATTATTTTGAAACTCAACAGACCAAACTAAACTATCTTATCCTCTTTTTTTTTTTTTTTTTATTTTATAAGTTTGATTGACATGGTGTGATGATATATTGTTTTGGCTATTAAGAGTTCACCAATACTCTGATGTTTTACCATTGCACTTGCAGCTTGATTCTAAATCCATTACTGTGGGCAAGGCTGCTATTGGAAATATGTTGGGTGGCATTGGCTACTTCTATGGCCAATCAAAAATTTCGGTTCCCAGAAATCCTGATGTGAGTGACTTGCAATTATTTATTTATTTTTTTAATTGTAATCTAAGGTCTTTTTTGGAGACATTTTACTTTTGGCTTGACCATTCTAGTCGTTATATTTCTTTGTGGCATAATTCACGTTTTGCTTTGTGGCATAATTCACGTTTTGCTTTGTCCTAACTCATTCATGCCTCAAGAACGTACTTTTGATTATTGGCTATTGTTCAGTTGACTTTTCAGTTCACATTAATAATTATGCAAGAGCAATATATTCAATAAGCATCAGGGTGTAGGATTACATTGATTTCTGATTTCTTATAGGCAGTCATATTATGTCTTTCTCTGCAATGTCCTTTAACTGTAAAATTAAATTTAGTCCTATATGATGGTATATCATTCAGTTCATCTTCCTTAAGGTCTCCACTGTTCTTATTATTTGAGTAATTGTAGGGGTTTTATTATCAAAGAGAAAGGAACAACAGAGATCAGGAAAATTTAGTGATCAGATACTTGGTTCTTGCTGTTTGTTAAGTTGGTCTATGTCTGTTTCTCTGTATGTGTTTATTTGTGTGCTATTTCTCCCTTTTTACTTTTTCATTTGTGCTTAACTCTATTTAAACAAAAAAGAAAGGAAAATTTCCTAGAGCTTGTATGCATAATAAGCAGTCAGTTGTTTATCTTGTTAGACAAAGTCAAACAGTGGGCTGTTTCTCTTTCAGGTTAAAAGTCATGATGATTTTCTTCTATATTGGCCAGCTGAGCTATACACAGCTGTTCCAAGTCGACCATTCTTTCCAAGGGGATTTCTCTGGGATGAAGGTTTTCATCAACTACTAATCTGGTTAGTTGCACCTTTTTCTAAGATAAATTTCTTTTGCCACTGTCCAAACTTTGTTTCTTCAGTACCACTCAATCTATAGTTGATTAGGATGTATCATGCTTATCATGCTTGGGGCATGTGCCTGCACATATGTCCACAAATGTTGAGCAGGCGTTGGGATCTTCATATAAGCTTGGATATTGTAGGACACTGGTTAGATTTGATGAATATTGATGGCTGGATTCCTCGTGAGCAAATTTTGGGTGCTGAAGCGCTAAGGTAACTTGCAGCAAATTCAAAGTTCCAAGTTATTTCTGGCCGTATAATTCTGAGGTGTTCTATGGTTTAATTGCAGTAAGGTTCCAGCGGAATTTGTTCTACAGCATTCAAGTAATGGAAACCCACCAACACTAATTTTGGTTTTACGTGGTAAGTTGTTTTCAAATTAAATTGTGCTATAATGCTGTTGTGAGGGTGATCTAAGTCCGAGTCATGTGACAAGGAAGTATTGCTTCAGTTTCATTGCCACAATGATGCAAGTATTTGAATAATTCATGAATTTAGTAGGATTTGGTCCTAGGCTCTCTTGCAATGGTATGCTTTTCAGCCCAGTGTATAACTTGATAGTAATCTACCAATACTAGTTTAAATGACTACAGATTATTATTCTTAAAGTAAATGTGAGGCGTTTTAGTCTAACTTCTTCTGGTTATTTTCTGACAGAGGAACAATTTTGAAGGTTAAACATATGACTCTCTTATTCCTGATAGAAAGACTGCACATTTCACATATGAATATGATAAAGATTGGATCAGATCTGTGGTAGCTTGAAAAGTTGAAGTCTACTGGTCTATGCTTTTACTTTGGAAATTTGATTATCATGCTTGGACATAGGTTGACAAACTAAATTTAGATTAGGTTCCAGAGCTGGAAAACAACCATTTGGATAAAAGTGCTAGAAGATGAACATGGATAATAAACAATTTGGTTTCTGAAAAATGTATGTTTTCTGAAGAGTTGGAGATGCCTCCCCAAATAGCAGAAATATGATAGTATCTTATGATCATACATGTGCAGGCAAAGAGAAAAAGTGCATGGAGTGATGGACATGAAATCAGACTTCTATGTTGCTTGTGTTTTCTTATTTTTCAGTAATCATAATATTTTTTTTGATATGTTATGATTGCCAGATATTTAGTAATTTGAAATCTTATTTTGCTTTCTTTAGTCTGATATTCATTATTTTTCCTGGATTAAGATTATCTACACATGATGTGAAATGTAGTATGAAATTGTCTCCTCCAGATCTTGTTAATGGTATAAAGAAGAACAAGTTCACAGCCATTGAAAGCAATGAGATCATTACCTTCCTACGGCAGGCTTTTGTTCGGCTCGAAGCATGGTTCCAATGGTTCAATACTACCCAGTCAGGTATATTACTAGTATTTTATTTTTAGGAGGGGCTTGGCAGAAAGAATATGATGATGGCAGTGGTAATCCTTACACTTTTATTTATTTCTCTTTTTGGGGTGGGGGAAGGTTGGGTTTCTTGATAAATGTGGTTGAAGTGTAAGTGGCACTAGAATTAATTTTCTGTCTGATAAGTTTATTTATTTGCATCGACAATGGCCTTATGATATGATGTCAAATGTAAAGCAGGCAGAACCAGACCAAACTTTCTCAGATTCTAAGATTCATACTCACAGCATTTCTCCCGTGTTGTTATGTTTATAGTCATAACTTTGCTAAAGCAACAAGTTCAGGGCAGATGACAATATGGTTGAGGTTTAAGCAATGTTATTCAAAATGTAGCTCAAATTGATACAGATATAAATGACCAAAAATTCTTAATTTTTGTCTCATATTTGCCTGTAGAATGGTGATCGTAAAATATTAACATGTAAAACAGCAAATGTGGCTGGGCATGAGGCTCTCTTGTGTTTGTTACACAAGTACTTTTTGGAAGCACATTCATGGAACTGATATTTTTTGTAGAAATTATTGTTAGATATTTATCAGTGTTTTCTAGGTTTTTTAAATGCCTTTGCCATGGATTCTTGGAGTAGGCATTTTGAATTGTTGAGAACTTGAGACATTGAAATTTGGCTGTTTCTAATCCATCCCATCTTTAATTCTGCTGTTATTTTTACGATCACAGGGAAGGATATTGGTAGCTATTATTGGCATGGGAGAGACAATTCAACAATTCGTGAACTAAATCCAAAGGTTCTATTTTGCAGCATTTCATAAGACATTGAGAGTCCTAAGTAAACATAACTTTTTGCTTTTTTTTGAAGCTTTTAAATGTGTAAATGATTTATATTTTTTCTCAGAACATGCCATGGTAGCTATGTTTCTTGGAAAATACATGTTTTTCTAACGGGGCTTGGGCCTGGGGTCAAAGCAACATAATTTTATCTGGACAGGATGCCGCACTTTTGCCCTGAACCATTTAAAAGTAAAAATTTTTTTTGATATTTTTGAATTTGGGGCTACTGATTGGATGTTTCAGGTACAGTCGGATTCTGACCTTGTCTAATGCCTAAGGGCTTTTTGAATCCATGGTTTTGGAGACAAGTTAGCTTATCCAAGCTTTTTGTGGAGCTTTGTTTAGAACAGATGGTTTACCTTTTTCATTTAAAATTATATAGGTTTGATTTATAAAAAACATAAAAATTAAAAACAAAAAAGAAAGAAAACATGTTTACGTAAACATTTGTTGTAAATGGAATGGATTCTGCTCTCTCCAGGCACTTTCCTCTGGGCTGGATGATTACCCTCGTGCATCACACCCAACTGAAGATGAGCGTCACTTGGATCTTAGATGTTGGATGCTTCTTGCAGCAGATTGCATGGATTCCATTGCAGGATTAATTGATAAGGAAAATAAACCTGGAAAGGTAGAAATACAGTAATGAGACAAAGCATCCTTAGAAGTATCAGAATTTAACTATTAATAATATATCTTGAATTTGAATTGGTGCAGGAGTATGGTTCTACAGCTAAGCTGCTTTCAGACTTTGATACTCTGAATAAGGTTTGTCTTGTCTGAGTTGGTTCTTATTACTTTTAGATGGTTGGTAATGCACAATTCTTTAAAGTTATAATATAAAACAATTCTCTATGGTATTGTTATTCTACAGTGATTTCCTTTTTTTCTTCCTCCCATCCCATCTGTCTCTGCAAAGAGCAAAGTATTAAAGTGTGTTAGAATATTTTTCAATGTACATGAGACAGTCCTAATTGCTCTTAGAATTCAGCTTTTTCATTTCTCACTTGTCTTGTTGTCTTACCAGATGCACTTTGACCATGCTTCTGGAGCTTACTTTGACTTTGGAAATCATACAGAAAAGGTATGCTGCTTGCATTTTGCTCTTTTTAGATAAAGTATATTTATTTGGTAATTTATTCACAAATGAATCATTCGTGTTACTTGTTTTCCATTTCATCTGGCATTATATGCCGATGAGACTCAGATTTTGTGCACATACTTTTTCTACTGTTAGTGATATATTTTTGTACTTTCTGTCCAGTGTGCTCATTAGTTGATAATTTGGACAAGTCTCACGTATTTAATGCACATTCTAAACTCTATCTTAAGCAAGCAATTGTCTTTTGGTCATTGAAATTTCCTGGCCTATTATGTGCCTGTTGTCATAAATGCAGTGTCAACTTTCTGATTCAGCATGCTAAAATGTCACAACATTGTAATGTGAAGATGGATTTTTTCTGTTAAAGTATGTTGCCATTCCATTTGCTTAGATCTCAGGTTGAGAACTTGAGTTACCTTTCTTTCTTTTTTTTTCTTTTCCATTGAAATTAGCTCTCTGCTGATACTTATTATAGGTCCGTTTAAGTTGGAAAGAAGTGATGGTAGGAAATAATCATGCAAATCGAGAGCTTGTTCGGGAGGTATTGGAAAGGCCAGAGCTGAAATTGGTTCCTCATGTTGGTTATGTCAGCCTTTTCCCATTTATAGCAAGAATTATTCCACCTGTAAGTTTCCTAGATGGTCTAGTGACCAAATTAATATATTATCAGTTCTCTGGTGCTTTTGCTATGTTGTCTTTGTAAATAAGTTTAAAGCTTCCTTTGTTTTGTCTTTTTTACTTTTCATTCATCATTTTATATTTCTTATGCTTTTCCTCTTTTTCATTTTTTTCATAGAATTAAGATATTATACTTTGTTTGCACAGGAATCATGGATTCTGGAAAAGCAGCTAGACCTAATTTCAAACCGGAGCATCTTATGGACTAATTATGGACTCCGTTCGCTTGCCAAAACCAGGTAATCCTGAATATATATATATATATTAGTTTTTCTGTTAGCTCTAATGCTAATAAGATTACATTATCTTCCTTGTTTTATTTGCTTCAATCAATGAGTGTCTTTCTTGCACATTTTCTTGCATGCAATAGCTCCTTGTACATGAAACGCAACACACAGCATGACCCACCTTATTGGAGAGGTCCAGTTTGGGTGAACATAAACTACATGATTCTTTCTTCGCTCCGGCATTACTCCTTAGGTAAATGATCAAAAACAGGAAATTATTCAGAAAAAAAGAAAAAAAGGAAAGTTGATAATTTTCATTTTAACTTTGGATGCCTCTGTTCCTACTGATCTATTGAGAACTTGTATGCAGAGAATGGACCGTACAGAGACAAAGCCAGAGCCATTTATGATGAGTTGAGACACAATTTAATAAGGTACCCATTCACATCCGTTCAGTGTCCACCTTATGTTTATTACTATGCCCAACCTCAAGCGTTTTTTAAGTTCAATTGAAATCCTTTTGGTACAATGTTGCAGAAATGTAGTTGAAAACTATCACCAGACCGGGTTCTTCTGGGAACAATATGATCAGAAGCAGGGAAAGGGAAAAGGTGCACGTGTATTTTCCGGTTGGACATCGCTTGTGCTATTAATCATGGCAGAAGTTTACACTGAAATGTAGGACATTTTGATGTAACTTTTTTTGGTGGAAAAAAATAGTGATTTCGAACTGCATTAAAGTTCTATAGAAAACAGGTAAAAAGATATGCATATTTGCAGGTTTTCCTTGCATCTATGCCAGGCATAATGTGATAATGTGAATGCTTCTTAACTCCTTTTATTGTACGCGTGTATACTGTATACTTTTTTATTACAACTGGATTGGAAGTTAGGATCCTCAGCCTTGAAGTTAGCCCTAAATAATTAATTGGTTATACCGCATACCCTATAGCAGGGTTTACTTTTATCTTGTCATGAGAGCCCAAGTAAAACCGACAATTGTATGCTTTACTTCTGATTTTTAGTTATGCATTATGTTTTCTTTAATTCAATTTACTTCTTAGAAACTCATCGAATTCAATTTTATTTGAGTTAACGGAAAAATTTAACCAACTTGAACCAAGCCAAATCATTAGATCAATTCTAAAGTTTATATATATATATATATATACCTCTTAAGGCTATAATTATAGAGGCGTAAATGGGTCAGACCCGGATAGCTTAGGCTAAGTTTTATCATGCCTGCCCCTTAGTGACTGAATCTCTGACCTGTTTAGGCCCATTCATATACATACAACTATTGGCTCGGCCTAGCTATAAACTTTGAAATCTTAACTCGAGTTCCGCCTGAAGAAGGTTGGACTACCATAGGCCAGACTACGACTGATAATGTAGTAGTAATACCCTTGACACTAATTGCTTGGAATCAAAAAGATGATTCAATAAGGGATATCTATCTTATTAGGCATCGACCTCGAAGAGTCTTCAGTCAGGGTATCCACTAATTTTCTAACCCCACCCGTGGAGTCCAGCTCCTTAATCCTCTTCAGGGGGGAGAACTATTTATATTTGGATAATTATCTAATTCTCTAATGATCAAAGAAATGATCATGGTACACTTGCATCACTGAACGTTGGTGAGAACCGTCTAAACAGCAACTTTAAATTCATATCCAATCCACCAACAAAATTTTTAAAAGGGAATTGCAAAGAATCACCAGAGTTGTCGGCCCTGTAGTTCACATCTTATGTCATATCTGTGTCTTCAGCCATTATTATCTCCATATCTCTGATATCTCGCTTCAGCACGTTGCCAAGCCTTGCAATAGCCTCTGTCTGCTGTTGTAATACCTGTTTCCCAGAAAAGATCATTCATATACAAGTTGCAGATTAAGTATTTATATAAAGGAATGCAATATGCAAAAACCTTGAACACAAACATCAGATTCTGTAAAAATTTACCTGAAGATGTATCATGGTTGTTAGCTAAATCTATATTATCATTGCAAAAGAAAATATTGATAGAAATGACAGGTAACTATTCTTTCAAATAAAATATCATAAGAATGCACTTGCAATAAATTTTTTTCAAGATGTGCAATACAAAAAGCTTTAAATTGCTCAGTCATACCTCCTGCATATCAGCAAGACTCTGCTCATGTATTTTAGCTGATCCTGGAAGATAAAGAGAACCTCCAGCACCAATAGCATTAGCTTGAACACGAGAAACAGTGAGTAGATTTTGAACCCTCCTAGAAAGTTCTGCTCCAGATCCTTTCAACTGTGGTTGCATCTGGTTGTCAGTACAATCTCTTGATGACAGTATAGCAAATGCAAAATAAAAGGATCAGAGGATAGGAACACTAGCCTGTCTAGTTATTGCAGCTAACTTCTCAGCCAATTCAACTTCCCCTCTCATTAAAGGCAAGTGACATCCCTTACCCTCTAATGCTTCCACTATTCTCATCATCTTTACACCACCATACAACAAGAAAAATCAACATAAGTACACCCAAAAGATACATATATTCTTGCAGAAACCATAAAAAATTCCCCTAATACATAACAGCTAACTCCATATCCAGCCTGACCACACACCTAAGGCAGTTGTAATTACTAGCATAGAATCAAGCAGATTATCTTTTCCTTTTCCTCTTTATTTATTTTGTTGAGTTTTCGGGGGCAAAGTATCAAGGAAAAAAAAAACAGGAAGAATGGATTTTCAGCTCAACAAAATTATGTTTCTGATCAATGCCTAGGTTCATGCCAATCATTTCTAATTGGTACTAAAAATTAATCAAAATTTGTCCAACCTTTAAGAGGCGCCTTTGGAGGCTTTGCTCCTTTTGTCTCATTCTCTGGATCCACGGAAGAGTGTCAGCTTGAAAATGCCTTTGGAGCTGCAAAAATAATAGAATGTGAAAAACATACGCCAGACAGTAACCAAAAGAGACCAATAAAGAATACAGTACCATTTTTACATTGCTCTGAGTCATTAGCAATCTTTCAGCATCTGAAAGGATGACTTCATCTTGTAGCTGCCAGCAACCCAGCATTACAAAGTCAAGAGTTCAGCCAACAGAGGCCACTCACAAAATAAAATGACTAAAAAGTGAAAACGCATGGTCACTGGAAGGACCAAGCCTTGGGGCACATTTAAGTACGCATACGATTTCAAAAGTACACATCTAATGTGTACATTAGATTGCATTCATCACGTTTTCTTCCAAACACTTGCAACAAAACCAATAACACACTAACTACACCGTCTTGCCAAAATTAGTAAAAGCTCTCCCATTTCAATTTCCTTGCATGTAAATCTATATTTACTTTATCCTTATCCAGTATCTTTCAAGGTTCCATGCCGTTTCTAAAAGCCAGAGGTACTGAAAAACAAAATTCCATCGGTTTGGAAATGCAAAAGCACAATAATACATGAGATTCTTCCCTTCAATTAGTTAAATCAGGACAAGCCCTGCTGAAATTGGCTTCATTCAATTATCAGTATCAAAATCTTATACAAATGCACACAATTGCTATTAGGATCATTTCAAATGAAGATTTTCCAGACAATAACAAAACAAGGTAACAACACAATGTAGATAAACCCCTCTCCACATCTCAAATAAAAACAATAATTACCTTCAATCGCTGTGAAAGATCCTTAAAACCCTGAACAAGCTGAGGCCAGAGTCTTTCCCGATCAGCACTCCCCATACCCTCCAGTTTTGCCATAGCTTCCGCCCACATGATCTACAAATGCAAACTATCATCCAATCTTAGTAAAAGTGGGACTCAATAAACCAAACCAAAAAAGGAGAAAATTAGCGGTAAAAAGTGCAGAAGGAAATGCTAGTTAACTTACATCTGATACACCAGTCGGCTTTGCCCTGAATTGCGGGTCTCTTACACTAAACAACAAATGCTGCATAAGAATAAACTTAACCATCAATATATCATGCCAACCACCTAAAACCCTAACGCTTTATTTGGTTGCATGGAATGAAAATGAAAATCAACAAAAAAATGATTCGAAATATTACATTTCTCGCAGTTAAAAAACCACAGGAAACAGAAAATGTAGCTTCGGGGTAACAAAATTACAACTGTTCTTCCTCTTGATTTGAATTAAAAACAATTAAAATCTGAATTAAGCATCGGAAGAAAACGAACCTTGAAAGCGTACTTAGGGTTCCCAGGCTCCTCCTTGTAAGCGTCCACAATTGCCTAATGATGAACCAGAACACTCAATAATCAAATAATTGAAAGAGACCTAGGCTTAGGTTTTAACAATTTTAAAAGAAAGAAATTTAATTACTTGGATATCACGATCGACAAGAGAAAAAGGGAGAGGAGCGACGGGAGCCATTTGAGTTGTCAATTGAGCATTGGGGAAAGTAGTGGATGACGGAGTCTGGAACCCGAACCCACTAGAAGGTGCCGCTGCGGCTGGCTGTTGTTGCTGAAATAACGGAGTCTGTTGCTGTTGAGTTTGAGAAGAGAATGGAGTGGAGAAAAGAGAGGAGCCGCCAAAGCCCGTGGCGAAAGACGGCGTCGACGGAGTGCCAAACGCAGGCGTCAAAGACGGAGTACCAAAGGCCGGAGTCGAAGATGGAGTTCCAAACGCCGGCGTCGAAGGATTGCCGAAGGCAGGAGTAGAAGAAGGAGTGCCAAACGCTGGCGTTGAAGAAGGAGTGCCGAAGGCAGAAGAGGAACCTTGAACTCCGAACATTGTTGGATTCACTTGATTTTCGAATTTGTTGAAAGCTCAAATTGTGGGCGCCATTCGAGGGTGAGGTTCAATTTGCTGCTTCGATTTTCCTCTTTCCAGTTTGAAACTTTTATTATTATATTATTATGGTTAAAATTACAATTAGAGGGTGTTTGGCTGACGACTGGGAATATCAATAGTGAAGGGTGCTGTTTGGATGCATGTGCCCTGCATGTCACGTTGGTAAAAGAAAAGGTAATCTTGAACTTATAAATTATGGAGCTTCTTTCATTTAATAGGTTGGTATGCTTTTTAGGTTGTAAATAACTAAATGTCGATTGTGACAAGTGATAAATGGTCAGACCGACTCTGCACTAATGCAAGATTTTATGAGATAAATTTAGATTAAAGTAAGTTTTTTCATTTTAATGAAATAGTTAATGCAACGAAAATATTATATAATTAGGTGATAAGAATATAATAAATCTCAGAATGGCTGATTTTTGGCTTATAAATTGTAAATTTTCCCTTATTTAATAAGCATATTTTTTAGTTGAAAATCTCAACCCAAGACGTATAAATTATTTATTTTATTTTATTCTATAAAGTAAGTCAAAATCAAACGTGCCTTTGAAATCGGTTTACCATTGAGGTGCAAACGAGTTTTTGGCTAAAGAGCTTGTTTTTGCAGTAACTTAAAATTACTTGTCTATTTTTATTATTTTTTGGACATTTCAATACATCAATAATATTTTTTTTACATTAATATTAAATAATTACATTTTTAAATTACATTTTTAAACACATTTTTTCAAATTAAGTTTTTCTTAAACCATACCAATAATATTAAATTAGGTTTAAGTGACATTTGGTGTGAGTAATCTTCTAAAAATAGAGTAATTTGAAAATTTTATGTGGTAATATATTAAATTATCAAAAGTGATTCTATCATTACTTGTAGAATGATTTAAATTCAATCTAAAAAGGTGAAAAGCTTACATGAAAAAAAAATGATCTTTCAAATTATTTTAAAATAAATTTATTCTTGAAATTGTGTCTACCCAAATATATTCTATCTTAAATTTTAATTTTTATAGGTAACCTTCTATTTTTAATAATTTTATTAACACAATTTATATAATCGTTACATGTAAATATGTTAATAACTTTGAATTATGTCATATTTAATATCTTACAAATTTCTGTAAAACAATAAATTCTTATTTTATAAATTATTTATTTAATAAAAATTAAAATTGTTGCTTTCTTTTAAGTACTTTATTATTAATAGTAAAATTATTTTGAATGTTTTATTTTGACAGATTTTTCTTATATAATATCAAAAATAATAATTTAAAATTAACAATAATATTATAATATTACATTAAATATAATAATTTAAATCATTAATAATCAAATCACTTTACCGGTCTTTGATCCGATCATCATGACCAGCTCAAAAGTAATGCCAATACGTATTCATTCCACTGGACGCTCAGTGGCGTTTAGTCAAAATTTTTTATACACCCAATAGTCGTTTTCCCCTAGCAGGAACCAGCCGAATCTGTATATTCCAATCCATGCCGCTGCTAGTGTAATTTTTATTTTAACAATACTCGAGCATATAAACTAAGGGCAGGACGGAAGTCTACAGATTAAAAGAGTATTATCAACCAGGAAAATAAAATTGTAAACAGAAATCAAATTAATTAGTTCAACATCAGCAAGATAATCTAACAGAAAGTTTTGGAACCTGACAATGACATGTTCATTGTTCCCATACAAATAAATTGCCATAAAAAACTTAATACAGTCAAATGAACTTACTGAGAAGATTCCTTGCAAATGGACAGAGACATTCTGGACTTGATGGAGATTCTTAATTGTCAGGGAGTGATTCTTTCAAGCTTTGATTGTCACACTGCAAAGGCACAAACCAGAAGGCTTTATATCAGAAGTCTGCCATTCTGAACCAGGGGCTGCATTTGGATCATACAAAAGGGTATGGTAACCAGGGTCTCCCTCCACTGAGAATAGTAAAAGTTTTCCATCGAATATACCGAAACGAAACCCTATATTTGTGCTCCCTGTCAACGGAACAGAAACCATCTTCCAGGAATTGTCCTCCGGGTTGAAGATTGCCAGCTTCCGCTGGTTCTTCCACTCCATGCAGAAAAGCTTCTTCTCTAGCACAGCATGGGCAGTGACCATGACACAACCATTCTTCATCTCATACCAAGTGTGCTTCTCAGGGTTGTACACATCCACAAACCTTGAGTTTCCAATAGTGAAGCTTGACCTTCCACCCAAGACATAAAGTTTTCCATTCAATCCACATGCAAAACAAGCCCCGCGTGGTCGGCGTAGACTTTCAATAAGGGTCCAGTTATCAGTGTCGGGGTCATACACCTCTGCAGTGGAGAGGCACTCACCTTCAATCCCATACCCTCCAACAACATAAACAATGCCATTTACCTCTGCGCAAGCAAAATCAGAGCGAGCAACATTCAGGTCTGCTAATTTGCTCCAACTGCAATCATGAAGATGTGTTAAAACCAACAAGAATGAAACATGTTGCAATTCTTTTCACGCCTGTTAGGCAGGGCGAAGTGGAAATGGGAGGGTGTTTCTAAGAGTAACATGGAATTGGGGACCATTCATATTGTCAGCCGTGGTCAATTCACACAGATGAAGACTTTCAAATAGTTATTGAATGTCCTAACCAGTAAATAATATAACAACTTCCCAACCAACAAGCAGTTACTTGTCTATTACTAATCACAAGTTAATCTGATGATGGCCAAAAAAATTACTAGTTAATTTGATAATTGTTCAAAATGGTAGGCTAAACTATTTGAGATTCATTAAAACCAATATAACAAGAGGGGCCATTCAAGAAACCTTAATTTAAATTGATAACCTACCTTTTGATACTTTGTACATCAATATTGAAACAGTTTTTACGCCAACTCTTTCAAGTTAATAACCTACCTTTTGGCTGAAAGAAATTAAAATATTAAAAAGGATTAAACCTCTTCACTGTATCCAAAATGGTTCAGTTTTTAAAACCAGTCATAGGGAGAATTTCAAGCCTCATATTAAATGTGCAAATAAAAAACAAACCTGTTGAGGCAAGAATCATATTGGTAAACATCTGCTGAGGCGGAGGCAGTCCTGTTGATCACCGAATAGCCTGCTATGACAAGAAGCTTTCCATTAAGGACAGCTACCCCAAACCCAACTTTTGCAGGTCCAGGCATTGGTGGAAGCAGCCGACCTTTCTGTCCCAAACAATCCAAAACCTCCCAGTGGCTTTCCTTCCCTTCAGAATCCATAATTAGAACATAAAGCCACTCTTCAAGCATTCCAGCTGTTCTTCGCTCTGTTAAGAATTCTTTGCTTTGAATGAATGACCTCCACCTCTTGCATACACCACCCATGGCGGGGAAGCTGGAACGAGGAACAAGAGTAAGGCAATACTTGGCCACATCATCTGAAAGCCCTGGAAGCAGTGCGCTGTCTGATTCATTAGTGGCCTGAGATGATGAATGAGGATTGCCTTTTGAATGAATCAGTATATCTTGTTTAACCGGAGAGGTGAGACACATATTGGTTTCAGTGATTCTCTTCTTTCCTCTCACAAAAAAAGGCATTTTCCAGATGATTCTTGTATTCGGTACAACAAATATATCTCCCAAAGAACGCGTTAATATTTCTAAATGCTCATCAACTAATTAAAGAAACTCATGAAATCCATCACCTATAGGGATTTTACAGCACCAAGGCATAAGCAATGTTGCAGAACGGATCACTTGAGCTGTGAATGCTGAGGATACTCTATGCTTCGTCCAGTCTGATTCAGGTTCCATGCCAGAGGCCCTGCTCTTTGGGTAGTTACTTCCTGTTGCACTATGTAAAGTTCTCTGCACGCCTCTGTACCCGTTCCTTTGCCCACACATTACCCAAATATCTAAATACAAGAGTGCAAACCATAGGAAATTAGCACAAAGATAGGAAACCAAGGAAAGAATTTTATCTATACATCATAGTCAAAGAAGTCAGAAAAATCATGCCTGTGAAGGCCATAAAATTCAGCAAGTTTTAGCCCCCAGTTACTTCCATTTTTATTGAGCCAGTAATCACCTGAACATATAAAGTAAACTGAAAAAAAGTCAAGTTAAATTGTGCCAAGCCCAATTCATACAGAATAAGAAGTTAATAACGTCAATCATGACAGCAACAAGAACATTTTCTCTACAAAATACACAACTTATTTTGACCAAACTTTTACAGCAGGTAGCAGCACCCACGTACTGCTTGGAAACATCCAATGCCAATCACAAGAACAAAATAAAAAAAAATTACTAATATTGGTAAAACAAACCCTCCTCTCTATGATCCCAAACTAAACTCCAACATGTTGCCATTTATTACCACAGATGAAAAAAGCATTAGTTTATTTGCAGTGGTAGATAGACGAATGAGAAGAACAACAACTCAAAGGCCTTATTATATTCAGTTAACCTCTAAGAGCCCAGATCTCGATTTCACCTACCCTACCCACCTACCAGACAGAATGTGAAAGCCAACCAAAACTTGAAGTAAAATATTATGTCTATATATGTAGGATTACTGCCTTTTTCTCTTAAATTGAAAAAAAAAAAAAAATCAACCATAGCTAAAATCATAAAATGAGTTTTTAAGCAAAAAAATCATGGAGAGATCAAATATAATTTCCTCAATCATAATAAGCATATCACAGAAATATAAAAATTAAAGAAAAGGGCAGGTAAACAAATTAGAGCAGTCAAAGACGTGGGTAATCAATAAAAAGCTTGATTGAATCCTGGACTGGTACAAGCAAAAAATTAATGAAATCCAAATTCTCTGAAAAAGAAAGGTTAGGAAAAAAACAACAAATAGCAGAGTGCTCCTCAAAGCAAAATATTAAGACACATTAGATCTGATAATGAACACTAAAACAGCTTAGACAAATGAAAAAAAAAAAGATAGATAGATCTGAGATAAAGAACAGAAGAAAAAAATAGTTTAGAAGATAATGTAAAGAAAGGGTTACCTGGAAAATACGAAATAATGTGTTTGTGTTATAAGATAAGCAGAAACGGAAGATTGGTAAGTGTTTTTGATGCAGATGAGCAAGGGATGAGGTTATAAATATGTATAGGCATAAATATAGCAGCGAAGATCGAACTGACAGGGCGCTACCACGTCAGTAATGAGATTCCTAGCAAACCCGACGAGGAAAGACACGGCGTTGTTATTCTGTTCCCAAACCAAAGGAATTGCTATTGTTTGCTATTTATTTGTTCAAATTAGACTCATGGGAGAAGAGACTTTTGGGTCTAATTATTGAGGGTTTGTAATTGTTCGACGCCGATTCTTTGTTGGTTTTATTATTATTATTTTTTGGCTGAAGGATCCCACTTCGGTTATATTTTTCATTTTTTTATCAAAATTGTTTATTTTAAGGAAGTGAAATTCGCATTTCATTTGTTCAAATATTATTTTGATGGCTAGTAAAATTGATTGTGATGAAATTAAAAAAAATAATAATAAATATTATAATTATGATTAAAAATTTTTAATAATAAATTTTTATTAAATAAATTTTATTAAAATTAATATTTAAAATTAATTAATGATGTAATAAATTTAATTATATCATATAAAAAATGTGATAAAATTCAAATGAGCACTTAGTAAGAAATAAAAGTACTTATAATTAAATCACGTGCTGAAAATGTTTGGACTAAAAAGAACTTGAGTGAGAAAAGATTTACGCTTGATAACATTGACATGGTAAATTTTCTAGCATATTTCACTGACTGAAGTGATTACAAACGTTTCAAATAAATGAAATGCATATATTATACAAAAATTTATTAAGATTTATTATGTTATATATTTATATTTTAAAAACATATTAAAATATATATTAAATTTTAAGATGAGAATGAATAAATTTTAAATTTTTTATGAGATAAAAAATGAAGATAGGTAATATAAAATCCCTCATATCTTGTATATATATATATTTTTAGTAACTAAATTTTTTATTAAATAACATAAAATTTTATTTTAGATTAGATAAAATTAATATATTTTTATTTAAAAAATTGTATAAATGTGTAAGATAAAAAAATTATGTTTTTTATTATTATTTTTTAAAAATTATGGATATAGAGATTATAAATGCGTGTTAAATACTCACAAAATAAAGATAATGATATATTTAAAATATTTATTAATTATGAGTCTATAAATAAATATAATATAAAAATTTTAAAATAAGGATGAAGAATGCACAAGTGGTGTATATTTTATTTTTATTCTATATTTCTTTCATTTCTAGTAGAATCCATAGATGGTGTTTTCATGAATATAGGAGTTTGACAAGGACGAATGATTTTCCAAGGTTTCTGTTTTGGCTGCTGGCAGGGTTCACCATATACAATATGTGTGGTATCCCAAGATAAAACAATCAAAGTCGAAGAGATTCACTTGGAGTCGGCATTCCATTCATGCCATGGACTTTTCCAGCATCTTCACTCTCTGAATGGTTAACGATTAATCCTGAGACATGGGATGTTAAATTAAATTCCTTGGCATAGAGCTTTGGATGTGCACGTTCGTGGTCGCCCCTAGTCGACAACCTAAATCCACGACGCCTTCAACAGAGCAGTTTATTTACGTGTGTGGTGTATGGCATAAGCATTGACGTAATTTCCGTTAAAATGCGTGGGCTCGTTTTGTGAGAAGATAAAAAGGTTTGTTTATCTGTACGGAGAGGGTTGGTGCCTTGTTGGAATAGTTGGTCAAGGGTGGTGGAGTCGGTTCGAAGTTGACGGCAAATGGGCGACTTGGATCTTGGTGGGACCAAAGTGGGGCCAGTTTTTGGTTATCTTGGTATTTTGAAAAGGAAATAAAGAGAGGCGTTGTCGGGCATAGTGATGGAGGCCTGGCCAGCTCTAAAATCTATAATTGGTTCAGGAATCAGGATAGCTGTGCGAGGGAATGGTGCCTTCGTGCTGAGAACAATTATAGCGTTTCCACCCACATTTGCCCTGAAGTATCCAACTTCAAATTGAAAATAAAAAATGAAAAAAAAAGGACAATATACAAAGTTTATGTGCCATTCTTTTCTTTATTCCAATTTTCATATAGAAATGTCATTGCCAAGTTGCTTCTTATTTCCGTTTAATGCATCACTTCACATGCTCTCCCAAAGTGCTAAATAATTACTCCTTTCCTCTCAAAATAATTATTTTTTATTATTTTATAGTCAAAATAATTTTATTTTGATCTTATTTTTAAAATATAATTTTTTAAAATATATTTAAAAATTTTTGAAATTCATAGTTTATAAATCTTATTTTTAATATTTTATTTTTTATTAAAAATAATGATCAAATTGAATTAATTTAATAAAAACAATAATAAAAACAATAATTTTTTGATAGAGGGAATATCATTTTTATAGAACGCTGTCATTATCTGATTTTCTCGTTTATAGGTTAAAGCGTAAACAAGAAGAAAAGGGTTCAAAGACCAGAATGCTAACTGAAAGCGAGCCAATCGGGAATTAAAAAGAGTAGGTTTGGTAAGCACGTGAATGATAACACTTCAGTTTAGACCACAATTAATTCAAATCATGAATAAAAAAATTAAATATTTACTGACTTTTTAATTTTAATAATTAAAATATAATTTTTGATAACTTCAATCATTTAAAAAAAAAATGCCTGATAAAACCTTGCAAACAAATAATTATTTTCTCCAATTTTTTCTTGGGAGTAATGGGAGTTTGATCTTCTAGTAATATTTTTAATTTTGGGTCAAACACGTGCCCCTGCCCCCGTTGAATATGGTTCACAAGGTTTTTTTATTTGATCTCATTGTCACATACTACGCTGATCCATCACATCAAGGATTGAGAATTTGATTTTTTTTATCTTACATTTTTTTATGTTGGATAATTATTTTAAATTTCGAATAATTTTAAATTTAATTAAATTAAATATCATAAAAAAATAAAAAAAATTTAATTCTAATTTTTTATTTATAAGATTTAAAACTCAATTTTTATTTAAAAAAATTTGAACCACTTGCCACTCAAATTAATAACTCATGTTTATCCTATGATATATGGCCACTAAACAAAAACCAATTGCCTGCTCAACTTTTCAACCGTATAATTTTTTGACCTTTTCAAGTGTGTAACATTTTGAACCTCACGTTGCTATACGAAGTTTTTCCTAGAAAGTTTATATATATATATATATATATATATATATATATATAGTCTAATTAAAAAAAAAATAGTGAGAGGAGACTATTTCATTTTAAGATTGGGATTGAGATAGCTATGTTGTCCAAATTTCGATTCTTATACAAGTTTATTTATTTTCATTGGTGTAACTTGGTTTTTATTGCATGATTTAATAGTAAATTTAAATTATTCGCTTATTAAATCTATAATTAAATTTAATTAATTCATATAAATACATTTAAAAATAATGATAAATTTGAATTTTGAATTTAAATATTTATAATTTCTTTTTTTATTTTTAAATGACATTTTTTTTATATAAAAAATAGATAATGATTCTTAAATTATAATAAAATATTTAATATGATATTTGAATTTTAAAAATTTATAATATAATTTTTGAATTATAAATTTATTAATTAATATGATATTTAGATAGTTATTATTTGTACGTCATATATCAATTTTAAATAGTTAGGATGAATGTTACATTTATTAATAAATTTATAATTTAAATATTATATTATATATTTATAAAATTCAAATGTCATATTAAATATTTTGTTATAATTTAAACATCATTTATAACATTAATCCAAAAAAAAAAGTGGCTCGCCAGATTCTTATGCTCCCTCTGCATTTACCTTAGGCAACCAATAAATACAAAAATCAAATTAAATACATTGGATTTTGTAGACAACTTTATCCGTAAGAACAGAGTTAAAAGTCCTTGGCGCACCAAAGGATCATTAATTCTTAGTTGACCCCAAAAATATGTTCTAATCCAGTGATTATACGTCAAGCGAGGGTTGACGCCAACGGAAGTTAAGGATTGGTTGAATTGATAATGATTAATACTTCACTCATATAAAGTCTAAATTTGATTTCCGGGGCGAGTAATTTCCTTTTGTGGTTTTTTGTAACTGCCTGAGATTTTTTTTTTTGTCGTGGCTGGAAACTTGGACTTCAGTTCGCTGTCACTTTAAAAGCCCAAAACCACCTGTACATTCCATTGCTGTAAGATTACCATTGCAAGTAGCAAGAAAAGTGTCCTATCAGTTATGTTGATTATCGCTAAAGGTTCATGGTCGCGGAAAAATGTGAATGTCCAACCGATTTGAACAAACATGCTGGGCAGCAGATTCTATTTCCAAGCGCATGCTCCAAAAAACCATTGCCCAACTTATCCTAATCAAAAAGAAGCTTTAAATCATCTTCATGTTTCTGCAGCCAGCAAAACAGAAGCTTTTTTGCTCAATACCATCTACAAAGACAACAGATATTCAAATTCATTGTCCTCAGCTGCCGCAAATGGGGTCCTAGGTTCTCCAAAGCCAACAAAATTTAAGAGCCACCACAATTAAATCAAGGAAATTTAAATCACAACCAAAGAATAAAAAGAAATTCCCATCTCCGCTTCCAGTATTTGATAGCAAAGCAATTATGTAACATATTAAAGGCGTCAAGAAGGAAGGGAAAGAGATGCATAAGAAGTACTCTCTTCAACTAATTGTTTTCATAGTTCAAAAAATTCGGAGAAATCAAGTAGATTACAGTATCCATTGATGCACATAAAGGAAGAAAACATCAATTCACCCCCTAGCGAACTCTAATGATGATAAAATCAAGTTAAAACGACCCTACTTCTTGATCGCTTTCTTCTTCGAACTCACAGCCACCTGTGGCTTGGGATACTTCTCAGCTTCACTGGGATCCAACCAATTGAGTGGGTGGCGGTTGAAGAAACGCCAATTTGGAACAGTAATCAATGTGGTGAGAGTAACACCACCAGCATATAGGAGAATCATCATTTGAAACGATCCCAAAACATAACCTGCAACAAATGCAATCATCGCAAACCCCAACAGCATTATCTGCATTATCTGCTCAGCTAACTTTTGCCCTTGCCAATCCATCTACAATTAATTCAACAACATAAGCCAAACTCTAAGTAACCACAAAAACAAGCCCTAAAGTAATTAAAGAAACTATAAGTAACTAGAAGTCCATGCACGCATCCATACTCAAGCTTTATCATAAGTATGAATATCTCCTAGAAAAACTTCTAAAGCAATAGTCTGCTTATTTTATTTCCGATTCCGCTACTATTGCAGGTATCACCATATGCAAATTTTGCTATACACATGAAACCGGATCCCCAAATTGGCTCCTTCAAGTACATTCGATGTTAAACGCTAGAGATCATTGATTGTGATTTGGGAGCGGAGATCACTAAATCAAAACCCTAGATGCTGTTTGGTTAGCGAGCAATCAAAAGAAAATAAAAACTTAAATCCATTGAGTGGGTTTTGTTCCTTATAATCTAAGATCATGAAAATCACTCGCGATCAGAAGACAGGAAATCGAAAATAAAAAAATGATGGCTAAACATCAGGGCTGTGTTTGGTTTCAGAGACAATAAACTTTAAATCACCCTCGCCTTCACAGGGGGAATGCCCATTCCCGTTCATTTTTTTCTCAAAATTCATAAATTTCGATCAGCAAGCAATTAAAACTAATCAAAAAATTGAAGAGAATAAAAAAAAAAAAAATAGGAAAGAAAAGTTAAATCAATTAGAAAACCCAAAATCGAAAATTGCTATTTGCTGTCCAATGAGAGAGTAAAAAAGGTAAAACTTACCTGACGGTGAAATAAGAGAGCAGAGAGGGAGAGGATGTCTGAAAGTGGAAGTCGATAACAAGAACGACGAGTACGAGAAACTGAAAAAAGTTAAGTACAGGTTTTAATACATTGAGAACTGACATTATTTCATGGCCACAGGATCCAAAGCAAGACCGGATACTATAGCCGTTGGATCAAATTATCACAACTAGATGCAACTTAAAGTTTGTTAGTCCGTTGGAATTTATTGGAGGTTATCCGGAGGAATTTTTTTATGAATTTGTTAAGTTTGGAGTATAAGAATTTATTTGGATTGGTTTACAGAGGTAATGTACTAGATGAAGCCAGAAATATCTTACTGCAAAATAAAAAAAAAATTTATATTTTTAAAATAAAATTTTTTGATGAATTTATTATATTTTATAAATAAAATTATTTGAATTGATTCAAACAGAGAATGTACCAAGTGAAATTTAAGAATACTATACGGCTAAATTAAAAAAAAAAAAAAAGCATTTTTTTATTTTAAAGCTGTTTATTTTTAAGTAGTAGCTGTTGATTGTAAATGCTTGTTTTGTTGCCTTTGTCATCAAAAGAAAAAAATTTTGCTCAAGGTGTTTCGCCTAATTTAGATAAAACATATATTTCACTTATGTTCTCTAATAATTTATTTCAATTTTACTTTAATTTTAATTTTTTATTGTTTCATTTGAATCCTTAATCTTTTTAAAATGACTTAATTTTTTAAAAATGACTTCATTTTAATTTGGCAATTGGTATTTTACGTGAATATTAATAAAATAACAAAGAAGCTAAATGGAATTATTTTAAAAGATCATAGATTTAAATGAAATAATTCATAAAATAAAACCTAAAATGAAATTATATAAAAAAATTAAAGATTTTAATGCAATTTATCCAAATAATGATCATATAAATTTCAAAGGAGAATTTCATTTACACCTTATTTAATTTTATATACATCTTCATTCTATATGCATCTCAAATTTGAATTTTATTTTTTTATCTCTATTAAATACACCTTACCCTTTATTTTTTATTTTCTATTCCTATCTTTTGTCTCTTTTTCTTTATTCACTTTTAACCAAAACCTTAATCATACATTTATGAACGCATTTACTTAATTATGTATGCGAATAAAATTGAAACTGATGTTCTTAATATGTATAGTATAAACTTGTTCTTTTTTTTGAATTTTTTAAAAATTGAAAACATCATTTTTTATACCGTGCATGTTTGGGAATTTGTCTCTTCCATTTGCACATATGATTAAGGAAGAATTGACACATCGATAACTCTTATGTGTGCATACATGTTAGTCTGAGTTTAAACACTTTATAAAATATTGTCACTGATAATGTTATAAGCAGATTGACAAATTTAATAATATTTAATTTTTTGACTACTAATCTTTATTGTCTAATTTGTCAGTCTATTGATAATATTTTTGTAGTAGTCCAAAGATTAAAGATTTTAATTTTTTTGTTATCAAAAGTATATAATTAAATATATATTTAAAAAATTTATGTATTTTTAGAAAATAAATTTTTGAGAATATAAGATGACTTTCATAAATCCACTTCGAGAAAGTAATATAATTCTTCAAAATAGATTATTTGAGAAGTGTGTTTTATTTTTGATAATTTATTTTTGAAAATTATATTATTTTCTTAAAAATGAATTTATGAAAATATACTATAATTATAAAAAAATTCATTTTGTAAGAAATACAAGGTAATTTTTAAGTATATATGCTATTAAAGATATTTTTATCATTTACTAAATATTAAAATTGATATTTGGCATCTGAATATTTTTGAAAAATAAAATGGAGATGTATATAAAAAATTTGATAATGTATTTAAAACACCCAAATTCCAAGTTGTCTACCTGCTTTGTTCACATTGACAGATTTATTCTTTTCATTAATAGTTTTTTAAGCCTTTTCTTCTTTCGAGAAAAATTTTTGGAATTAGAAAATTACAACTTAAAACCTTCATTTTAGAGATGAAATTAACATATAAACCATAACCATAGATTATTAGTATTAATATTAACTTTTAAAAAGAACAAGAAGTTATAACCAAAATCATATTGAAAAAAAAAAATCCCGAAATATTTAACATTTTCTAATGGTCCGTCTTTGAGAGCTTGAAGAGCCTTTGGAAAGTAAAAATTGGCACTCGAGAAGTATAAAAGACAAAATAGTTTCAAAAGTCTAACATCAAAATTCACAAAAAAAAAAAAAAAAAACGAAATAATTTTCCATTTATCCAAACATCGTTGCCAACTGCCGAGTCTCAAAGAGATTCACTGAATTGCCAACAAATAGATTAACTTTTAATCCTCCCATTTTAAAGGATCCTCAGCCAAATTTTGAAAAGAATATTTCGTAAGCCTTTTTTTTATTATACTCTTTTTTCCAATAATTACGGGCAAATAGGATTTATTCTTTTTAAACAAGATAACTTCATAAAAGCAACTTCGAATTCATTTGACAATGCGGTGGAATTCTCTCCCACCAAATGAACCCTTCGGATAACACTTTTGAACTAAGACTAGATTAAACAAAAACCTCCAAGATAAAGCTCAGATATCATTTGACTAAACACGGTTTGAATACAAAAGAAGCCATCCAATACATCACAGCAACTCATTCTATTTTGAAAAATATCAAAACTTCCTCGAAAGTAAGAAATCAAAGGCCAGAAAAAAAAAAAAAAAAACTCCTTCACCGACTAGAATTTCAAACTTTCACTCAAGAGGAAGCACCGCTGCGCTGAGCTTCGTACTTCTTGGACTTGCTAGCTGCCAATTGAGTTTCAGGCTGAAAGGAAAGGATGATTTTATCAATTTAAATACAAAAACAGCACAATTTTCATTTATTAGGGAAATTTAAGTTTAATTAAATTACCTCTTTCTTGACAGGCTCTTCCTTCTCGGACAAAATTAACTCAATGTGGCATGGAGAAGACATGTAAGCTGGCAAGAAGAACAGAGAAGTATTAACATAGGAGAACCAAATAGACTCTATACAGCAACAAAGTGCATAGTTCTACTACATACGGTTGATTCTTCCATGGGCGCGGTAAGTGCGACGCCTCTGTTTCTGAGCCTGGTTTACCTGGATGTGAGAAATATAGAGCGCATCGACATCCAAACCCTTAACCTGAGAAATTTTCAAGTTGTTAGGAAACAGAAGAAATAGAGCTAACAAAAACTAAAAACCAGAGTAGGCATACCTCAGCATTACTCTCAGCATTCTTCAGTAAATCTAGAATGAACTTGGCAGATTTTACAGGCCAGCGACCTTGTCCATTAGAATGCCTATTCTTTGCCTGAGCTGTACGTCCAACACCACCACAAAAGCGTCGGAAGGGTATGGCCTGCTTGTGGGCCATAACATCCTCCAAATACCTCTTAGCCTTAACCAATGGTAACTTTCTGATGGCAAAAGCTGTCTCCCTTGTGTTCTATAGAACAATAACCACGTATGAGATTCATTGATGATCACCAGCAAACCAGAAAGCACAAATGGGCAAGAAAAACCAAAAAAGGTGGGGAATATATCATGAAACTATGAAAGTAACCAACCAACATCAAAACATGCCAAAAAACAATTGAATAAAATCATCCTCATACCATAACTAATCCAAAAACTAAATTCTTTCCAATGGATTTCAAAATGTGGCATCATTAACTGAACCTTCAGTCACCAAGAAAATCCAGAGGTTCACCCAATAACAATGCAAGTAATTTTCCTGAAGTTTACGAGAGCCTCGTTCACAAAAGGCAACAAGACCCTGCTTTTTTCATCAGGTTTAAGAATCCAAATACTAGACCAAAAAAGATCTATATTAAAATAAACAACACATCCTAACAAGGTTAGCAAAATTACTTAAAAGTCCTCCATCAAGCAAAAATGAACATAGAAAAAATAAACTGAGAAGTTTTACGGCAGCCTTCAATTATTTAATCCAATTGTTAACAATGATGACATTACAAGTATACACGCTTTCAAGAAACCACTATACAATGCTAATCTACATCTAATCTTAACAATCATTTATTAGTGTCACATGATTTACTGGATCTCAACAACAATCCAATCAATACAGATAACTCTATATCAAGAAGTAAATCGAATTATATCAAGTTATGATGATAATACCTTAAAATGAACCCTGAGATCAGAGCCCCTTGCCTTGCAGGCTGCACAGAATCAACACCAAACATCATCAATTTCCAACCAAAAACTTGGGATTCGTTAAAAAAAGGAAAAGGCTAAAAAAAGGAACAAATGGGTGCTTACACTTGGTGGGATTATCGGGCTCCTTCGAATACTTCACCTGAAAAAATATTCAAAACAAAAACGAGTTTAGTTTTATATAATATCATTCAAAACAAAATCGAGTTTAGTGTTCTTCAAAAGAAAGAGGAGAGGCTTTAAAATATCAATAGAGGAAGCAATTGAAAGAAAATGAGTACCATGGCAGCTGATCTGGATGCAGCTTCTGCTGCCTAAGGTTCTTTTTTTTTTTTTTTGGGGTCTGCCTAGCAGATGAAGTACGAGAGCGGCGAAGAGAGTTGAGCAATCTAACACTACATACTTAATCCTGGCTCTAGGGTTTTTAAGTGCCAACCTTTTTACATTTCAGGGTTTGGTTTTGGGCTTTACCATGGTTTTGGGCTATGAATTGAAAAAGAATGGTTTGGTGCTACGATCCAACCCAAACTTGGGACCATTTCCTTGGATTTGGGGCTCCGGACATTAGATTCTTCATGATTCACGGCGAATCTAACTGCGGATTCTTTTCACATGTTCTTGCGATCCATGCGTATGGTGAAAAAGAAAATGTATTTCTATCTTTTACAAGAATGGTGAAGATGGTTTCTTGATCGACCCAATATGTTATTCAACAATGGAGGCAATTGCCCAAGCAAAAGAGTAACAGTAGTATTAGTGAATTAAAATAATATTTACACAAAAAGAAAATATAGGCATCCATGGAAAGTTTAAAGATAAGGAAAATAGGGAAAACAAAACCTAAAATATCTTTTAATTAGAATCTGTTTCTCAACAAAATCGATTAACTAAAAGATTAACTGATTTCCGAAAACAAAAAAAAAACATAAAAAAATCTTAATGTGAGACAAATACAAACTAATGATACAAAAGCCGATTGTTGTTTGACCTCTCCCTGGCATTGCATGCCATGTCTGCACCTCCACCATCTTCATACGCGAAATCCCCATTCTTCTAACTTACTTTAACTGTACTTGATCTGTGACAAACTAACTCATTATACTTCTGATCTAATTCCTTGTTGGAACTTGGACTTTTACAAGTGCAAAACACAACTTTGATTTAGCTCTAAAAGACCAGAGCTGCACAATGTCGTCTATCTTGAGTCGGTTGTCCTTCACAACAGAGTTCCACGTGCTCGTCATGACATAACTTGAACTTTTTCCCGTATATTTCCACTTTTTTAAAGTCACACTAATTTCCTCCATTGATGGTTCTAACAAGCATACTTTCATGCCTTTTTCATCATCCAAATCTTCAGCCTCTGTTTTGTTGAGAAACTCATGAGTTTTGAGTTGTGAAAAAGGCATGGAGAATCGACTGGCTTGAGGGTTCACGTCAGAGTAAAAAAGTGGCTTTTGTATCACTAGAATCCAACCCGAACCACCCTTTTTTTCAACTATATGTTGTTTGAAGTTCTCAGGCAGGTCTGGTGGTGGGATTGAGCGAACAGGTTTCTCTTTCTTGCTTCTCTTCAATTTCTGCTTCAGTTCCTCCCATTCTTCATCATCTTCTTCCTTGAGTTTGCGTTTATTTTTCAGCCCAACATTCTTGTCCAAGCTCTCCCACAGTGTTTGGGTTGGAGGTTCCGGCGCATTGTACAGAAAATACTTCAAGTACCCAAAATCATGTCTTTTCTTTACTTCTCCGTATCTGAGTTTGAAGTTTGGTTTCTGCATTTTCTCTAGGCCAACTTTGGCTGCCTCTAGCAAGTAATCAAAAGCAGTCCAATTGGGATCAAGCTTTGTCTCTTTGAAGTCTTCGAGGCAGAGGAGTTCCATCTTTTTGGCAATGATCAGAACAGTATTTGCTTTCTAGTAAGGAGTAGACAGAATGCTGATGAAAGTTGTTGCGTTGAAATAAAAGAATATATGAAGCTCTACTATTAATGCAGCAAACAGGCCGAGTGGTTTCTTCGATAAACAGGGAATTAGGGGTAATCCAAATTTATCCAAGTAGAATTTAACCTTTCTTGCAATACAAGTCACAAAGAGAAAATTTAGTATAGATTTCCTAATAATCAAAATAACCGTTGCAGAAGTTGTTAAAATAAAAAAAAGAAATTAGCACATTAATTCAATTGACTGACCCAATTATCTTAACTCGTTCAAAAGAAAAAAGCCAATCAGGAAAATTAATTTACAATGTCATATTTGAATAAGATTTATAATGACGTACAAATTCAATGACTTTGATTAATTAGAGAAGAATATTCAGATTTTATAGTATATAATAATTAAGCTAATTTTATTAGAGTATTATGTAAAAGAAAGAAAAGGATTATTCAAAAATTTATTTTCTACTATTCTATATGATAACCCAAAAAGATTTAATCTCTATGATTCAAAATGTATTATTTAAAAAAATGATAAAAATCATGTATCAAAGAATGAGTTATCTGTTATTCTTCTAATTTTATTGATAGTTTAAAATATAATATAATAATATGTTTTATAACACCAAAAGAAGATATATTGAAAAGTTTTAAACATAAAGAACTTGTTTTAAACATTGAAAAAACTGAAATAAATAAATCAATACTTTTTTTATATGCTACTATTTAATATAAACTAGAAAATCCCCCCTCCGTTGGAACTCACTAAGGACTTAGCTTTAATATTATATCTTTAAATAGATTTGAATTTATAAAAAAAAAAAAGAAAGAGCTTTTTATACAAGCTTGAATGTTATTTATTTCCTTGCCTAGTTTCAGTGAGGGAACAGTTATATATGGCAATGGCATCATGAGGCTGATGTATTGTTACATTATACAGTTTAATTACTACATTCGAATGAAAATGAAATAGAAAAGTACTGAAGAACATATGACTTTAAGACTGAGGTGTTGAGTTATTTTTATGAACTGAAACTAGTGAAAGCATGACTTCGAGCGAGTATAAACACCAAAAGATATAAAAGGACAAAAAACTAGAATAAGCAGTCACATCTGCCCAAGCTGGGAAAAGCCCTTTCAACCTCTTTGCTTTGCTTCATCCACCAAATTTTGGTCGAAAACCAGCATCCACCCTTAAGTCTCCAGAATTGCTAGCCTGCAATCACCAAGTAAGAATTTTGGCGTGGATCATATACATACATGAAATAGAATTGTACCTTCAACCAGAAAGTCCAATTTTCATGACTGGCTCTCGTAAGTCTGCAAACGTACGAAGGTGGTGTACCACCTTCAGCGGTTTCCAGGACTGCAAAATTTATCGTTACATGAATCATGGCAACCAGAAGATAAACTTCAACGCAAAAGTGAAATAAAAAGGAAAGCATTTTACATAACTGGTAGCTTTATTGTCAGCAAATGACCAACGGCCAGTAATGTTAAAGGACTGCATATGCAACTCAAAATTCCTATTCCATTTTTTTTCCATTTCAGCTTCGTTAAAATAAATTCAACTCTCCCCGGAGTTCAACTTCACTTTAAGTAACCTTCAACCGATCAGAATTTGAATTTGAGAAATAATAGCAATGAGAAAAAACTTGTAATAATAATTTAAAGCTAGTCAACAAAAATAAGTATAAGAAATGATCAAAATCCTCATCGATGATAAAGAAGTAATTTTTGACGCACTTGTCGACCGTCCATTTCATGTGATAAGACTCGAACATGCTCGATAGCTCTAGCCTCAGGAAGCGACAGAGAGGAGATTCCATCGCCAACGGCTCGATGAACTTCTTACGGAGTGAACCAGAAACAACATGAGACCGTACAAGATCTCCAAGCAAAAAAAGAATTTGAATCCGGAAACATCTCTGGCGTCGAACCTTAAGGCCATTATCTAACAAATAAATCTGAAATCATGTAATCTAAGTTTTGAGATAGTGAGGACCCCAACTATGGCTCATAAATATAGTAAAATAATGAAACAGAGAGTCAAAATTAGGAATGTGTTGCAGAAGCTGCAGGGTTTTTCTTTTTTCAGTGGAGTTGGAACTAAGAACAGTTTACAACTGGGCAAAAAAAAAAGAAAAAAGCCAGGGAACTCCCTCCAGCGAACGTTGTTTTTGTTTGTGTTTTCGGTTCTGTTTTGTTATGTGCTTTGTGTTTTAGTTTATAGTTTAAGTGTTGAACCATTGATGGAAGTGGTGTGTTGGGTTGGGTTCGTTGGCAGTAGGCTTTTATATTTCTTCCATTGGGCTGGATTTGTATTTGGAAAATAAAATTCAGTTTTACAACTCTTAGGCTTTTTTATTCCTAACTACCACCAAAAAACAAGTGGATGATTTTATTATAAAAAAAAGTTAAGATTGCAATAGAAATTATAAAATCTATGGCAACGTTTGATTTTATAAAATAGAATTATTTTATGTTTTATTTTTTTAAAAATAAAAATTATGAAAAAAAAATATTTGATAATTGAAAATGAAATAAATTTTAAAAAAATAAATTAAACTATGGAAACAAAAAATACATATTTTTAATTGTAAAAACCAAATATTTATTACTTTTTTTACAAATTGTTATATTTGAGAATTTTTAATTATTAATTAATAAATATATATTATATTTATGATTAGATATCATTAATAATAATATCATAAAATATTTTATTTATTTATTTTTAAAAAATAATTTTTAATTTTATATATTCATTACATTTTGTAAAAACAAAAAATTAAAATTATTTTCTAAAAAATAAATAAAAATAAAAAATATTCTCCCAAACCAGCCTAAATTTCCACCACACGTCATTTTAACCTCCAAAGAAATCTAAATAAAATCCTTTTGTTCTAAGCATAATTTCCATCTATTTCGAGCATAAGTTTAGTGTTTCCTAATAACTTATAACGTATAAAGTATATACTGTTTTTTTTTTTTTTTGGTTTTGTTTTGGTTCGAGTATGGATTAAGGTAATTCTTTCTGTTTTGGAAAACTAACAGAAAAGACAATCAACAAAAACATCATCAGACATCAAAGCACAGTTCAAAAACAGTAAGTAAAGCAAAAGGAGATCTCTCTCTCTTACTCTCGATCAAACAATAAGAAAAATGACTACAATGGCTGCTCATCTGGTTGCCGCCTCTGCTGCCTAAGGTTCTTTTTTTTTTGCGGGCCTGCCAAGCAGATGAAGTAAAAGAGCGGCGAATAGAGTCGAACAATCCAACACGATATACTGATTCCTGGCTCTAGGAGTTTTAACTGGCATCCTTCTACATGTTAGGGTTTGGTTTTGGGCTATGAGTAGAAAAAGAATGGTTTTGTGCTATGATCCAACCAAAACTTAGGACCATTTCCTATTATTTTGGGCTCTGGACTTTAGATTCTTCACGATTCACGGCGAATCTAACTGCGGATTCTTTTTACATGTTCTTGCGATCCATGTGTATGTGCAAAAGAAAATATACTTGGATCTTTTACAAGAACGGTGAAGATGGTTTCTGGATCTACCCCATATGTTCTTCAACAATGGAGGCAATTGCCCAAGCAAAAGAGTAACAGTAGAATTAGTGGATTAAAATAATATTTACACAGAGAAAATATAGGCATCCATGGAAAGTTTAAAGATAGGGAAAATAAGGAAAACAAAACCTAAAATATCTTTTAATTAGAATCTGTTTCTCAACAAAATCGATTAACCAAAAGATTAACTGATTTCCGAAAACCAAAAAAAAAAACATAAAAAATCTTAATGTCAGACAAATACAAACTAATGACACAAAAGCCGATTGTTGTTTGACCTCTCCCTGGCATTGCATGCCATGTCTGCACCTCCACCATCTTCATACTCGAAATCCCTATTCTTCTAACTTACTTTAACTGTACTTGATATGTGACGAACTAACTCATTATTCTTCTGATCTAATTCCTTGTTGGAACTTGGACTTTTACAAGTGCAAAACACAACTTTGATTTAGCTCTAAAAGACCAGAGCTGCACAATGTCATCTATCTTGAGTCGGTTGTTCTTCACAACGGAGTTCCACGTGCTCGTCATGACATAACTTGAACTTTTCCCCGTATATTTCCACTTTTTTAAAGTCACACTAATTTCCTCCATTGATGGTTCTAACAAGCTTACTTTCATGGCTTTTTCATCATCCAAATCTTCAGCCTCTGTTTTGTTGAGAAACTCATGAGTTTGAGTTGTGAAAAAGGCATGGAGAATCGACTGGCTTGAGGGTTCACGTCAGAGTAAAAAGTGGCTTTTGTATCACTAGAATCCAACCCGAACCACCCTTTTTTCAACTATATGTTGTTTGAAGTTCTCAGGCAGGTCTGGTGGTGGGATTGAGCGAACAGGTTTCTCTTTCTTGCTTCTCTTCAATTTCTGCTTCAGTTCCTCCCATTCTTCATCATCTTCTTCTTTGAGTTTGCGTTTACTTGTCATCCCAACATTCTTGTTCAAGCTCTCCCACAGGGTTTGGGTTGGAGGCGCATTGTACAGAAAATACTTCAAGTACCCAAAATGATGCCTTTTCTTTTCTTCTCCGTATCTGAGTTTGAAGTTTGGTTTCTGCATTTTCTCTAGGCCAACTTTGGCTGCCTCTAGCAAGTAATCAAAAGCACTCCAATTGGGATCAAGCTTTGTCTCTTTGAAGTCTTCGAGGCAGAGGAGTTCCATCTTTTTGGCAATGATCAGAACAGTATTTGCTTTCTAGTAAGGAGTAGACAGAATGCTGATGAAAGTTGTTGTGTTGAAATAAAATAATATATGAAGCTCTACTACTGATGCAGTAAACAGGCTGAGTAGTTTCTTTGATAAACAGGGAATTAGGGTAATCCAAATTTATCCAAGTAGAATTTAACATTTCTTGCAATACAAGTCACAAA